TCCCATGTGAGGAGGGTTTAACGTCACGTCGTTCCCGGCTGCTCAGAGCGGCGGCCTCTGCTCTGTTTAGTCTACGGACTTCCACTTTGTTAGTTTGTTGAAGTAGCAGACTGACAAGACGTGACCTGACCTCTCTGGATTCTCATACAGGAGGGAAGCTGACATCTTGTCTTACAACATCAATATTTATAGACCCCTTGCTACCGCTCCCTAGAGGACCCCCGGCTCCAACACACACTTGATTTCCTGCTGAGAGTTTAAAGAGAAACTCTTTGGAGAAGACGGCGGCTTCCCTCTGAGCCGGTCACACACACAGACGCAGGAGGAGGGTTCTTATATTGTTTTAGTGTCGGGTGTTAAACTGCAGAGATCCTACATGAGAATTCTCTCATTTATGATACTATACTGCATGATATAATACAGCACAATATGATACAATACAATACGATGCAATGGGAGAGCGATGTAATACAGTAGAATAAAACACTATTAAATATCATGTGTTCTCAAACTGAACAGTACAGCCCATTAGGATGATGAGAGGCTACATGGATATAATACAATACTATAAGATAAGGTACTACTGCAAAATACAATGTGATATTAGACCACTAAAAAGGTACATGATGCTGCAGTATGATGCATTTTAATATGATACAACATAGCACAATTATACAAGATACACTACCACAAGATTTGATACAGTATATAACAATGTAATATGATGCTACAGAACTGTATGGTGTGGTTTAAGTGTGAAATAGGTATTACACAGCACGATAAAATATAATGTAAAAGATTACAATAAAAAACTAAAAAACAGTATATCTCAACTCAACTCAACTTTATTTGTAAAGCACTTTAAAACAACCACAGCTGAACAAAGTACATAAATACACAAAACAACACAGACGTAAAAACAATCAAAAACAATTAAAATTGTCAAAAGATACAGTCTAAAACTATACAATAAAAATACAACAGGAGATTTAAAATGGTTCAAAACGATCCAGCATAATACAATAAAATACAGTATGATACAGTAATGGTGCTGTACTATTTATAATGAACAGTATGATATAATATGATACGATTTGATATGATATGATACAATATTATACATAATACGATATGATGTGATATATTATGATATGATATATGATACAATACAATATGATATGATATAATATGTTGTGATATGATATGATACAATAGGATATGATATATGACACAATACAATGTGAGATATGATATGATATACTGTACACGATGTAACATATATGATACAATTCGATACTTTACAATATGATACGATGTGATATGGTAGAGTACATTTTGATAACATACTGTATTGTTGGGAATGAAATGATATGAATTTATATATGATATTATAAGATACATTAAAATACAGTCTGGCTTCATAGATATTATTATTTAAGTTTTTGATACAGTATAATAAGTTATAATACAATACATTAAGAATCATGTGATCTGATATGATACCCTTTATGTATTTCTAGTTTAGCTCTAGTTTAAAGAGTTAAAAGTAATAGAATTAAAGGTGTTTTAATACAGAAGTAGATACCAGTGAAAACTATCTATAATAGATGTCACACACTGTCTACATTTTAAATGCTCTCTACAATACAACATCGACATACTTTAGGAGAATCATCATGAAATCACTCTCATCAGATCTCACACTCGGTTTGACTCCCTTTTCATCAACTCAGCGTTTTAGCGAGAACCGCCTCTTCGACAATGGAGGTGCTGACATCAGTGAAATCAAAGCGCACATCAAAAGGAGCCCCGACAACAATAACGCCCTTTAAGGGGCCGCAGCACACAATGAGGCGAGGACAGCTGATCAAGAGAGCGAGGGTGTCAGAAACAGAGTCATCGCCTTCAAATCTAACATTAGAGACTGAGCGGTGTCATTAGAAACAATGGAGAACAAGACGGAGGCAAATTAGAGGATGGAGGGACTTTAAAGGAGCTGTCCATTCAGCACCACATCACCACAACAACACAGGCAAAAAAACAGGCAAAAAAACAGCTGTCACAACATTTCTGAAGGCTCTGAGGAAGGACGGGGTTTCTGAGTGAGGCTTTATTTTTATATTATAAGTAAATGTGGAGGACTAAAGTTTCAGGCTCTAAACTGAATATGAAAGATATCCTGTTCAAATTAAACTCAACATTTTATTTTCCTTTGTTGTTTAAACTCACTTTTTAAAAACACAGACCTGGCATTCGCTCTAAATAAGAAATAATATATAGATATAATTTTAAAACATAACAAAAACATATGAAGTGTGTATGCGCACACACACTTTCTCACACACACACAGTCTCCTGGTATCTGTTGGCTCAGCTGCTGATGTGTGGAGACAGACAGAGTCTGGATTAGACTGTCGCTGCAGGATTAACTCCTCAAGACTACGGACACTGACGGACCGGTGACACAACGATAACACACACACACACACACACACACACACACTGACACACACACTCACACACACATTGACACACACACACACACATTGACACACACACACACACACAAGCAGACTTAGGCTCTTAAATGCAGTCACAGCTCCTCTGTCTATAAAATAAAATAAGAATTTCAATAATGAACCTGAATTAATCACAGAACTGAACTTAATTTATAGAGCACTTTAAATACAACCAGAGCTGACACAGAGTGCTGTACATAATAACATAATAACATAAAACAACAATTAAAAGTTGCTTTAAAATATAATAAAAAGCAATAAAACAAATGTTGTCTCATGCTGGGTCAAAGGAATAAAAGTGGGTTTTTAGACGGCTTTAAAAAAGTGGAGTTTACTCCTAAGTTATTTTTGTATTTTAAAGCATTAATGAAGTCTGTGGTCATTTTGTTTATGTTTACATGAAGTTCTCCCTCCTCTCAATAATAAGACATATGACCCGTCCCAGCCTGAGGACATCCTTTGGACTGGGGGCTCTGTGGTCCGTTCTAACCCTCTTCCCAAACACTGTTGTTAATTTAGTTTCCTCCACAGGTCTGTCATATCGAGTTTTTGTCATTTTGACCATCTAAAATCTTATTGTTTATTGTCTCTTCGGTGGGTTACAGCTCATAAAACAGGGAAATTCATGAGTGTCTGTGTTCACTCATGAATTAGTTTAAAAATGAACCTCGTAAAGAAAACCTCATGACGAGCGTTAAATGTTCTCTCAGCGGAGTTTCTTTGTTTTCTGGTGTTTTAATTAAACTCAGGAGGATTGTCATGACTCCAGTTAACTACAGCGATCACCGCATGTTGCTTTAGCCCACTGGGACACTTCAGGACACACACACACACACACACACACACACACTCTTACTCTCTGTAAGCCCTAGACGATGATCCGTCTGATTACAGCTCCTCTCTGGAGTCTGAACACACACACTCTTGAACACGGCAGTCTGCTGCAGGGACGTGCAAAGACAGATACATCCACACATGCAGACACTGTAAGAGGCTTGAGCTACAGTCTCCACACACACACACACACACACACACACACACACTGAGATACCAGTCTGCAGCCTGTAAACCCTCTCGGTTCTCATGGAGATAAGAAGTGCGTCTTATTGTTGGCAGACAACGGTCCTGTTATCATCTTATCACAGAGTCAGTCCAATCTGCAGGAGGCGGGGCTGCAGAGTGTGTGTGTGTGTGTGCGTGTGTGTGTGTGTGTGTGTGTTTGTGACAGGGATGGTGGTGGAGGGGCTGGGCGGGGGGCACTTTACTTAAGTGGGGGTCCTTTGTCATGCAACAGGTGCTGTTGTCGCTCAATTTGTCTGGATGCTAAAGACCCGAGTGTCTGCATGAGTCCGTTAGAGAACAAAAACCAGCTGATGGGTCAGACGGCGGCTAATCCTCGTTCTCGCCGCTGATGGGATCACTCAGAAAAATCTGACGACCCATCTCAAGGAGAAAGAAAACATTTGGCTCATTAGCAAGACCCGTCAGCGAGGTCTGAGTCCAGGATACTGAGGGGTGGTGGTCTTTAATCAGCTGAGTAAACATCCAGACTTTAGAGTCCAAACTTCATCAGATTTAAACCACAGATCTGGTTTTAGTTCTACCTGAGACCACCAGAAGTCCAACCAGAACCAGATCTGTCCTCCTAATCTGGATTAAAACACATCTCCTAAATACTCTGATGATTATTGTGTGAAGACGTTAGATCACTGATCCATATTTTCTCCTTTCTCCTTCAGATAAAGAGAAGAAGGAGGTTTCACCAGAGGCCTCAGTCAAAGAGGAAGGAGCCGAGGAGGTGAAAAAGGAAAAGAAGGAGTCTTCCAAGGAGAAGAAGGAGTCCAAGAAGGAATCGAGCAAAGAGGAAGGAAAGAAGGAGTCCAGGAAGGAGTCGTCGTCCTCCTCCTCTAAGGAGAAGAAGGAGTCATCCAAGGAGAAGAAGGACAAGGACAAGGAGGCGAGCAAGGAGGCAGGAGGAGACAAGAAGGTGTCCAGGAAGTCGTCTGTAAAAGTGAAGGAGAAGAAGAAGGAGCCGGAGGCCGGAGACGGCTGATAGGAAGAGGGGGAGGAGAGCGCGGCGAGGTCACATGATACAAACATAAACATAAACACACAGATATACACACACACAAACACACACACACACACAGACACACACCAGGGGCCCTGCTCATATAGATATGTATATACAGTGTCAGTGTAAACATATACAGGCCTCTCTCTCTCTCTCTCTCTCTCTCTCTCTCTCTCTCTCTCCCTCTCTCTCTCTCTCTCTCTCACACACACACACACACACACTCATAAGCAGTTTAAACATATATTTAAATGTAAATATATTCAAGGCCGTAGATCTCAGTAGCAAAACAATTTCCTCCCAGACGCATATTTACATGGTCTGGTAATAGCTGCTCTCTGCACACACACACACACACACACACACACACACACACACACAGACACACACCAGTGTGTGCGCTCTGGTCATGTGGTGAGTTCTGAGCCCACGGAGAGCGAGGACGGAGGCGAAATCCTCCTCCTCCTCTCCTCAGACCTTTTTTGCTGACTCTCCTTCTTTCCTTCCTTCCTTCCTTCCTTCCTCCTCCTCCTCCTCCTCGTCTTCTCCGTCTGGCTGAACCCGCAGATCTGCGCCTCCCTAATCCCAGCCGGGCCCCAAACCACCCCCCCGCCCACACACACTTCTGGACGTGACGTCAGGCCCGCCCTCTCGCCCCCTCGCGTGGCACCGAGCCGCGCCAGAGCCTCCCCCGCCTCGCCGCCTAGAATACATCCTGCGCCCATCGCTGTTTCCGGGTAAATCGAGGCCACATCCCAACACCGCCACCGCCCCCTCTGACCTCCTCCGCCGGTCTGCTCTGCTCTTCAAACCCTGGACACTCAAGGACATGCGGCTGCTGATGGACACATATTTGTTGCGGCGGCGGCGGAGTTGAACCTGCGAGTGTTTTTGCAAACAAACAAACGTTTTTTCTGGAGAGCGTGAGGAGCAGAGCGAGGCGTCAGAATCACACCAATCATCTCCAACATCAGGAGCTCGTTGAAAGTGAAACTTGAAACTTCCAGGAAACACAGGTGGTTATTTATCGGTCAGCAGAGGAACGTCGCTGAGATCGGTCCACGCTGAGAAGGAGGGTTAGGATCGATCTGTGGAGATCCTTCACTCAGCTGATGGACACACGACAAGAGACGAGTCCAATCCATCTGAACCTTTGGCCCCGCCCACTTTTTCAATCTGAAGTCAATCTGAAGAAAACATCAGATGCAGATTTGACCTTCTTGTCCTGATCCAGGAACTTCACAGAGTTAGACCTGATCCGTAAACTTGAACTAAGAGAGTTAAAGTTTAATATTCAAAGAAACGAGACTGCAAAAAATAAAAAAAAAAAAAAGCCATTTTTAGAGTTTTTCTTTAAGCTGAAGTCACAAAAAAATGAGTTTTCTTTTTCTTTTTACTTGTAGAAATGTAGAGAGGCTTTAACTCTTGATTCAGGAGCTTGAGGTGATTTCTGACAGACTTGAAGCTCCTCGTCTTCAGCCATAGACTCTGTGCCAGTTAGAAGACCAACCAATCACCTCGGAGTCAGCATCGTGTCTCTACGTCCACCTTTGGTCCAACGGGAAACTCCGTCTGATTTCTTCTCTTTTTCACGTTTTCATAATCCAGATCAAACCGGATCGTCCTCAGACACGTCGGTGATATTTTCCCATCAGCCATCAGGAGTCTCAGATTACCTTGAATGTTTTTAGTTTGTTCACGGTTGTATTAGCTGCTCAGATTGACTCGAGTTCTGAGTCTGATTTTTATAGAAACAGCCTAGAGGAGATTTCCTGACTGTGGAAACTTATTTATGAAATGTTTAGTAATAAAAGTTCACTGTGAGTAACAGATCCACGCTTTACTGTTTTATTTTTAAACTCTTTCTGTCGGTGAAAAAGACTCGATTCAAACATGATGATGATGAACAGCTGTTTGTCTCTGCAGGTTCAGTACCGGGTCCTCTTTCTGCTGCAGATTCAGGTTTGAAGGAGACCAATTGACTTGACTTAACAATGTAACAGAGATGGCAGCTTCTGAATCTGATGCATTAAATGTGAAAATTTGTATTTGTCATTTAAGACACCTGGAGGGAAAGTTAGAAAAATAAAGTCCAGAGAGTTTTCAGAAAATGTGATTTCTTTCAGTTTCTCTGTTTTTCTTCTTTCTCAGAGGAAATGTGACCCCAGGCGGCCCCCTCTTGTGTTTGACTCCGGTATTAAAAATCAACCTGATGAAAGAGACAAAAAAATGCAGTTCCTCAAGTGTCCACTAGAGGCTGTGTCCAAAAGCTCAGGGATCTCATACAGCCCCGTGTTAGCGTGTCCATTTTTGGGACAGGTTTGGTCTGAACGGCTCGTTTGTGAGATGATTTTCTCTACGTCTGTTTTCTGGATATTAAAAAGCTCGATTTTCCAAGTTCAGTATCTTGGCTGCGATCCGATCCAACTGAACCTTTAAGGTCTTACCTCTGACATGTTTGACACAGTCTGTGGTTTTAATCTTTGTATTTTCTTTATTTTCAGGTAAAAATTCACACAAACACACAAACAAACGTTAAACCGGAGCTTCTCTGTTGAGTTCGAGGTCTTAGATTGCATCATGGTTGAGCTCTTGTGTGTTTGTTCTTCTTCTCTTCTCAGGTCTGTTGCAAAAGAAATCTTGATCTTCATGAGATTAGCTCCTGAAATCAGGGATAACGAAGAGAGACGAGGAACGAGAGTGTGTCTCCTGAGAGCGCCGAGGTGTGTTTCACCTGCAAAAACAAGAGAGCTTTCTAATGCTGCACTTAAACTGGGGAGAGGGTTCGAGTCAAAGGATCTTCAAAATCAACGAGTGCTCGCCGGGTCTGCAGAAATCTGCGGCCTAGAGGCAGAGCTGATGAGCATCCACTGAAAAACACCAGAATATCCCTTTAAATTCAACCGTCTGTAAAAATGTTCTCTGTGTTTGTTTTTGTTTTTTAAACTTTGACCTTTTGTCTCTTTTTTCAGCGTCTACAGAAGCCGATGAAGACGACTTCACCGTTCTCTCTCTCTTTTCTCTCCTCAGATTTTCTCTCTCTCTCTTTTCTCTCTCTCTCTCTCTCTCTCTCTCTCTCTCTCTCTCTCTCTCTCTCTCTTTTCTCTCTCTCTCTCTCTCTCTCTCTCTTTTCTCTCCTCTCTTTGTTCGCTCCAGTTTGTATTTTTGACCTTGAGCTCTTCACCAGATTGTGTTTTGGTGTTTTTCCCTCCTCACTAACTTCTTCCCTCTTTGTCGCCTCGGTCCAGTAAACCGTCTCGGATGTGAGGAACCGCCAAACACGGCTGCACACACCCGACTGTTAAAAACATCAAACAACAAAAACTGCGCCTATCAAAGTGGAGTCGGGCCGCCGCCGCCGCCGCCGCTGCTGCAGTTTGGACAGAGAGTCATAAAGTGGAGTTTGGATTCAGACGTGGGTTTTATTTCTGTCTCCTGGGCTTTAAGGCGTAAACAAACGGGATCAGATAATTGCAGCATCATTTGACTCTCGCTGCAGATTTGAAGCGTCAGCAACGTTTCGCCACGGGGAACTTAAGTGGCTCGGATTTCTGCTCTGTGTGAACAACACTGATCCCGTGTTTGGATTCCAGGGTGAAATTACCAGAAATTACATTTCGCTCCTTTGGCAGAACAGCCGGATCATGATTGAGTTTCATGAAGTGACATTAGAGTCGAGAGGTTGTAGATCCGGTTTTCTCCTCCGCCGCCGTCGACTCTCGTGGTCGTACTGTCTGGACATGCATCATTATTCTTGCAGGCATCATCACTTTAGATGCATAGAAGTAATAAAAGTGTTTGTTTTAATGCACTGACACTTAGAGGATATTAACTCATTCAGTTCCAGGTTCATTTATGCAATTTTCACCCAGTGCCACCGTTGACCGTGATAGAAATCTCTGTATCTTTCAGGACCAACAGAATATCTCCTGCTTGGACTAGAATTAAGTTCAATATCTCAAAACAAAGGAGTGATTCTTTTCTTTCACCTGAATAAAAAAGTGAGTCTCTAACTCACTCCTGTGTTTAGTTATCGCCACAATGCAACGTGGTCATATCGTCTTTGCCGATAAACACATTTTTACGAAGGAGAGACTTTGATCGTCTTTTTCATTTCACTTCAAACTACTTTACCGGCGACATCGAGGTCGTCCCTCCTCGGACACCACTCTTCATCACTCTCCAGATCTGATTGTGATAGGTCACTTTGGCTCTTGACAACCTGATGCAGTGACGTAAACCACACGGACTGCTTGCGTCCTCCTAACTGAATTCTGGCTCAGTCTCGCCCACGGCACAACGTCACACTGGAAAATTGTTTCTTTGATTGTCGGCTGACGATGTGAAGTTCTGGTACCAGGATCATCCACGGGAGCCGATGCGCCGAGACCGTTAGCTCTTGGCTAATGACTTCGGCATTTTCCGACTCTCCTCATAGAGAAAAAACACTTCACTACTCGGCTCATTGCGCACTTCTCACTGGCGAGTACTTGTGTTTGTTATTGTAACATGGTGATGATTGACGGCGTTTCTGCGTTCAGAATGACCCCAAACTTAGCCGCCTGTCGGGGAGGAGCGCCCTCTGGTGGAAACAAAAAACCTGAAAAAACTTAAATCGGTTCTTACACACAGCTGAAAGTGAGGTCCTGATCCTGAAGTAGGTGTGAATGCAGACAGTTTGAGAAACGTTCAAACCCAATCCTGATCCTTCATCTGTCTCTGCAGGATCCAAAGACGTCTTCACAAAACTCCTGAAAACACCTGAACTTCACCTGGACTTCACCTGGACTGTTTGCTGCTGCAGAAATAGAGGAAACTCTCTGCAAGAAAAGGGTGAAGTTGAGTCCAGGAGCTCCAAACATGACGGGGGAAACCGTACGACTGCATCTCCTCTGTTTCCTTCCTTCAGTTTCACGACCTCTGGGCCCTTAAAAACTCTGAGAAAAGCCTGATTCCGTTCCCACTTGAAAAGCCGTCTCTGCTGATTTGTTGCGCCTGTCTAACAACATCGATACACGCCAAGAGATTAACCCGCCGCCTGACTTTTGCTTGTAAAACCAGGAGAGGATGGAGTGATAGATCCCAGACCTCCCACACTTGAAGAAAAACTTCTCCTCTCCCTGAAAACAGACGTGGAAAAAAACATGTCCGGAATCAGACACATCATCAGACCCTCCAATGTGTTTCCAGCGTGTTCACTCGACGAATAAAAACCTCCATAAACCTCTTAAAGATCTGCAGTCAAATCCAACAATTAGTTTTTATTGTGTAGTTCCACCCTCGGCGCTGCTGCTTCCATCTTCTCCAGGATTTTGATAATTTATATCCAACAGCTGCAGGACAGGAAGCCTCCGACTCAGACACACTGAAGAAACCTCTCAGTTCAGGCCGACGTGCCAAACCGTTTCCACACAGATCCGGAGTTTCTTCTTCACTTCAGAAATCCATCAGAGGAAACCAAACCGTGACGATGACCAGCTCCAAATCCTCCTTCTTTAAATGTCTCACGCTGACGTTTTTACTGTAGATCTGCAGCTTGTGGATAAATTCCTGAAATTTCAGGACATTCATGATTCCAGAGGACGAATCAAAACGTTTCAGGAAAATCAGATTCTGGTTCTTGTGATTGTAAAACATAAACTTCATGAAAAATGCCTGATGTTAAGCTCTTTATATCACTGCTTCATTTATACCTGATAAATCTGTGCCTTTACTGATCTTTGTAACTTCAAAATCCGACTAAATACCTCAACGCTCCTCAGATCAGCATCATGGAGGTCCACCTGAGACTTAGATCTGCTTCAGTCAGAGGTCATGACGTTTATTCCATGAATAAAAACTTCAGAGGAAAATTCTGGAGATTTTCAGGAGTGTAAGGAAAGATGTTTTAGTGTCTCTGAACTCAGACAGCTGAGTTTAACCTCTCCTCCCCCCTCTCAGAGCCAGACCTGCCGACTGCAGGGGGCTTTAACCTCCGAGCCGCCGGGCCCCCCTCCCGTCTACGAGCGCTCAGACGATCAGAGGAGGTCAGTCCGTCACTGAGAGGAGAACTCTTCCTCTTTAAAGACTCAGAGAATATTTTTGGTTTTGTTGTTTAACTCTCCACCATCACATGAATCATTCTCACTCCTAAAAACACTTTGAGTATCAGCTGTCTGAGACACTAAGTGATGATTCAGGAGGGTCACGAGATCATTGAATCCTGCCGTTAAATGTTGAAACGTTGGGCTGAATGAAAATGAATTAAGTCAAGTTTTAGTTAAAGCTCCACCAGGTGATTGATGGAGCTGCTCTGGATCTTCTGGTTCAACAGTTTTGAACTTAGTCTACGTTCAGACTGCAGGTCAGTTCTGATGTTTTAACCATCTGTGACTCATATCTGATGTTTTCATCTAAGTGTGAAGAGGTCTATGAGGATATGTATCCGATGTGACTGCAGTGTGGACGCTCAGGTCGCCTTCATCCGACCTTTATGTCATCAATAGTAGACAAACATCACCATTGTTCGACGACACAAACAGGCGCGGAGAGATATTTGTGCTTTGTGTTCATGAGGGTCACTTCAAGGACGCATTCGTTGTTGTAACGTGAACGACCGCACAAAAAGATCGGAGTTAACATAAATCTGAATTGTGCATCAGAACCTGCAGAGTGAACGTCGACTTAGACGACTTTACAGCTCCAAACTCTTCAAACTGTCGACTTCTCTTTCTCTTCTTCACCCTCAGACTCTGAGGCGGTCTGGGTCTGAGGCGGTCCCTGATCAGGATGTGAACACCTGTTAATGGTCCAGGAACTTTTTAAGGCAGGATTTCATTTATACTGATGAACCAGGTCATTAATTAAGATGAAGACACACTGATAACTTTGTGCACAAACTCACACAGTTGAATTAAAAAGAGATTCTGGATTATAATCCACATAATCTAGTGTTATCTACTTAGTATGTTCATGAATCTTGACTGTTTCTGTTTATTTTTTTCTTCTCCGTCTCATCAGACGACAGTGAGAACCAGGAACCTTCTGGAAAAGTCCCAGAGAACCTCTGAGAGCAGAACGATCATCAGAGTCTGCAGGTTCGATTCACAAACTCTGAGAACCTTCACCTGTGTGTGTGTGTGTGTGCGTGCGTGCGTGCGTGCGTGCGTGTGTGTGTGTTTGCGGTCAGAGCAGGTCACCCCCTCCTCTCTCTCTCTGTTGCCATCTAGTGGTTAATAACACCTATTCCCCTTCACACACACACACACACACACACACACACACACACACACTTTCTCTCTCTTCCTCTCTCTCTCTTTTTGACACACTGACTTGCTGCCAACACTCTCTGATTCGTGCCCCTCTCCTCCTCACACGTGCACACACCTGAAGCGTGCACGAGCTGGTGTGTGTATGTGTGTGTTTGCAGCAGCAGCAGCAGCTCAGTTAAAAGCTGCAGGGTGGGTCCTCATTATTTCTTTGAAGACTCGCTTTTCCTCCCGTCTGAGCTTCTGACGAGCTGCAACTTTAAAGAGGCTGCACACACACACACACACATTAACACACACTTACACACACACAGAGTCATGCAATCTTCTTCATCTGTCACTCCAGACTCCAGCCTGCAGATTTATGAGGGTCTGATGCTGAAACGTAAAGAGTTAAAGTCCCGGAGGAGGAGGAACAGATTTCTGTGTTTTCAAAACAAGCCTCACGTTTCATCCTAAATCCACTTTTCACTTTATGATTCTGCTCTGTTTGGTTTTTCTTGACATTTACATGTTTTATCCTGCACTGGTGGAAATCTGCGAGCACAATAAAGAACAGCTGATCTCTGGAGTCCCCCCTGAGGTTTCCAAGACCACCTTTTGGGAACCTTTGGAGAGCCTCAAACAGATCTTCATCTTCACTCTGAGGTCTCCATTTATGCTGAAGACACTTTAGTCAAAAAAATAAGAACTTTATTAATCTCTGAAGGGAAATTTAAATGTCTGTCGTCTCATCTGTCATGTCTGAACTAAACGTCATCTACTATTTACAGCAGAGTGATAAAGTCTGATGTCTGTTGGTCCAAAGATCTTCTGAATCTGTCCTGCAGTGAAGAGAGAGGAGCCGTCCACCACCGTCCACCCTCTGGTCCATCAAGCTGTTGTGAAGTGGGTGATCCATGTTCTTTAGAAGAGTTAATAAGTTAGAGTTAATTCTCTAAGAGTGAGTTAAACACAAGCAAAGACAGTCTAAAAGTCGAATTAGTCTAACTGACTTGATTTGACTGAGTGTCTGTCAGAAAAAAAACATCTTATTTCATGAAAGCAAAGACAGAAATTCAACTTTAGTGACTCAGAAAATGTTCATTAAAATGTTTTAAATTAAAAAGAGTAAAAAATGTTTCTGACTGTTCGAAGATTTCTTCATTTTCACAAGCAGCTCAGGTTTAATTTTAACTTTTTGTTCATTAAAATGAGTTAAAAATGATAAAAAAAAAATAAACTTTTAATAGATTCACTTCATGTTTTATTTAGAAATAAGACAAAAACACGTTTGGCTTTAGTGACAAACTCTGGACCAGAGAAAGAAAGGAGATAAAAATGTTTGTTGAGGTTTTAAAAGTTAAAGAAAAAGAAGAAAACATTTCAGTTTATTTGTTTTATTGACATTTACGGATCAGAATATAAAGAGTTTAAAACATGCTGTTGGTTTTATTCTGCTGTAGTTTTCAGGAGGAGAGCTGACTCCACCCTCCTGTCTCAGATAAATCTCCTTCACCTGAAACATCTCCTCTGTCCTCTGTCCTCTTCTCCTTCATTTAGAGACATAAAGCTCTCCGTGGAGCTCCCCTGCTCCGCCGGTAATGAAACTGGATCCCTGAGCTCTCACTCTTTACAGCTCACAGGGGTTTGAGGAGCAGACAGACGGACAGACAGACGGACAGAGAGGGGCTGATAGGAGCGGAGAGACCTTTAAATTAAAACCTTTAAATAACAAAAGGAGTCCTGGGAGAAGTCTGCAGGAGCTCTGCAGCGCTGAGGACCACAGAGGGTCTGGTCTGGAGGCAGGAGGAGGTCCCGGCTTTCACAGAGGAGGCAGGACTTTCTGGCTCGGAGTTGCGCTCCGACACCACAGGTCCGCTTTAATAGCAGAGAGGGAGGAGAGGAGGCCGGTCCACAAACACAGAGACAGAGTGTGTGTGTGTAAGAGTGTGTGTGTGTGCGTGTGTGCGTCCCGGACAGTCGGCACTGAGCATCCACGCGCCACACGGACTTGTGGATACGGAGCGCAGACCCGGAAAACCTTCAGACTCACCGAGAGGAGACCTTCAGACCTGAACCTCTCCAGCTCTCCTACGTTTGTGCCGAAGGTTCTCCTGCCGTTTTGGACCGGACCCCCTTCTTCAGTCTCTCTCCAGGACTTGGACTGTCCCGATGGTCTAATTTCCCCCCCGGACCCCGGACTCTCCTCTCCTGACATGAGCAGCCGGACTGTCTGCTGCTCTCCGGCGCGTCTTTGTCATTTTAATGTCGCTCTGATCTCCGCGCGTCGTTTTACATTTCAGCGCAAACCGACGAGCTGAGGAGGAGTTCCCCTCTCCTGCAGGAGGACAGACTGAACAGACCTCCTCACGTGGATCTTGTTGGATTGCTTTTACCCTCTCGTCCTCTTTTTTTGATCCCTAATCCTGAGGATGTTGCTCCGCTGCTCGAACCCTTCCTCCTGGTCCACCTGTAGGTTCTTCTTCTGCTTTCTGCTGCTGCTCCTGACGCCCCGGTCCTCCTCTCCATTAATTACAGGTAAGATTAAAGGGAATCAAACGGCTCCTTAATGACACATCACTGAACCACCACCGTGCGTAAAAACCTCCCCAAAGCCCGGTCATTTAGTCTGCAGCGTCTCCTCTCAGCTCTGTGTTTGACTTCTCCGAATCAAAGTCTCTGCAGCTTCTTATTTTGGGTTTCCAGAGGTAGAGAAGTTAACTGAAGGTTACCCAAACCGTTTAGTGGGACCAACACTTTGTCGAGAAATCCAACAATCACTAACAAGCTCCTCTATATCAGCAGTCTGAGTTTTAGTCGAGGAAAAAGAAAATTTAAAGGCGTTCTTGAGGTTTTGGAGAGCGTTTTCATTTTGAGTTTGCGGTGCAAAGATGCTGAAAATAGTCCCTGTTTCAGTTGAACCCGGTTATCCTCCCTGCGAGGTGGAAACAGGGAGGAAAAAGCCACAAGAATCCACCCTGGGTCTCTGCTGATCTGCAGCTGAACTTATTTGCGCTCATATGTCCTCCTGCCCCACAGAGACTCTGACTCCAGTTAACATCATTTAAATCAGACATGGACTCATTAAAGGACTGAAAGTGTGAGACAGACTCTGTGTTTAGGCTCAGAATCGGTCTTTTTCTTCGATGGTTGTTTGCGCCTGGAGAGGTTGTAATTAGCGCAGTTTTTTGACGCTAAAACAGGCTGTTAAGGTCGAGCCGTCCTCCTCCTCCTCCTCCTCTAACAGCTCCGGTTCAACAGTTTCTCTCTCTCCGCTGAATCTCAGGGTCTCATTTCCTCGCCCTGCAGCGCAGAAAAGAAATGAGAATCAAATAAAAGGAATGAATGAATGAATGAATGAAAGGTGGAGGTGGAGGTGGAGGTGGAGGTGCTGCGCACTCAGGCCGGGCTCCACTGCGAGCTGCCCCGCGTTCCTGCGCCCTAATCAGCGGCGTGAGGGCGGACTCTGCCCCGCTGCTGCTGCTCCTGCACCGATATTAGATTATTCGATTATCCGGTCTCTCTGCGTCCACGGGTCACTCCAGGGTTCCTCTCTGACGACAGCAGCTGATTTTCAGCCTAATCTGGTTTAAAACAGTCTCAGATAAACCTGATCCAGAACAAAAACCTCCACATGACGAAGAGGGAAGAAGACCGGGACTACTTTACGCACGTCCGCTCTCCTCCTGATAAGACCAGGTCCTGAGGATCAGGGTCCCCCTCTCCTGGCTGTTATCTCTGCTCCTGGAGCAAAGATGGGGATCAGATGAGGGGGCCAAACCTGGACCAGATGGGTCTCTGGGGTTCAGCATGTGTGTCTGTTTGACATGAAACAGAGTCCGGGACCTCTCCGGAGGACTTCAGAGCTCTGCAGATCCACCTGTTGTGGACACTTTGGGGGACTCTGAGGTCCTTAAGGTGGACAGAGATCCCCCTCCGTGTTGTGGTGTCTTCTCTCTTTACAGACTGACACTCTGAGGTTTTCACTCTGAAGACTGGAACATGAATTTAATCCACTTGAATCCACAGAAACAGTCTCCGAACACCGTCCAGAACTTGACTGTCATGTTCGACTTTATTCACATCTGAGAATTAATTCAACATTTTGTACAAGACTGAAAAATCCAGATCTGAGTTTCTAAAAGTCCATTTTAAAAGAATAAAGTCATGATGATTCAGTTCTTCTATAATCTCTAGTTTTATCTCAGTAAATGTTGTTTTTATGGATTATTGTTGAGACTTTACTCGACATTATTGATGTAAAATAATTCTAATGCGTTGATGTATTTCAGTGTTGCAGCTGATCATGAATATTTGATGTCAGAGAGCTTCAGTGGTTGATTAGAGGTTCGCTCTAAAAACTCTCCTGCTGATGCTTTTGGAGAGACAAAAACTCGATACAGAGAGTTCTGCAGGATAAACTTGTGATTTTTTGTGTGTTTGGAGCGAATGCTGCTCAGTCGGTGGTCCGGATGTCAAGCCTGTCCTTGGGCGAGACATGAAACGCCGCATTTCTGCAGGTTTCACAGCCGACAGTGTTTGAATGTGTGTGAGAGGGTTATTTAGTGAGGAGTGAAGGAGGTCAAGAAGATCAGAGAGATATTAAAGCTACAGTCAGGAGTTTTTAAGATGACAGAGCAGCTGTTTATTTTTATGTGCAGAGCAGGAGCAGCAAAGACAGAAGAGGTGATGTTTGGTCCACAGGGGGGCGCCAACATCAACACAGACAGAAAGTTCCTCACAGAAGCTTTAAAGAAGATCAGGCCTTTCAGCTTCCATAGAGACATGTTCAGGTACGACTCTTTAAACAGAAGGAGATTCATCAGACTGTCGAGGTTACACTAACACTAGGAGTTTGACAGATCTGGACCTGGATCTGAAGCAGAAGTGTCTGTTAAAGTCTGTGCGACCCGTAGAGTCAGAGACAGTCACTTCAAACTGCAGAGAAATGATTTTTAAAACGATATAAAACCACAAAAACATAAAGTCACAGAGGAGATCCGTGTCTGTTTGAGTCCTCTGCTCCGCCGTCTGTCCTCTTTTCTCGGTTTCTGCGTCGTCTCAGGTCATCATCTGTCTGTTCGGAGTCAAACGCCCTGCAGGGTTCAGGGATTAATATACATGAGATTTATGGAGGCCGTCTGCAGGTAGAGAGGGATCCTGATGGAGAGATACGAGGAAGGAGAGGAAGTTATTCTGTCAGACTGAATATGAGACCCCGGAGACCCAGACCCCCCCTCTCCTGCACCCTCCGACCCCTCTTAACCCCCCACCCCACCCTCCACCACCACTTACAGCCCTGCCAGTTTAATTACACTTGAAGGCTGTAAATTTTACAGTGTTGGTGGAGTCGGCAGGGTTCGTCTGCTCTGCCAGAATCCACCGCCTGTGAGGAGACGAGAGGAGACGAGAGAGTTTACTTCAGACAGGTTTAGTTAACCTGAGACTAACTTAGTCTGGATCTTAAACTGGATCTTTAGCTCTCTCAGGTTAACGCATTCATGCTTCTTCACAGTATTTAACGTCGGTGATACCTGCACAGATTTACAGTCACATTTATTTCAGACGACCCAGACAAAAGGTGGAGTAGAGGAGCTTTAGTGGAGCTTATTTGTTCCAGCTGCATGTAGGAAACCACAGAAACACAAACACCAACTCTGTCCTCCTTAGAGCTGCGTTCACACGTGCACTAACCTCCTGAAAACTCAACATTCAACTAGTGGTTCCTCAAATTCTTCCTGCAAAGATCCCTCAGTGATCAAACCTGCATTTTCTTATTGTTCCTATAAAATTAAATCACAGTTATTATAGCAGCTCAGCTTCAACAGCTCCTCAGTGATCAGTCTGTGCCGACAGAAGCAGGTTCTTAAAGGAAACTGAGGGAAACGATTTTAATCTAAACCTTAATTTTCCAGATTAAAAACACAGACCTGAGTTCTTTCAGGAGTTCTCGTGGTTTAGTGTTTAGTCGTTTTCACACGTGTACAAAACTCCTAAAAACTTCACAGAATTTTAGGAACTTCATGTGCAAAACAGACAAAATTTCACCCAAACTTCACCCGGAGTTGTTTGCAGCCGCCTCTCAGGTCAGTTTCCTGTTCGAGCTGCAAATCCAGACGTGCAAAAAACATGAGAGGGTCGATTAAAAACAATCGAGCTTGAATAAAGAGATTTCTGCACATGCATTTACACAACACAGTTATATAAATGCATGTATATAAACCATCACTCTGTTGATTTGTTGCTGTTCAAGAAACATTAAATCTGGTTCGTCCTTCAGTGTCGACTCTACGCCATTGTTAGCACTCCATACTTCATCACAGCAGTTTTCAGCTCTGCTACACTGAGACTGTATTGAAGTGTACTGCTTTAAAGTCGGAGCTTCTGATTGGTGAACAATCGCTGCAGAAATAAAAGAGGAACAGTTGGAGGAGGATTCATGGATGCTGAATCAGTGCAGGCAGGGATACCTGAGGTGCAAGAAATAATAATTATTTTATCAGTGTGTTATTTTTTAATAAGTAGGAGTGTAAGTCTGCAACCATGTAGATTCAACACAGATGCATGAATTAACCTCGACACTGCAGCGACGTCCTGCCTCCCAAATCTGATCACACTCCTTCATCCAGCTGTACATGTACTCCCTGCAATCTTTGAAATTTTCAGGAGAGTTTGAAAAAGAGGCTTTGGTGAAATTTACAGAATTTTGCACAGATAGACAAAATCCTGACTATGAGTAAAATGAACTTAACAGATCAGGATCAAAATGATTAAACTGCAATCTCTCTGTGTGCAAACTGACGACTTCTTAGTCATCAATACAAACTAACAGGTTAACAGGTCAGAGGTCAGAGGTCACTGATAAGACTGACCAAATCCTGCACCATCAGTTCCTGGTCGTTACATTTGCTCAACTTTACGACGGGTTAGTGAGTGTGGTTGTGAAATCTTGGAGTGTTGACATGAGCGTGTCTGACCGAAACACGGGCAGAGTGAGTTTTCTTCACATGACAGTCGGTTACCTGAGACTCCTCCTATCATTACCATCATCTCAAAGTTAAACGCAGAGATTTAAATATTCAGGAAGGCGTCCTCTTAGAGATGAGATCACAGGAAGTAGTTTGACACTCAAACCGAGCGCTCACCCCCGCTGACCTCGGTCCAAACTCGGCTCAGACCAGAACCTCCTCCAGGAGAGGAAACCATCATCTCAGAGGTCAAAACAAAACCCTGAGTCATGAGCAAACAGCTGAGCGTCACATCTGTGAGCTCCTACCCATAAACCCCTCTGTTTGGGGTCTTTCCTGCTCTCGGTTCAGATTACATTTACTCTGCTGACAAACGGACTCACTTCAGGGTTTTAAGAGCGAAGTTTAACAGTCTGAGCTTTTACCTGGAAACAGACTGAGCTGGAGAAAAACAAACTCAGGAGCGTCCCGGGTCACCATCAGCCGACATGTCAGCCGCTTTTACATCCTTCATAATCTTCATATTTGGAAGTTTGTGTTTATTAATGGAAGTTTTTAACGACCTCTTTGGGTCGTGATTTCTCTGTTTTCAGTTTGCAGCTGATTCATCTCGACCCTTTAGCTTTAACTCCCCTCCTCTCTCTCTCTCAGGTACGGAGGCGAGCTGTGAGAACGAGGGTGAGGTCCTCCACATCCCCAACATCACCGACAACCCCTGCATCACCTGCGTCTGTCTGGTAAGTCTCAAATATTGGAAATATTCTCGTTGTCACTTGATTGATTATCCACCGTTCTTCAGCGCTGATCGGGTCGTTTGTGACGCTGGTTATTGAGTTTTCCGAGAGTTTGTTGTGAAGCTGCTGCAGGAGTCGTAGGAGAGGTGTGAGGAGTTTGGAGCTGCAGTAAATTATTGACTCTGGATGTTTTTGAGACCGAGAGAGGATGGCGAGGGATTTGTGAGTGCGGGAAAGCGCCCGAAGACGCGGCTCTGAACAGTTTTCTGAGATTTTACTGCAAACTTGTAGCGGTTGTTTGTTTTAGTGGACATGCTCGTCGTCACGCTGTCTTTGCTCTACGACTCTTTCCTGGAACATGGGCTCTTTGACCTCTGACCTCCACACCGATGGCCCCCCCTCACCGCTGCGGCGCTCTTTGTTTTAGGGGATGAGAATAGACCAACAAGGCTTTTCTGTGTCACTGCCTCCACAGCGGCTGAAAGAGTTGGTTTTGAAAAGGGCGTCACATGACCGGAGTTTCGCCTCCAGGAAGTACGCAGGTGTGAATCTGCTGCAGGCTGCAAGTTCTGTGTGTGCACAAGTGCCGCTTGTTTGCTTTTGCATCCTCGGTTTACAGACCGCTCAGTTAGTCCAGATATGTTTATCTGCAACATGTCCAAAGGAAACACCTGCTTTGGTTGGCTTAGCGAGTCCAAACCGGGAACCAGGACGCCACAAACGAACACTATCATCAACATTTGGAGCGTTTGCAGCATGAAATCAGGGCCAGGGTTCGAGTCCACTGAAGGCTGCTGTTCTAAAACTTCAGTCTGTAGTTTGATGGTGTTCAGACAGACAGAGACTTAATTTAACACTTAAAAACAAAATCAGACGATCATAGAGCCACAGGGTCGGATAGATTAGAAGACATTTGAGGGAATTACCGTATTTTCCGGACTATGAGTCACACTGTTTTCATAGTTTGGTTGGGTTTGTGACTTATATTCAGGTGAGAGTTATTAAATTATTTCACATTAGTCTGATGATAGTCACGCAGAAGAGGAAGCAGCGCTTCGTCCAACTCCAGAGTTGTTGGAGTTGTTCAGAATTGACACCGAAGATGAAGAATTGGATAAATTTAGTGATTTGGAGTGAGATTGAGAGTTTGGTAAACTTGTTTAAGTTTTTTATACTATAGTTATCTGAATAACTGTTAATATGTTACGTTAGCAGACCGTACACCTATTCAGCCTGTTGTTCTTTATTCTATTGTTATTATTATAATTTGCCTTTAAGATAAAACGTCTGTTCTCTGTCTTGGATTTTATAAAGTAAATTTCCCCACAAAAAGGCGACTTATACCGGTTTATGTTGTTTTTACTTCATTATGCATTTTTTAGCTGGTGTGACTTTTAGTCCAGAAAATATGGTAACCACAAAGTATTAAAGATGAAGTCGTTCACGTCTGAGGGGCGGACAGTCTTATTGGTTTGAGTGAGTAACCAGGGGTGTGTCCAGACTTCTGTGACAGGGCTGTAACCTTGTGTTTGTTTAAATCCTGCTATATAAATAAAATGGATTGGATTGGATATGCAAATGCACAAATACTCTTTATTTTGGATTTATTTAATATTTATCTATTTTATTTATTTATTTCTCTTTCTGTTTTTGTTTTTCATCTCTTTCACTTTTATCTTATTTGAACTGAAAATTGTATTTGCAACGAGGATTAATTTGATCGTGTTTGTTCATCACCTTTGTCTCTGAGGCTGCACATAAAAATTTAAAACACACAGATAACCTTTCCTTCTCCACTCATATTTACTTTAACCAGCATAAATGCATCACACAGATAGTGAGGAGGTGGGAAATGTGCAGCAGTTGAAGGTAATTTGATGGATGCAGTTTTCTTGTATTCTTAAATAAAGTCCCAAAATTTAACAAACCAACAAAATAAAATGTGCAGCATGTAAATACAGCGACAGGTACTGTCAGACCACAGACCAAAACACTGATTTTTTGCAGAAGTTTAGCTATAAAATAAAAACCCTAAATATCCTCAGAGAGGTGATTTAAATCCTGATGCTCCTTCTGAACTTTTACTTTTCACACTTTTAAACCAACTTGAATCCTGATTTTAAAGCTGGAACATATAAAGCTCACAGATATTCCCGTTCATGGTTGGGGTGACTTTCAGCGTCCGAACCCTGGCTCCTGATTGGCTGCTGTGAGGCCCCCCTCGGCCTGCAGTCTGACTGAGCCGTCCTCTGTGTTATCAGGCAGACATCAGCCAAAGCCCCGCTGAATGCTATCAGTCATCAGCAGGCAATGGGCGGCCTTTCATCTCTGCTTTAACCCCGCTACACACACACACACACACACACACACACACACACACACACACACACACACACACACTCATAAACTTTCATACATTTAGCGCTCCGTCTTTATTGAATTCAGTTCCTGTTTATCTCTTAAAACAGAATTATAACATTAATATAATTCAGATGTCGCTCTCAGGTTTCACGGTGAACACATTTACCTGATGAAGCTAAAGCTTGAAAATTCCTCCTAAATCAAAGGAATGAAGAGTTTTTTATTCGTCACATTATGAAAATAATCTTTTTTTAGAAACTGTGTCAGTGTTCTTGGAGCTGGAGCGATCTGGCACCTTCAGCATCGATCAAGAGTTATCTTATCTCCCCTCCTGTCAGCTATTCCATGATTATTTGGACACCCACGCTATCTTAAGTAAATATGTGCACTTAAAGCTGCAGTGAGGAGTTTTTAACGGGTCAGGAAACAGACTTGTATTTAATGATAAAACCTGTGACTTTGAGGAGGAGAAAAAAAAGCAAAATATCAGATTATTTTTGCAAAGCTCGAGACATAAGAGGACCTTTTTCGTCTGTTTTTGCAGGAGGAAGATCTGAAACATGACAGCCTGATAAGCAGCTACTTTGAGCTTTAATTTCTTTATATATTTGTTAAATAAAAGTCGTTTTCATCCATCTAAATCCATTCTTTTGAACATCGTGGTTAAAAGCGGCTCTTTTGTAACTGCGCCTTCACTCTGTCATCGCTGAAAAAAGTGACTTTCTGTGTCGCCCTGAAGTCTCTGGGGGGTTGGGGAGACGTCAGGGCTCCAGTGTCACTCATACGCTGAGGGGTTTGGGAAGCTAAGGGGGGTCTTTGGCTCTCCAGTTGGTCCAGAGTACCTGCTAATGGCTCCGTGGGCAGGACACACACACACACACACACACACACACACGCACACACACACACACACTCTCAGATACATACAGAAGAGGCATTGTGTGGGTCGGGGTGAGGCCGGGCGCTGTAATGGGGCCAGGAGTGGATGTGGCTGACAGACTGACTGACAGGTCGGTCGCCATGACGATGGGTTATCTCAGACAGAGCCGGTTCCATCTCCGTCACGCTCTTCATCATCCTCGTTTATCTGTCTGTTCATCTGCGTGTCTTTTTCCACTCTCTCATCGGCTCTTCCTCCCCTCCTCGCCCGCCCTCAGATCGGATCCTCGTCTTCAGGGCCTCACTCGTCCAGGTTCAGGTTTTAGTCCTGTGCGCTTCGTGAACCTCAGATATTTTCACTCACGGCGTTTTTAGAGTAAGACCAGAAGAAATAACAGCTCTGCTTTTGCAGACCTGGATTGACCTCCGGTTACGCTCAGACTGTTAATTTTCTGATTTAAAGCCTCTGTAAAAAAAAAAAGACAGGTCCATGTCAATCTTGGCGCCCCCGGTGGACAGAAGCAGTAATTCAGGTGACACGTACCTCCTCAGGTATTAAAAATGACCATGCAGTGTTTGTAAATACTCTACGAAGATTACATGAAACATGACTGAGGCCAAAGGTCAGAGGTCAGAGTGGCCCTTTAATCGATCAAACAAACATCCTAGATGTACGACACACAGAAGTTTTATACTCAGCAGCTGAGATCGATCAGAGGAAGGTCAAAGGTCATATCCTGCCAGTGTCTCAACTCAAACAGTAGCTGATCAATAGAGGAGGGGCGGAGTTTACCTGATAACCACCTGAAATCCTAACTTCAGGGTTTCTGTGTTTCATTACGTTAAATTCAACCCCTTTGTGGTGTAAAAACCCTCAACAGATTATTTGATCTGTTTAATAATTCTTTATTTCTGTTCAGCTTTATCTGTAATACTCGTGTGAGTTGTCCTGTTGTCCTCCGACCAGCGGGGGGCGCTGTCCTTGTTTCACTCTAGTGAAAAACTTACCCAAACATTCAGTCATGAGAAACGACTTGTTCAGTTTTAGTAAACTGGTTCCCATCGGCGCCTTTCCTCAGCCGTCTCGTCCTTAAGCTACTGTGGCTCCTGCTCTTAGGTGAAAGGGGGGGGTCGTGACCTGTTTGTTTTGGAGGCAAGGTGAAAGGTCAAAGGTCACAGCAGCAAAGAAGGTTAAGGTTTTGGGAGGTCTGAGGTAGGAGAGGTGACGTTCAAGGGCTTAAGGAGGTCTTTGAGTTTAGAGGTCCACGTCTGTGCCGACAGACCCCGACTGATCCCGACATCCTTTAAAGAGGAGAAAACAGAGAAGAGGAGGAGAAAACGGAGAAGAGGAGGAGAAAACGGAGTAAAAGAGGAGAAAACAGAGAAGAGGAGGAGAAAACAGAGAAGAGGAGGAGAAAACGGAGTAAAAGAGGAGAAAACAGAGAAGAGGAGGAGAAAATGGAGTAAAAGAGGAGAAAACAGAGTTAAAGAGGAGAAAACAGAGAAGAGGAGGAGAAAACAGAGAAGAGGAGGAGAAAACAGAGTAAAAGAGGAGAAAACAGAGTGAAAGAGGAGAAAACAGAGAAGAGGAGGAGAAAAGGGAGAAGAGGAGGAGAAAACGGAGTAAAGGAGGAGAAAACAGAGTGATGAAGGAGGAGAAAACTAAATAAAGGGGGAGAAAATGGAGTAAAAGAGGAGAAAACAGAAGAGGAGGAGAAAACAAAGGAGGAGAAAATGGAGTAAAGGAGGAGAAAACAGAGTGAAAGAGGAGAAAACAGGTTAAAGAGGAGAAAACAGCGTGATGAGGTCAGGTAAAGTCCAGGTGATACTGAGGATCGGTCATATGAGAAGAAAGGACGATGGTGTGTAGAGGAAAGAAAAGAAAGTGATGGATGATGGGAAAAGAAGCAGAAAAAAATAAACTTTAATAATGAGGATAAAAAAGTGAACGCTGTCGCCTCCTAGTGGCAGATTTGCACTTTGTCACACTTGTAAGGACTTTTTATCCAAAGAAGAATAAGAAGATCATAAATTTACACTTTGGTCGGATTGATTCATAAATTCAGTTTTTTTATTCTATAGTTTATCACAGTCACCTCGAAGGTTAGATTGTTAATAAAACAGCTGCTGAGATTTTACTCTAATTTTTAAACTGTTCTGTTAACGAATGGTGTTTAAATGGAAACTCATTACAGTTTTACACACCACACTACACCAAAGAATCAGAGTCAAAGCTCAGTTTTATATATTTTAACACGGTAAATAAAAATGACTCTTTTGTCAGTTTCTGTGAAGGTTTCCTGAAGTTCATCCACCCAGGAAATATTATAATCTGATTACTCAGAGTGGTAGTAAAGTGTTGTCATGTGATATCTATATTTATCTGCATGAATGTGAATCTAACTTTTCTAACTTAATTTTCCGTCACTAGGAGGAGAAAAACAAGCGTAAACAGTGAAGTGTAGACTCTGACGTTGATGCTGTTTGCTCTGACAGACGGATCGTTTTTGACCTTCAGCTGTACTTTATGAATTAGTGTTGATTGAAATTTAAACGCTGCAGATGTTTTTGTCTTTTCCTGAATTCTGTGTCTTTAGAGATTCATCCACTTTAACTTCTTCTACTTCACTGAAATCCTGAAATTCACACAAACTTTGTGTCATTAATAGTAAAAATAATCATCTATGAAGTTTGACGAAAAATAAAGATTTAGGCTTCAGTTTAACTAAAGTTTAAATAAGTGATTAAAAAAACACAAAAATCTGCAGTTATGAGTTTTTATGAGGACAATCAGCTGTTTACATTTGTATTTGATGAACCAGCTTTAGCAGGAAACCTCATATCTCCATACAGTAGCAGAATTACAGACAGACAAACACGGAGAGTACACACACTTTCTCTTCCTCCCACACACACACACTTCCAAACATACCCTTACTCGTGTGTGTGTGTGTGTGTGTGTGTGTGTGTGTGTTGGGAGTTCGTCGCCCACGGTGACAGACAGCCGTCCGGTCGACCAGCCTTGGTGCCGTGGTGGTATGTTGAGTGTTTATAAGGCGTGGTGACCCATTGTGACCTTTGACCCTCAGACAAGAAGGGTGAGAGGGCATGTGTGTAAGGGGGGGGGTCACATTTACTACTTTGTGTTAATGAGTAACAGCAAAGAGAGAGAGAGGGAATAATGGTGTATTTTGTACACCATAATGTGTAAAAAGTAGATCCTTGTTTGGTCTTTTCACGCAGTGTATCACTCCGCCTCAGCTTGGTGCTCTGAATACTGTGAAATAAGACGACAGCAGGAGGAGGGAAGGATTTTTAATCGTTAACATTTTATCACAGGCAGCAAAACAAACAAATGACTCAGTCCAGACTTAAAGACGAGACCTAAACTTTGATTTTAGGATGATTTAGAAAAATGTCCGTCACTTTTAGCCCAGCAGTCTTAGCTTCCACGCTCCTGATCGCTACATCCTCTCTCTGCATTTTGATTCAGTCCTTTGGCTTTTCAGGCAAACATGAGGACACTCACACCTCCCTCCTCCTCCTGCTCCTCTCCCTGCTCTCCTCCCTCCTCCTCCTCCTGCTCCTCTCCCTGCTCTCCTTCCTCCTCCTCCTCCTCCTGCTCCTCTCCCTGCTCTCCTCCCTCCTCCTCCTGCTCCTCTCCCTGTTCTCCTCCCTCCTCCTCCTGCTCCTCTCCCTGCTCTCCTCTCTCCACCTGTGGCTCTCTGACAGTTTGTACATGATGATTTGGAAAACGTGGTCGTCTAGGGTTTAAAAAGTTCCTGCTCTTAGCTTGAGGGTGCATTTTTCAGACTTTAAGGACTTTTTAAAGAGAGCGATCTTAAAAACCTCTCACAGAGGTTTTCTTTTTAAATCCTCCTTTCTTTACAATCGTCTACATAAGGAACCATTAATTCAGTTTTTCTTCGTTTGTTAGCAGACCATCTTTCCTAGAATACCCACCCAGACTTGTAGATTTTGTTCTCTGGACAAAGCTGAGTTTGCAAAGTGAGATATCTTTTCCCTCATGCTTCTCTCTCCTCTCTCTCTGTATTTCTCTCTCTCTCCTCCTCCTCTGTCATGACATCATCTGTCCTCAGTGTGGTTGGGGTTTAGTTGGAGCTCTGCAGCTATATTAAACCACCCTGGTTTATTTTCGCCCCGCTTTGATCCGTCCTCGTTAGAGCCGCTGCCACAGGGCCACAGAGCCATGGGACCTGCCAGCCTGCACTTTATAAACCCTCTCAGTGTGTAAAATAAAACGCACACACACACACACACACACACACACGTACATCTCCATCGTGTGGATACAATCAGCAGTAAAAAGCCGGGTGTGAAAGTGGAGCGGATTAAACAGCCGGTCCGGTCCCGCGGTGCAGTTTGTGGTGATGTTGGACACGCTGCAGGTTTGTGGAGGTGGCAGCAGGATTGTTGAGTTGGTGTGAAAATTCACAGCTAAACTGTGAAGACGGAGTCACTTTAAACTCAGGGAAACAAAGACCTGAGGGCGCGACGGAGAAATCAGGAGGCTGTAAAAACAATTTAAGTTCCAGTTTGGTTGATTTTTGGAGGTAACAGTCTAAACAAAACCCACCTGCTCAGACTAGCCTACTCCTTTTAATTTACCTTGTCATATTTTATCTTTATTTTATTGTATTTTTTATTTAGTTTTTTAAAATTATTTTATTGTATTTTTTATTTAATTTTAAATTTTTAATTGAATGTACCATAAACTTATTTTATAATTTTTTATCTCTCATATTTTTTAATTGATTTTAATTTAATCTTATTTAATATTTTTATAATATTTTTTTATATTTTTGCTAAATTTAAAATTTAATTAAATTTTTTAATTTTATATTACTTTATATTATTTTTTTATTTTATTTTATTTTTAATTTAATTTCATTTTAATTTAAATTAATTAAAAAAAAAAATAAGAATAACAAAATAATAACAAAAAAATAACCATACAAAAAACAGTTGATTGATTGATCATGAACTGATTTTATTATTTTTTTATTGTATTGTAACAACATCAACTATGCTGGGCGTCTAATAATTGACTCTCTCTCTCTGTCTCTCTGTGTGTCTCTGCTGCAGGAGGGAAAGGCCGACTGTAAACAGGAGAAATGTCCGCTGGTGTCCGAGGATTGTGCTCTGGTGGTCAAACAGACCGGCGCCTGCTGCGAGAGGTGTAAAGGTAAGACCGACGAGAAGACGGACGGATGGTTTTAGATACGAACAAATCTAAAACGGAAAATTTAACATCTCCTGTGAACATCATGAGTGAAATGAGATGTTTTAAAATACCAGAAGTGATAAAAATAATGACCCTGGGATTGTTTATTGTGGGGGTGCAGTATCTGCAGCTGCAGCGCACTAATAAGAGGCTGAAATAACACACCAGCGCAGAAAACACACACACACACATACACACACACACTTTATGTCGAGTACAGGCCTAGATATGACCTGTGGGAGGGAAGCTGTATCATTTACCTCAAACACACACACACACACACACACACACACACACGGCCTGTGAGGGTTCAGTGTTGGGTTTACAGGCCTCAGATCTACAGTCACTTTTATGAGCCAGAAAAACCTTCATCCTCCTCCTCCTCCTCCTCCCGGTGAAGCTCCGCTCTCTGCCTCATGTTCAGGTTTATTTATTTGTCTGTCAGGACTCTGGCCGCCACACTGAACTCAACACGGACTGGAGGAGGTTTTTCAGACGTCACTGCGGCCAGAAAACAACCATCAGCTCCCGGAGCGTCCTCCTTAGACTGTTAAAATATATCTGCAAATCAACTGAGGTGTCTGATCCGGATCCTAGAGTAGACTGTTTAGGACTGTGTTTCTGCTGGACTCCAAGAAAACAGCAGAAAACTCAGAAGATGTCTTTGTCCAAAACTGATAGACTGACACAGTAAGGATGAAAAGTTCTGGTACTGGAGAGACTCTGTGGTCTTAACAACGAAAAAGAGGAGATTTTAGTGGTCCAGTTTGGTCCTTATCTGAAACACAGACAGAGTTTGGGCTGAGGGATCTGGAGGATGACAGTCCAGCCTGAGTCTGGTTCTGCTGGAGGTTTCTGCCTGTTTGCTGGTGCTGCTGAATGATTCTGCACAGTGGATGAAGAGACTGAATTTGATCCTCTCTTAAATCACATGATTAAAGCTCTGACCTGATCATTGTGGAAACATTTTGAGATAATGTTGGTTGTTGATTTGCACCGTAAAAATAATGATTGATGGTTGAATGATTGTAAACCGATCAGGAATGATGAATCTTTCTGTACAGAAGAAGTTTTTAGGGCTTTTTAAGACGTCCAGACCAGTCGAGGACTAAATCTGCAGGATTTTCAGTTGAATATTTTACATTTCTTTTTTCGCACATGTATCGTAGAGCTGCATGAAAATCTGTGATGTTTCCTCGTCAGATTCCTGCGTCTCTCAGCTGATGTCAGTGTTACGTCATGAGGGCCGTGCCTCAGTGAAGTGTTTTCTCCCAGCTGAAAACACCAGGTGCTCTTATCAAAACCCCAGCTTTAAAGGGGCTTTGGAGGCGCCGTGTTTGGACAGCCAGGACACTTTGTCTGAGTCTAGTTGCTATGATGGGGAATATCTACAGACGTAAATTAGCTTTCACATGCTAAAGTAGACCCTCTTTGTCCCCTCGCTGTTGATTAGAGATGGGCTGACGCACACAGGGAGAGAGGAAGGATCAGCGTTTGAGAGTGTGAAGTTTGGCTCGACTGCAGCAGCGTCTCCGCACGTATAAAATCCCAGAATTACAAAATGTCTTTGCAGAAAATTATTTTCTATCTCCTGAATCAGGAATAATAGTGAAGTTTCTACAAAAGAGTGAAGCTTTAAAGACTCGACTTGTTTTCTATGATCTACGTTTTCCATTGACGTCAGTCCAGTTTGAGTAGTTTTGCAGCGTTGAGCCGCCGTAGGAGAAACGGCGTCTTCCATCACTCCCATGTCGTCGTCATGACTCTGAATAAACTCCACAAAAATCTGAGAAACCACAAAAAAAAAAACACGTCCTCGAGCTGGTCCTGTCCCCCTCTGTGCTTCTGGAGCTCCACGGCCCCATCGAGGAATAACACACACACACACACACACACACACACACACACACATACACACACACACACACACACACACCTCACCTCTCAGCTCTCAGCAGGGGCGAGGTCCTTTTGTTTGCGGTCCGCCGTTTTTACGACGCAGCACTTCGTTAAGAGAGGTGAAACAAGCTGCACCCGGACACGGAAAGCCCCCGGTTGCCACGGCGACCCTTGTTAGTTTTCTATTGTGCGGTTGACTTGTGGCCGCTGTGACCAAATTTAGGACCCCTTTGTGTCCTCGGCTTCAGGAAAACGCCCCGAACTCCAGTGTGTCACATCGCCGTTTCTCACTTTTATGAAATCATAGTTAAAGAAAAACTCATGCCCAGTCTGAGGCGGTTTATGGGGAACAGTCGAAGGGTTTAACATCGGCCTAATTAAGAGTACACACTTACTCGCCCACTCTTGGATTGATGGTCCTGAATATGAGACTTGTGCTGAACAACACGGCAGCAGGACCTTCTCTCCGTCCATCTCGTCTGAACTCCTGTCCTGGAGTTTCACCGGGCGTCCTCCTCTGCTCTGATCCAAAATCAGAGGGTTTGGTTTACACTGAGGAAAGCAGATCAATGCCTCTGATCGGGTTTCATCCTATGGAAAGTTCAACATTGATCTGAGACCTCTTACAGTAACTGAAATGAAATGAATACGTTTTTCATTTGGCGCTGAGCGGACGGGTCAGTGAGTGCGGAGTCAGAACCGTCTAAACGAGAGCGTCAAAGTTTGTAAAAAGAAGATTTATGAAGGTTTGAAACAGATGAAATGAAACTGGATAATTATGTCATCGTAACTTATGAACACATGAACTGAAACTTTGGTCAAAGGTGGTTTATCTAAGTGAAAACATCCAATAATACTCTATTTAAAGCTCCTGTGAGTATCTTTGCTTTGTGTCTGTTTTGGCGCCCTCTTGTGGACAAAGCAGTCTTCGTTTATCTTTCATCCTGCTGATTTTTGTCAGTCGCCTGTATCATCTATCATGGATTTTATGTGGAAACTGTTCCTGGGCAGCTTGACTGACACCAAGTTTCAGGGATTAAAAATCAGGATCTAAAATCTCTGATCTCGTTTTAATCAGGTCATGTTCCTCCTAAAGTTCCTGGTAATTGTTAAAAAGTTCCTGTAAGTAAATGAGATTATGAGGAATTAATGTTTTCATATGTTGGTGAATTTTAATCTGCTTAAAAAAACATGTTTCCTTCTGGATATTGAGTTGAATTGAATGTAAAGATACAGATTTGTTAAGCTGTTGTCTCTTTCCTCGTCTCAGGTTGCATGTTGGACGGACGATCGTATAACAGCTCAGTGTCCTGGACCAGCTCCACCAAACCCTGCATGAGCAGACGCTGTCAGGTGTGTGAATATGTGTGTGTGTGTGAATGTGTGTGTGTGAATGCGGCTGCACTGACCGTCAGCAGATGAGAGGTGAAGCGAGCGGACTGTTGTTTCAGCTCAGACGTCACGTAGAAACCTTTGACCTCAGATCTGAATCCCTGCAGACGAGCGGTGGAGATTTACAGACAGAGAGAGAGCAGAGGGACAGAGGAGATAGAAGGAGGCACAAGAAAGACGTGCAAATGAGAGGAGGAGAGAAAAGCTGAAGAGATCAGAGACGTCATGATGATCCTGCACAGAGAGACTCGGAGAAATCTTTTCAAAGCTGCTGAACTAAAAACTCTTTATCTCCTGGTTTTGACAGGAAGGTGTCATCACAGAGTCCGAGGTCCAGTGTGTCGTCCACTGCAAGAACCCCAAACTCCACCCCAAGAAGTGCTGCCCCACCTGCCCCAGTGAGTCCGAGTCAGACCTCATAAAACTGTTAAATATCCAGAGGGTCCAAACTTTGGATTCAGAGGTTTTGATTTAGTCTTAAAGAAAGAAAGTCAAAGAAACATGTGGAGTGTTTGCTGAAGAGTAGAAACTAAAACACAAACTGTATGCAGAGCATCTGTGTGTGTCTGTAACACAGTCACACATACGTATTTTTGATCAAAGCTGTATTACCTCATACATGTTTGTGTATTTTAGTCACTCTGTGCAAAAAGTGTACACAAGAAATTAGAAAAAGATTATTTTTGAGTTTCTTACCTCCAAAATTTAAAAATATATGTTGTGATTTTTCCAAAGCAGCCTGATTTGTATAATTCTGGAGCCAAAATTCCCGTTTTAACAGGAAAAGTTCCTTTAAAGCCATAAAGAGCCGCTGCAGGTGTAAATAAAGCGTACATGTGTTGTCGTCTTTTCCTGCAGCTTGTATCTTCGAGGGTCGCCTGTATAAAGAGAAGGAGGAGTTCAGTCCGGAGGGAAAACCCTGCATCAAGTGTACCTGCACCGTGAGTACACACACACACACACACACACACACACACAGATGTGTTTACACTCTGACCTGTGTGTGAGCGTTTCTGCGTGGGGGCCTCTGTCCTCCAAATAAGTTATTTTGGCGTCTCCTGGGAGTCACTAACTTTCGGTTGGAACAACATCCTCTTTCTGATTTTTTTCCTCCGCCTCCTCGAACCCCACCTCACACCCTCCTCCCCCGTTGGACAAACAAACCCCACAGTTACGTCCATAAACACGTCGCAGCATTAATGTGCTTTCACCTCGTTTCGGCGGCTGGGTTGTGAACAAATATCGGATAAACAGAAGTCTTAAAGTCGGACAAACGGACGTAGAAGTATTCGGCGTTGAGTCACCTGGTGTGGATGAAAATTAACACTTTCATTTTCACCTGTTCTGTCTCTCTTTTCACATTTAAACTGAAAATTAAACTAAAACTAGTAACACCATCACTATCGCCGGGTGAAATGATATACCCAAGAAAAAGTCCTTGTCATCAAAATATATCAAAATAGGACAAAACATGACAAATTAAAGTCTTTTATTTTATTTTTAACTGTTTATTGTCCAAAGGGAGGGGAAAAGTGCTATGAGGGACCAGATGAAAATACAACAAAATCACTGAAATTAGACATTCATCAACAACAAATACCAAAAATAAAACATATATATAAAGAAACTGTGAACTTCCTGTTCCTGGGTCATGTAAATCTTCCCTGGTTCAGACTCAGGGTCCTCGGCACAATAACAGGAGAGAGAAACAGAATCTGTCAGATTTGGAGTAAAAAGGATTAAAGCTGACTCCAATATTTCTGATCTCCATCTAAATTCCCTTAAAAATCACGACTTTGTGATAGTTATTCATAACCACTGTGCTAAATAAAGATATCATGTAAATTCCAGGACCACTGGAAGGTTTTGGATCAGGGAAACAAATATGTCTTCAAAGATGTCAAAGGAAATGCTGAAAAGGGATGGGAATTAATAAGATTTTATCGATATCGATGCCATTATCAATTCTGTTTATCGATTCAATTCTTTAACAGTTCCCTTATCAATGCCTTTCTTTGATTTAAAAAAAAAGTAGACTGTAGGTTTTCATCGTTAACCCAAAATTTTATTTGGTCCCTGATAACAGGAACAGATGTTTGCCACCTTCAGCCAGAGTCTAAAAATAATCAAACAACAAACTATTTGTACTTCGGCCGGTACCGAGTCAAATTATGGTGACCGTATTCTTGATCCCCTAGAGAGGACAGTACTGCGTGGGGCGGAGTTGCGCAAAATTTTTGAGTGTTTTTTTTTATGCGCTTTTACCTCAGTTAGTCCACGGTACACAAATTCAAAACTTCCATACAAAACCTGTAGTCGTCTATCTTAGTAAAATGAAGCCACACTTTAGATAATTTCTGCCGACTTCTTGTACCATTCGCCTTGTTTTTTTCCCTCGAAGTCTCAGTTCCCGTTCGTGTAGACTGGCACTCATGAGAACGTTTTTCAAGGCACCCGGAAGAAAGGAATCGTTAAGATAAAATGTAAATGATGTCGATGGATTGAACTATTTGGAACCGGTTCTGGATTCCCATCCCTAACACTGAAGCTACCCAGGGACCCATAACACTCAGACAAACACAACATCATGAAAATCACGTCAACATGTTTGGCGATGGAGTTCTCGGGTTAAACGTCAGAAATCAAACATCCAACACTTTCTCTTGTCAACTCAACCCAAGCAGAAAACTCGCTATGTGACAGACAATCAGATTTTTGTGTGTGTCGTTGTTGTCATGGTTACAGGGAGGGCGGACTCTCTGCATGAGGGAGGTGTGTCCTGTCCTTTCCTGCCCCGCCCACCTTAGCCACACCCCACCTGGACAGTGCTGCCCAAGATGTCTCGGTAAACACCAGCGATCTCTCCTTTGACCTTCAGAGTGAAACTTTGGAGGATTAAAATTTACATCCTGGTATTTTGAAGAAGAAAAAGTGTTCTGACATGGCGATTAGCTGAAGTTCACCTTTTTTAACCTTCTGAGTGTTTGAAGGTCGTCTGACTGTTCAGGTTCGTCTCTCCTCCTTCAGGTCAGAGGAAGGTGTTCGATCTCTCTCTGGGAAGTTGTCTGTTTCACAGCGAAGTTTACGAAAACGGAAACTCCTTCGTGTACGACAACTGCACCACCTGCACCTGCAAGGTACGGATGAGCCTCTTTAACCGTCATCGTAGACGGACAAACCCGATCTTTAATCCATGTCGTCTTTTTTTCGACCTTTCTCCGACTTTCTTCTGTCCAGGATTCGACGGTGGTGTGCAGGAGGCGGTGCTCTCGGCCGGGAAGTTGTCAAGGCAACCAGTGCTGCCCCGAGTGTCTGTCGTTTGTGAAGGTGGAGGAGGTGAAGTACTGCCGAGTCCGCAACAAGATCTACAGGGTGAGGAGGGAGCCAGATGAATGAGTGAATGTTGTTGATGGAGTAATGGACGTATGAATAAGCAGGCATGTAGAGGGTTAGGTTAATGTGTGGATGAATAAAGTTAATGAGGTCTGACAAATAAATGAATGGATGAAAGATGTAAGTGGTTGTTAAGAGATGATAAATGGTGAATGAATGAATGATAGAAACAAATGGATGGTTAGATTGGGGGATGAAAGGATGGACATAAATGGCTGCATAGATAAATGAATGGATGAACTGATGAACAAATGATGTATAGAAAAATCGATTAAAGGTCGTCTTATTGGCAGTAGCTTGGTGGATCAGTTCACACTTTGATGGATGGTGAATGAATGAATTTCAGTAGGGCTGGATATATAAGGATGAATGGATGAAAGATTGATGGATGTGTGAGGAGAAAGGCTGAATGGATAAATGGACTGAAACTTGGTCAAATGAATGAGTTATAAATGATGAATGGATGAATGAGAGATGGATAGATGATAATGACTGAGTGTATGAATGACAGAGTGAATGCTCTTATGGATAAATGGATTAATGATTAGATCAATAAGATAAATAATAGATGATAGACAAATGGATAATGATTGGAGAGGTGGGTGGCAGGATGGATGTATGAATTAGCGATAACAGATGAAGGGATGAATGGATAAGAGCAGTTACCGAGATGAGTGGATGGATGAACGATCGATTTGTGACATTTCTTTAAAAAGTGGAGGGGAAAGAAGAGAGAGGAATGGATGAATAGATGAATGGATAATCAAATGAAAAGATGAATGAATGAACAGATGCATATATGAATGGATAAAAACAGTTACCGAGATACGTGGATGGATGAACGATTGATGTGTGACGTTTCTTTAGAAGATGAAGGGGAAAGAAGGGAGATGTATAGGTGAACAGATGAATGAATGAACAAATGAACAGATGATCAGATGAGTAGAACAGATGAATGGATTAATAAATGAACAGATGAATGGATGAATAAATTAATGGATGAATAGATGAATAGATGGAAATAAGAATTGATGAACAGATGAATGGGTGAATAGATTAATGGATGACCAGATGAATGAATGAACAGATGAATGAGTGAATAGATGAACAGATGAATGAATGAATGAATAAATAAAATGGACGAACGGATAAACAGATAAATAGATGAACGGATGAGCAGATGAACGGATGAATGGATGAACGGATAAACAGATGAACAGTTGAATGGATGAACGGATGAATGATGGGTCAGTTTTTGTTCTTCGCAGGAAGGAGACATGTGGTCGTCGGTGAACTGCTCTCTCTGCGCCTGCGTCAAAGGAAACATCGAGTGTCGACCCAAACAGTGTGTACCAATCACCAGCTGCCCCTCGGTGAGTGACAGGCCTGTCAGCCAATCAAAAGCTTGCATTGGGTTCGCAGGATTTACATGGAAAAACAAACATAGTGGGGACTCAGTCCAAGTAGAAGAAGTTTGTGCCGTGGGGCGGAGCTTTCTCCAATGACACAAACTTTAGAGGTGAATGGAAATAAACAGATGAAAAAGTTCATTCATCCACATGTGATGAATACATGAACGGACATCAGCCACTCCAGGAGACTGAGGATGTTGTTGTACCTCCAGCTCTGTCTCTGTCACTCTTCTTTATGCTCCTCTCTCTCTCTCTCTCTCTCTCTCTCTGAGTGATCGCTCTGACCTTCAGTCTTTACGGCCCGTGACAAACCGCATCATTTTCACTTCACACGTGTGACGTCTCCAAACAGCCACACTCCTCTGATTCGCTGGCAGGGCGGCCAAAAGCAACATTCAGATTCAGGCGTGGAGAAGCCGACTAACTTCTGTGTGAACGCGACGTTAAATCAGACCGCAGAGGACGCTCCTCCCTTTTAGCACATTAGAGATCAGACACAGGCGAGCAGCGGGACGTTCGCCGTCAAACACTCTGGGAAGGTTTTCGCCGCGTTCACCTGTCGCAGAGGCGGCTCCAGGGTCATCTGTCGGTTGGCGGGTGATGGAGTGGATTCCTCACATACCGCCGGCTGCTGGCGGTCACGCAGTTAAAACCGGTGTCAGTGTTAGTCCAAGTTCACACGCTTCCAGCGGTTACAACAAGCCCTCACCTGTTGTTTGTGGTCAGAGCGGGCGGCGGCGGGCTGATGTAGGTGGTCTGACTGAGAAGAGTGAAGAGACGGTTTGGAGGGGGAAGAGGTCGAGTTTACAGCGACTTTTATTTCACCTGGTCAGAGAAGTTAGTGCGACCTTAATTCAGAGGGAGGACCGTGGACCAGGTGATCATGAGAGTTTCTCATCGCTCTCATGGAGGTCACCATCTACACGCACACACACGCACAGACACACACTCTCCCATGCCGTCATCCTGCGGTCAGCGGCAGGTCGGCAGAGTGTGTGTGTGTCTCACGGGAGACAGTGTGTCTCCGTACGGCCTTTTGTCTGTGTGACATTTGAGTGACAGCGAAGAAGAGGTTCCCTATATTTAGGCCCCCTGAAAACCAATCTGTGTGTGTGTGTGTGTGTGTGTGTGTGTGTGTGTGTGTGTGTGTGTGTGTGTGTATCAGAGAGAGAGAGTGTGTGTCCTCAGTTTGTCAAAAGGCAGCCCTCTTCAAAGAGAGAGATTGGCCTTTGTGCAGAGGTTAGGACTCTGGAGTGTGTATTGAGTGTACGTCTGTATGTGATGACAGACGAGGTGTGTGTGTGTGTGTGTGTGTGTGTGTGTGTGTGTGTGTGTGTGTGTGTGTGTGTGTGTGTAAGAGATGGAAAAAAGAAGGGCTTCCCTCAGGCAACAGAAACTAAGTGTGTGAAAGAGTCCTCTGATCTGCACCTCTGATGGAAGTTGAAACAAACACACACACACAGACACACACACACACACACTCAGACACACACACACACACACACTCACACAGAGTTTCCCGTTACACACAGACCGAGTTCAGCGGTTGAAGTGGGAGTATCGGTGTCTTTGTGGTCGTCCTGATTTGACAGTGAACTTGTCGGAGTGGGAACTTTTCCTCCGTTTTAACCTCTCGTTTAATTTCTGCTCCGTCTGTTTGAGTGACGGCATTAAAAAAAAAAAAAACACAGAGCTGCCATCTTTGTTACCTCTGCCAAAAAACAGACAAACGTGTTTTCATCCCTGTCAGTTTAACCCTTTGACGCCCGGATGTCTGGCTGATCTGTGGTGGATGTGTTTTCGTCAGTGAAGTCTGGGTCGTCATTTCTTCACTGTGATTAACATGTTTTTTCTTTTATATCTTCTTTACTTATTACGTCGTCTGGTATCAGTCTTAGATAAATAAACCGAGGATCCTCAGGAATCTTATATCCACACTGCAAAAAAGGAATTTCAAGAAAGGAGAACAGCTTTGTATTAAGGAGATCAGTCTTATTTTTTTGTACGAGAAGAATATTTATCTTGTCAACCATGTTTGGCTTTAGAAAAATTATCTAGTTTTACGAGAAAATGGCTAACTATTTCTTGATAAGATATTCCAGTTAATCTTGAGATGAGAGGAGAAAAATGTTTTACAATAAAATCCAGCAGAGCGACAAGATCATTCGTCTCGTTTTAAGAGTAAGACATGTCCAACTTCTCAATTTAAGAACGCCATGAAACAAGAACAGTTGATTTACAAGATTATTTGATTGAATATAAGAATATTTCGCTTCAGTTTTTTCATCTCTTGCTTTTCAAACTTCGTCCCAAAATGACCAGAATATTTGAGAATGGTTGGCGTTCTGTTGCCCACTATTTCTCCAGCAGTTTTGTTGTTGGTCCAATTGTTTATTTTTGATTTGGGGTGTAATAAAAAATGTGTTAAATTTTTCCATCGTTTACAGCTGGTTGATGTCTGTTGGGTCTTAAATACTTTGTGCCGATCACTCCCAGACAACTCAATACTGACTTCTTCATCCCATTTCACTTTTATTCACTCTGTTGTGTTTGAGTTTGTTTGAACGATTTTATAATTTCTGTCTCATAAAAGTGTGATAAACATCTTTAGTGTCAATAAAGAGGATTTCTGCATCATAAAACTCAGACCAGGAACTTTTTATCAAAGTTCAGGTATTTCCTGTCTGATGTCACCGTCATTGACTTCGCCTGTGTTTCATCAAAGACCGTCTGTTTCCTCTGAGTGTGTCTAACCTCGCGTCTGTGTCTCATCTTTGGCAGAATAAGATCCTGAACAGGACGGGCTGCTGTCCGGTCTGCACTGAAAGTGAGTAAGTTCTTCTTCACCCTCAAATATCCCTGAACTTTTGCATTTGAGGCTCGTAATAAAGAGTTTAAAATACATTCAGAGATATCGATTTTGCTTTGAGAGGCAGTGAAAACAAATCTCAGTCCAGCCCGGAGTGTCAGCTGAGCGTTTCCCATGAACCCCTCAGCAGACTGCGGTCGGGGAATATGGCCTTAGATGCACCATTTCAGGACTACAAAGACTCCATAAAACGCTGCTCTCCTATAGTTCAGCAGCTAAAGCAAACATTTTCACCGCACCGCAGATCCTGGATCCACTTCAGACTGAGACGGATTAATGTCCCACTTTGCCCCATTTATTATTTATAGTCACTTTTAGCTGCTGTCTCTGAGTCCAGCTCAAACAGCAGCTGTTTTTATACGACCCGCTCTGTGTTTGTTCTTTTCTCTCATTTCCACGTTTTAAAGTCTCTCCGCCTCTGTCCCCCCCCACACACACACAGAACCTGGTGTTTGCACAGTCTTCGGAGACCCTCACTACAACACCTACGACGGCAGGACCTTTAACTTTCAGGGGACTTGTCAGTACGTGTTGACACGTGACTGTGGTGGCGCCCCCTCTGGAGGACCAGGGAATAACATCAACGGTCCAGACTCCAGCTTCATGGTAGGACGAGAGTTTCAGTGTTTTTTATTGTTTTCAGACGGGGTGATATGAATCGTGTTTCTATAGGGTGACCATATGTCCTCTTTTACCCGGACATGTCTTCCAGCCTTGTCCGGGTAAGTTTATAAAATTTTTCAAATGTTTCACTTAGTTAGAAGCGTGTAAAAAAACACTCGACTTGACCCACAAAACTCTCAAAATTTATTACGCGTGACTCTGCAACTCGGTGACTCCGGCCCTGCGTAGTCGTGTCATCTTTTTGGGGATTCAGAATATGGTCACCCTCGTTTATAGGCGGTAAAGAAATACCCAAGGATGTGTTTTTCTTTAGCTCTTAGCATCAGCTCTTGAAACTGGCCGCCTTTTGTAAACAATAATAGAAATTATTCACGGCACACCTACTCCATTTTCCTGGAAAATCATCACTGAGGTCAAGAGTGTCATGTGACGGTCAGGTGTCGATGAGAGCGACCTCTGCTGGACACCCTGATGCACTGATGAGCTGAATGTCCTGAATCCGAACAGCTGATTAGAGTTTAAATATGAAGTTTTCTCTTCCAGGTTCTGATACAAACTGGAATTTCAGAATAAAAGTCTCCGCTCAGGCTTGATTCAAAAACAGGCAGAATGGGGTTTAATCGAGGCAGCTTCTAGTGGACACTTGAGGAACTGCATTTTTTTGCTCCACTGCGTTGGTTTTGAATTTAACATCAGAGGTCACTGATAGGTTTACTCCAGTGAGCAAAACTGCTAGTTTAACTGTTTTCTACTGTAACTACGTAAAGAAGAAACCAGGAAAAGTGACCTAGCATCGTAGAAGATCGTGTTTAGAGGTGGACGATTAGTTAATTTATCTATTTGGTCGAAACTCCTTAAAAAGAAGAGAAAGTCTCTGGTATGTCGGAGCGAAACTTTGGAACAACTACCAAACCGTTTCTTGACCATCACTTTGCAGGAATTCGTAAAAATCTACGTCGAGATGTTTTAACTTTCAGGTTCGACTGTTTCTGTCAATAAGTCAAAGTCTTTGAACGTTCAGGTGTTGGTGAAGAATGATGCCCGACGTACTCGCTCCTTCTCCTGGACTCAGTCTGTTGAGATCCGGCTGGGAGATCTGACCCTCAGTCTCCACCAGCACCTGACGGTCCGGAGAAATGGCACCCGCATCGCCCTGCCTTACCACGGTCCTGGCGTGCACATCGACCTGGACGGATACCTGCTGAAACTCACCACTATTGCAGGTCAGCAGACGTCACTGTTCTCAGAGTTCATGTCGTAGGTTTTGAGCGTCCTCTCAAACCCCTGTCTCTTGGTCTCTGCAGGTCTGGAGATCACCTGGGACGGGGACAGTTTTGTGGAGGTCGTGGCCGCCCCTCATCTTCGTGGACGCCTCTGCGGCCTTTGTGGGAACTACAACGGCCACAAACGAGACGACACCATGGGGGGTGACGGCCACTTCAAGTTCGACGTGGACGAGTTTGCTGAGTCATGGCGGGTCGAGGGTAACGAGGTTTGCTCCCAGCAGCACCCGCCTCGCAGACCCACTTCCTTCTTGTGTCCCGGCAGCGTGAAAGTGAAGTTTCGCGCCCACCGAGAGTGTCAGAAGATCAAATCCTGGGAGTTTCAGAAGTGCCACCGTGTGGTCGACTTTGCTCCTTTTTACAGGTGAGAAACCCGCGATCTCCACCTTCATCCTGATCGTCTCCTAAAAGGTCGTATCCTCCGATCGTAGCTGATCGTAACCATTCAAGTTAACGTGTCAATTTACACCGACTTCTTTCCGTTCCTCTGCGGATCGCCGGACTCCTCAGCTGATCACAAGAGTTCTAAGCTGCGTCCGAATTGCCAAGTAGTAGTCGAAGTAGTATCTAGCATGTCCGAATTGGCCACCGGAGCGAGTAGCATGCTACTTCAGATACTACTTCAGATACTAGACACGCCCACATTGTAGGTTGGTCTCGGTGCATCCTACGGGCATGCTACTGACCCAAAATGCACCGCGGGCTTCTTCTTCGTCCTCTTAAAAGTTGTAGAAGCGCATGGGATGCTAGCGCCACCAGCTGCTCTGTCTATTTAAATGTGTCGCGAACGCCGGCTGGCCACAGCAGCGCGCACCATGTCGGAGCAGCAGCAGCAGGCGGGACCGCAGCAGTACAGATGTAAGTTTCATGTAACTTCACACACTGTCCTAAAAAATGTGCGGTTGTATCTCTTTGTCATGTCATGGTGTCATATTTGCCCAAGTAATCATTTTATGAGTAAATAAGTGGCGACATCATGGAGGTAAAGCTCACTTATTCCATCATTGAACTGCACAGCTGCAGTACTACAGCCAGGCCCGCAGATGAGGGGCTTCAGTTACCACTGTCTGCACGGGCGCAGTACCTACTCTCTGCCTGCGGGGGTCGTCTTTCCCCACCGCTCGTCTAGTGTGTCCGAATTGGGCCAACGTTTTTAGTATGTAGGAGTAGGATCTAGCAGTAGCATGTAGTATCCGAGCGGGCAGTTCGGACGCAGCACTATTTTTTCTGGACGCCGGAGCATGGCGGATAAATTCAGCACAGATTAACCCGTGCTGGAAAGGAAGTCGGGCACAGACACAAAATAAAACATCCTGCTTCTTTTCAAAATAAAACACTCCGTGTTTCAGGAGGATCGTATTTCACACCATGCAAACGGGCGGAGACGAACAAGTGAAAGGTTTTTAGACGTCATTTCACCCTGATGACACCATGGATGAGGAGATGCTGATTCTAGAAGTCTAGAAGTAGATTTCCTCCTCTGGAAGGACACAATCTACTGCTTATATGGTTAGCCTCTGTGGCTAAAGACAACTCGTTATCGCACGATTGCACGTGAATCTGCAGGTTCTTGTGAGTTCTCATGACTCCCGCTGTCCGTAAATCCGCCGCAAAATTCACCTCACAAATGGATCCAGTAGGAATTGGCGTACGGCGAAAATTACCACCGTTCCTGATCGGAGCCGTTCTGGATGCGGTGATAAATCTAAGTGTAAACATCAAGATCATCTGTTAAAGCTGATGTTTAGTCTTATATAAAATGAGAAACAGCCCAAATGTAAAATAAACCCGGTCCGTCTCCAGAGTCATGATCCTCCTCCTCTTCCTCCTCTTCAGGTCGTGTGTCACAGACATGTGCGAGTGTCCGGTCCATAAAAACTGCTACTGTGAGTCCTTCATCGCCTACAGTCGGGCCTGTGAGAGGGAAGGCGTTCCTGTCAGCTGGAGGCCCGACACCGCCTGTACAGGTGAGTCAAGTTTAAAGTCAAAGACAGGAAGTGTCCCGTCAGCTCGGTGTCTGATTCTGTTGTCTCCTCTCAGCCACTCAGTGTAAACACGGAGCGGTCTACGACACCTGCGGACCGGGCTGCACCAAAACCTGCGACAACTGGAACGAGATCGGACCGTGTCACAAGCCCTGCGTGGCCGGCTGCCACTGCCCCGCCAACCTGGTGCTGTTTCAGGGACGCTGCATCAAACCCACATCCTGTCCTGGACGGTGACCCTTGTGATCCAGGCGGGAGGGAGGATGATTGACAGTCAGGCGTAACCGTTTATAGTATCAGAGTCATGGGGCCAAACACGCCGAGACGGTTTTAGGAGGGTCTCTGTGGAGAGATCGGGCATGAAGAGGTACTCAGGGTTTGTATCTGCACAAAGGGGAAGCTGCAGCAGCTCCAGAGGATGGAGACGCATGGCCTCCGCCTCCTGTAATACCAGTTACCACCACCTGGAGGTGCTAATTCACTCTGAAATAGGAAACACTGAACTCCCTGGAGGAACTCTGTTTGGAGATTTTACAGCCTCTTCTATCAGAGGAACATTTTTCCACACTACCGAAGACTTCTGGGAAACATGTCGGGGCCGATGGACTCCTGGTGGAGCCGACATGGCGTCCGAGTTTCTCTCAAAAACTCTCAAAAGTGTGAAACTGAACTTCTGATGATTTCGACCCGCCCTCATGAACTCTCCTCCATCGTTTCATCCTGTAAGCTAACCAGATTTATATGAAAGACAGACAGCTTTTATATTATTATTGTTCTAATTATTATTAATATTATTATTATTATTATTTGTTGCTGATGTTGTTAATTTATATCACGGTCTGATGGTATGTCGTAGCGAGAGCCAAAATCATGAATATAATTGCGTTACAAATGATTTAAAGGGAAACAAAAGCTATTTATGTATTTGTCGTGTACTTTGGTGTTTCTGTTTGAAGAGAAAAGCCCAAATGTGAGTCTGTTGTTTCGCCATCGCAGGGATAAAGTACTGTATCGTGTTCTGCTCCGTGTACAGGTTGTTGTGGTTCGTATCAAACTGAAGGTGTTCATCTTAGCTTCTGTTTCACTTGACGATAATTATTTAAGACCAGCAGTGTAATCTTTAATCGACCTTTTTCTGACTGTCGTCACTCAAACTTTCTAAAACGATCTGACCAAAAGTTCGAATCTCTGAGGAGTTTTCTGAAGTCTTGTTTATTTAGTGAAGCAGATTCTTTCATTTGAAGAGTTTCCCCAATAAAATTTAAAAATGATCAAATATCACCAATAAAATTGTTCCTCTACAAATGATACAGGTATTTTAATTTTCATTATTTACATTTAATTTAACTGCTGAGACAGGGAGCGCTCAAGTCATGAATCTGACTACCCCCACTTTTACGCACTATTCCTGTAAAAAAACACAAAATATTACTGCAAGCGGGGCAGGCAGGAGTCTGTTAAAGAAGTGTCTGTTTTTGTGGTGTATGAACAAAAAATCTTCTAATATCAGTCAATAGTTATTAGTTATTGATGACATTTGGTAATATATCGATATCTCTGTGTTCTCTTATGTCTGTGTCGTCAACATTTGAACATTTTTGAGCGGTCCGCTCTTTCTGACTGTAAACAAAGCCGTTCTCCACCTCCTCTAACCTGATTGGTTGTGAGGCAGACGCTGCTCCCCCGTGTCGTTCAGGAGCCCAAACAAAGTTAGCGTGCTACAATATCGGACAGTAGAAACCAACCAGAAAGTTCGGAAAATTGTCTGAATCCTCCTTTGGCCACGACTGCCGACACAAGCGAGAAAACAAAGTAAATACCGGAGACTCTGGAGGAATAACGGGCGCTTAAAACGGAGGTAGACCGGACAAGAGCTAAAAAGACGGGTCAACATAAACCATGGGGGACGCTTGGGGATCTTGGTGACCCTGTAACCTTTCTGCTGGACAGGTAAACCGCTTTAACAAAGTAAGACAAGTGTCTGTAACAGAAGTGTTTCTTGTCAAACGGACCTGCTGTAGCGTGTTGTAGCTCCATCGCTAAACTGTCCTCCCTCGGGTCCTGGACTATGTCACTTTATCCTCGTTGTAGAAGTCCTGCAAACATTGTGTTTGCTGGTAGTCTGTTGGCATCTACAGTAGCACCAATGCTTTTGACTTTCACCTTGACTGGGCCCCATTTGTAATGATCTGAAGGATTTACACGGGCACTTCCTCAGATCCTGACGACCCCACCTTTCAGTCACTGGATGAAAAAGAGACCAAAACAGTGACCTTTACTTTCTTTATTACACTTCAAATATATACAAACATATTTGACATGAACAGCAATCAAACAGAAAACATGAGAAACAACAAAATCCACTTAACAACACGAGTGTGAAAGTTTCCACTCTGGTTTCTAACGTTTGAGTTTCTATCAGCACAACAGGCCAGGACGGCTGAACCAACACGGACTCAGGTGACACTAAAACCTGGTCTGGTTTGAGAACTGTAGGTGTAGTGGGTCAGGCTTTACGGGGATCTGATCATGACAATCATTCTTCTGTGAGACATAAAAACACACTTCGATGTTTTATGAGAGCAGTGACTGTAATATGACGTGTAGTTGAAGGATTTCATTTCTACATGAATATTACAGACACACAAATCTTAACATTGAGGGTTTTTGGTGATATAACAAGTGTGTGAGAGTCTGTATCTTTAACCACGCTGACCTGCTGTTAGCTTCTGTACCTCTGAGAGGCGCTGTTTTCTTCGCTTTGTTGAATGACTGAGGTAGAGACTGAGATACTGAGAAACAAAAGTTCAGATTCAGAGATTCAGAGGAATCAGAGAAGTCTGATTCCTCACATGAAACTCTAAAAAAAAGTCAAATACATATTTAATCATATTGATTTCCCAACTTTCTGTTTACTTCAAGTTTTTATTTCAGGCCGTGATTCTGTCAGAACCTGAGACCAGCACATGTCTGGATGAGATCAGATTTAAAATACTAAAATTTCCTCGACTTTATCTGTGATAAAATGTCAGATCTGTTGGATTACAGCCACATTTATCCGAGTATCACGGACATTTAACGCCACAGTACTTGGATTCTTGTAGAGGATGATTGACACGTCACTGTTTTGATCATTTCAGTACCAAACAAATAATCAGCCGATGAGTTTCTGTGAAAATACTTTCTCCTGTAAACTGTGAGATTAGGAAATTAAGAATAAGTTTAAAAATGTTTGGAGAGAAAAGAAAAGTTCCTCCAGCTCAGATTAGATCTGTAACAGACGGGAACAGAAACACTTTAATATTTGACCACTTCATAAACTCTTACTCTCTCTAACGTCTCAAACTAAACTGATTTCTTGGCGTTTTGAAATGACTTTTGTCTTTTTGCTGTTTTTCATTTTCAAACACCAAATATCAGGAACACGGAGGCCGCTGCAGACTAAAGGGAACGATCACCGACTTCACCGTTTACATGAACAACTAAACATCAGATCGAATCACGACTTTAAACACGCAGACGGACGGGACGCGAACGTTACGCTCCACCATCGGCTCTTTGGCATTTTCAGAAAAACATTCACCTTCATTTCCAGACGTGGGCGCTGTAAGGCGTGAACTGTTCGATCGGGTTCGAGAACTTTAAAAAGATTCAGGATGAAAAAATAAAATATTCAGTTTGACATAAACTCACACAGAGACCGAAGCCTGACGACCGTTTTCCCTTTTTTTAAAGATTTGATTTTGATCTTTTTGGTTTCAGGTCTTTTTGTTTCACTGATACTTTTTGACCTTTTTGACGTCTTGATGATCGTCTGCTGCGGTTTAAACACGTCAAAATACTTTAAAATATGAGGCAGATTTTAAACATCAGCTTTTCTTTTCCCTCTCCTGCGTAACTACAAGTTCATTTCAGCTAAACCAGAGGTAAAAAAGTAAACACTGACTTACTGACATGTGACAACATGAAAAGCTGGTATTTGTCAGATTTCTGAAGATTCCTCTGAGTTTTTTCTGTCCTCTCCTGAATAAACAATCACTAAATTCAGATTGAAGCATCAGCACTGCTCTAAAAAGATTATTTTTCAGGATTTAAGTCCCTCTACACGTGAGAAATCTGAAATATGGAGGTGAAATCTGATATCCAATCTTATACCCCATGAGGTACAACGTCTTTGAAATACAACCTCCTAAAGTTAAACTGTGAAAAGACGTCTGTTGATCAAACCAGACGAGAGTAATTTGAATATTATCTGTCAATAAATCCTGTCAAAGTTCAAAAATCAACAACGAACTGATTAAAGGATGTGAGTCAGAAACAGGATCAGAGCTGAAGTTAAAAATGTGCCGTATAAAAGAGAGAGAACTGCTTCAACCCTTAAAGTGAAACAACATGAGAGTTAAAACTCTGATAAACTGAGGTTTGCAGGTAAAACATGAACGAATGAATGAATGAACACAGTGCACCGAAAAATCACGTATTTAAGTCAAAAACTGGAGAAAAGAAGCAGAATGATGACAGAGCTGAGTCTGTGAGCCTGTTTTACAGATTCATGTCATTTCTGCAGGTTTTTATGGGAAACTTCTGCTTCAGTGAAGATCAGCCCTCTTTAAAAAAAGTCAGAAACAGATTTTAAACTCTGACTCCAAAACTAAAGTGAAAATCAGGAACATGGCGTTGATTTTCTGAGCGGACCTCGACACAGAAGAGACTCTGACGAAAGAAAGAAAGATGAGGGGATATTTCCCAAGATGTTTCAGCAACTTCACTGACAAACACCAGAGCGGACTGAGGAGGATTACTGAACACTCTCTGTTCCTGTTCGTCCCCGAAACACAAAAACCAACAAAAACAGACGAGACAGGAGGGTCACAGCAGCTGCTCCAGGTACAGGAAATATGGATGTGCACTCCAGTTTATAATCTCCCAAACTTCTGTTTAAAACTTCTTTTTCTAAAGTTTTGCGATAAAAAACAAAATATACATCTAATAAAAAATACAATCTTTCCAGCTTTCCTAAAATAAAATAAAAAATACAGTCAGACCAGGATGAACAGCTGAAGACGGCCTGTGAGGGACCGAGGAGGAGGAGGAGGAGTTCAGTCGTCCTCGCTGTCACTCCCGGACTCGCTGAGCTGAAGGTCATTCCCTGAAAAGACCAGAGGACACCTGAGTCAGTTTTTATTAACACCCGCTTCTCTGTGACGTTTCTCCATCCTGATCCTGGTAGAAAATCACGAGAAGAAACACTCGAGGTGAAACGAAGCAGCAGCCTGTAAACACGCAGAGATCTAAGATTCAGTTTTCTCACAGAGAGTTTCAGACCTCATGAGATAAACCTGGTTTGACTCACGGAGTGTGTTCATGAGCTGGTTGTTGCCCTGCTGTCGGTCGGCTCCTCCGTTGGCCATGGCGTGGCGGTTGGGGGAGGTCTGGCTGAGGGGTCGCGGGGCGTCGTGTTCGCCGTCGCTGCTGCTGCTGTCGTCTCCGCTCCCTGAGGCGCTGGCCGAGTCGGAGGAGCTGCTGCTGCCGCTGCTGCTCATCTGCTCGATCACCTCCACCTCTGCACGCAGCTCTGTGAGCAGCAGGGGGCAGCACAGAGTCAGTTTAACATACATTATACATTTCAATTCACCGACCACGGTTGGACGTCCTTACCTCTCTTGATGTCATCCAGCTGAGGCTCTGGTGAGGGGTTATCTTTGGAAGGGGACGGGGAGGTCTTGACCCCGGCCCCAGGCTTGGTGGGAGCCCTGAACTGAGAGCTTGGCTGACTGGATCGAACCGACTGCTGCTCGATACGGGCCTGGATCTTACTGCTGCCCTCCGCCCTGAAACACAAACATCAACAGAATCTGAGTGTAAAAATGTCCTCAAAGTTCAACTGAATGTTTATTTCAGGAGGATCCTCTCTGAACATCACTCTCCTCTTCTTCTCCTTCTAACATGGTTTTATCTCCAGAACTTCTCCTTCTCTTCACACGTGTTTTTGTTTTATTATAATCTCAATAATCCACTCCACAAATAAAACTGTTAAATCTTACATGAAACCAGAGAAACAGGTTAAATTTCATTTCTCACTAAAAAGATGTTCGATTTAAAATAATGAAACCTGTTGAAGTTGTTGTAGTAACAGTCAGTGACCAACAGATGGAGCCAAAGACCTCTAAACTCTTCATCAGACTGAAGCTCAATGTTTTTGCCTCGTCTGTTTCTGTCTGTACTTTCTGTAAAGCCTTCTGTTAAACCTCTCACCTGGTCTTCTTGACTTGGATGCTGCTGCTCAGCTTCTCCAGGACGAACTCTCCGGTGTCGTGATTAATGATGAGCACGCAGTCCTTCTGATACGGCCGCTTGTTTCCTTTAAACACCGTCATGGGAGGCGTGGAGCCCTGCGAGGACAGCGGTCATCGACGTTTGTTCATCAGAACTACAGAGAAAAAGGAAAACCACAAAGACTTACCGGGATGTGAGGTAACGTGATGGTGACTTCATCTCCTTTCCCAACCTGCAGCTCTCCCTCACAGCTCGTGTCGATGGACGCCGGTTTGAAGTCATCTGAACAGGGAGGAGAACGGAGGAGAAAAGGTCATTAATCAGGGAAAATAAAGAGTCCTGCACTGATATTTAAGAGTCAAACAGTTGGATAAAAGTATTGATTAAGTGTTTTTTTACACTGTGTCCTCATTTATGATCTCTTAATCGATGTCCAAGCCAAAACAGTTTGATTTAATAAACTTTCAATTATCTGTAAAACACCAAATTCAGTTTGAACTTCACACACAGCTTCTCCACGGTTGTGAAATCGTAGTTTTAGTTTTAGGTTAGACAGATTTGGATGTTGCTCCTCCCCCTTTCACCCACCCTCCTACTTAACACACCTGTGTCAGGTGAGCTGCCTTTCCTTTGTCTGTCTGCTTGTTGCCACATGGTCTGAACAGAGGAAAGGAGGACTGGTTTGTGGTGTTTGACCTTTTATTTTAAACTCTGACCTTTTATCAGTCGCTGAATTGTGTTTGTTCTTTTCGACTGTTTGCCTCCAGTTCACTCTTTTCCCTGACTGTTGGTGTAAAGTTAAGTGGGTCGGCGGAAACCTGGATAAATGGACCTAAACAGGTATGAGAGGCTGCATTTTGTGGACAGGAAGACAATCACATTTTAACAGAGTAATACTTTCTTTTTCTTGTAATTCAGACACAATCAGCTGCTGTTTTTAGATTTTGGTTTGTTTTAGTCATTGATTGTAATTAAAGAGATTTTAAATGATACTTTGGCCTCTTTTTCTAATTATATTACAGTATGATCCTGTTACTGCAATGAAAAGTACTTCAACAGACGTATATTTAACAAAAAAGGACATTTATTATTTGGTCCCCTTGGCAGGTGAGCCGAAGAGTTGGTCAACACTCCTGATTTCATTGGTTAATTGTTAAAGAATCCATTTGTAATAAACCTTTCTGATCAACAACAGACTCAAACATTCATTAAGAATTCATCACTAACTCTTTTTGTTTTCTTTCAGCAGACACTTCCAGGTCCAAGCCTTTTTACATCTGATATCATCAATAAATGTTGATTTGCTTTGACCCACGTCTCTGTCTTGTAGAATTACTCGACCCTGTGTTCGCTCTTTTATGGTTGAAACTGGGTAAGTACCTTTGAATGTCCCTAGGTGGCGTTGTTGGTTACCTTGATGTAAGTCTGAAATTAACCCTTTCCACACGGCCACATGCGACAAAAACTCGTAACAAAACAAGATTTAAGACACATCCTGTGTGTAGGTCATTACACTGACATGAGGAAGCTTAAGGCACAATTATCGATCACTAGTGAACAAATGGAGTATGAAGATGCATGGCACTAGGGCTGGGCAACATGAGGAAAGTTTATCACTATTTATTCGCTATATTGACATATCAGTAAATATCGATATATCACGATATAAAAAGAAGTTTAACAGTGTTTAGTATCACATGTCTTTAACAATAATCTCCTGCATCTGTGAGGTCTTTGTGTCTCTTCGACGTTTTCTCGTAAGGTGTTGCTCTAGAGAAAGCCGACTGAATGGTCGTCTGTTTTTGGTGTTCAAGTACTATGGATGCGTGTAGCTGCTGTCTGCTACTTCGCAGGTTTTTGCTACTTGGTTCTAATTCATCACATGATTGGTTCAGCATGAACTGAATCAGAGGGAACTCCCCTTTTCATTGACTATTCGTATAGTCTACCAAAACCATAGACTGTATATAAAATGGACAGCATCTGCCTCCTCACTCTAAGAACAGCGCCCTCTGGTGACAGGCTGCAGTATAGGTCATAAATCCCGCCTCCTCCAGCAAAGCTTATGGAGCTGTGGACAAACTTTAGAAATTTATTCCACAGAACATAAATGTATTTCCCCCCTGGTTGCGAAGATTGTGTAGCGTCTCTTGGCGACTCTCTGGCCAAATGGGCACAATGCGACTGCACAATGTTGGTTTCAAGAAATGAAGAAAAATCGCGGAATTACCGAGAGCTTTTCGGCTTCAAATCCGTATAAAGGTGGAAGGCTGAAGCAAGTTGTCCAGAGTAAATACAGTCTATGACCAATACATGGCAGAATGCCGACTATCGGAAAGCATACTGACCATGTTTTATATTGATTAAATTAATTTGGACATATATCGTTATCGTTTTATCGCCCAGCCCTACTCTGCCCCTCTGATCTGTTATTTTCTTCCAAGAGTTTAAAAAGTTTTTGTTTTTAATGTTCGTGAATATTAATTTTTGTCTGCCTGCAGCAGGTTCATTCATCTTTAAGGAGGTTCAGAAACAATAACTAATATTCAGATATTGATTATTTAACTTTATCTGCAGTATTTTGGTGCTCTAACTGTCTGTAAATCCCTCTAATCCTCATGTTGTGTAACATGTGAGCCGATCAAACATATTCAGTTTAAACTAAATCACACAGATGAGTTATAAATGTTCTCCACACTCACATCTGATGGTGTGAAATGAAGATTTCGGCCTCTTCTCGAAGCTTTCTCCGAGCTTTAAAACATGCTCCTCTTTGTCCAGCAGCGGGTTCGAGCTCCCGTTCATCATTTACAGATTTAAAGTGGATTTACATTTATGGAGAAAAAAATATCTGTACAAAGAATCTGTACACCTCCGAGCTGAATGAAACAACAACAAAACAAAGTTAGCCTCTAGATGCTAACGTTTAGCAAAACATCCCCGACCGTCACAAGTCTTCCGTCAACGGTACGACCATCAAATGTTTCCGAAAACAGCAACTCGACGGTCAAAATACAACAAAACTCTCTGAAAATCTCATTCGGTAACGCCTGAAATTTACAGCTTTTTTGAATTCAGAATCAAAGATTTTATAATAATTTTTTACTTCAACTTCGTGAAAAGGAGAAAATTTTAGCGCTACATTCAGGGACTCAATCAAAGCTCGGAATATGAAAACTTATCAAACCACCGTCACGCGGTTGGAAGGGTCACCGCCGTCTTTCACCTTTTTCTTTTTTTTTCGTCTCTTTTACAAAAAACTTAATCAAAGGGACGACGAAGATTTTCTTGATTTATGCCATTTGTCATAAAACCAAGTAATAGCCGATGTTCGTACTAAATACAAGGTTACGGAGTAAAAATGAGGATAAATTCACATCTGAGTAGTTTGAGTTTTAGTGCAAAATGTTTCTCACAGTTTTCAAATATAGAACAAAGATTCTGTGTCAAAAGGTATGTTAATAGAAAATCATATAAAAATGCTGATGATTCCAAAGTTTGGAAACCTTTTTTTTCGATTTTTACCACAGCACCTGAACGCCATCTCATCGCTCCACGGAAGAGTTTAAGTGACGGACAAGATGGACGTCAAACATGAGATATCGTTAACTCGGTGAAAAAATAACGTTGGTTTTAGTTTGATTTATCCCCCAAATGAGAGAAGAATCAATTTAAAATGAAATATATGTTTATTTTCTTAAATATTAGCTGTTGTTAACGCCACTGACTGTGACTCCGAGGCTGTTTGGAAGTATTATGGCCCAGAAATCACCTGAAAGTCTCACCTGTGATCAGAGTTTGTCCTCTCAGGAGGACCGAGAGGGACCAGAAGAAGGATTATCTCCACCGTGTGATCCCGGACAGACTAAAACCTCCTCTGTTAGAGTTTTAACCAAAGAGGAGGTGGACAGACTGAGCTGTGAGCGGGTCCTGGTGTCCGGGTTCAAACAGATGAAACTGGAGAAGGACTGTCAGAAAAACTGGGATTTATTTTATAAAAGAAACTCCACGAAGTTCTTTAAGGACAGACACTGGACCACCAGGGAGTTTGAAGAGCTTAGAGCATGTAGAGAGGTGAGAGAAACTGTCCAAACTTTCATCTAAATGAGGAAAATGAAAAATACTGACCTTATTCTCAACATGCAGCTATCAAACCCACCCAAACCTACTTTACCCTCCACCACTAAAATCAGCCTGTGAACACGAGTCTGTAGGAAAAAACAGGTTTTGGATCAGGGAGACAAATCTGTCTTCAAAGATGTCAAAGGAAATGCTGAAGATACGCAGAGACCCATGATACTCAGACAAACAACATCAGGAAAATCTCCTAAAAACATGTTTGATCACCGGAGTGAAAATCACCCGGCGTTAGTCTTCGAGGGCTGAAGAGTCTGAAGCCTCTTTAAAAGTCACGGTTTTGTTGTTTCAGATCAGGACCTGGTCTAGTGGTGTCCAGCCAGGCTGTTTTAGATCTGGACCTTGTTTCCTCACCCCTTTAATAGTATGTTTCCGCACAGCAATGAAAATGTCTTTTTTTTAGATGTTTCTGATCTAAATGTAGCAGGTTAGACAGCTTAGTCATAATTCTGTTAAAACACCACCGTTAGATTTAATTATGTCCCTTATGAGACCACTTCATCCCTGGAAAGATGTTAAAAAAGTGAAATAAAGGAGCTGATTTAGCTGAAGATGTCAGGTACAGCTTTGTAGAAAGTAAATCATTCAGATAAATCTGACCTGCACATGGATCTGTGCAGATTCATGGTTGTTACTCTGACATCTGAGCCTCTCTTGTTTCTTCTTTTTTTGTCCTCCCTGGTTTTCAGTTTGAGTCGCAGAAGCTGGTGCTGCTGGAGGCCGGCTGTGGAGTCGGAAACTGTATCTTCCCTCTGCTGGAGGACGATCTCAACATCTTTGTTTATGCCTGTGACTTTTCACCACGAGCCGTCGAGTTTGTCAAAGTAAGACACCCATCCATCCACTGCACAGTATAAATATACTACAAATAAATACATGAGCAGAAAACTGACTCAGGGTGACTTTTTATCATTTTCCTTGTTACCTCAAATGATGTCTGAGGTTAAAACCGGTTGTAAAGGAACATTTTTGAGTGACAGTGAGTATGAAGGAGGTCAGAAATCTCTTGTAATAAGATGTAAAAAACCTCTCTTCTCTTTTAAAGCTGAACCCTCTGTACTGCCCTGAACGCTGCAGCGCCTTCCAGTGTGACCTGACCAAAGACGACCTGAGAGAAAATGTTCCCGAAGGCGGCGTGGACGTCATCACTCTCATCTTCGTCCTGTCTGCCATCCACCCTGACAAGATGAAGCTGGCTCTGCAGAACATCAGCAGGGTAAAGAGAGACGTGATAAACTAGAAACTTTCTAAATGAGTAAAAAGAGACTTTTTCTGATTGATAAATTTGAATCAAATACATGCAGTCCTTTACACAGGTGATGAATCACAGGTAATGTATGAAATACTCATTTCAAACACTTTATCTTAACGTGTTTTTTAGGTGCTGAAGCCCGGAGGAATCGTCCTGTTCAGGGATTACGGCCTCTACGATCACGCCATGCTGCGGTTTAAAGCCGGCAGCAAACTCGGGGAAAACTTCTACGTCCGCCAAGACGGTACCAGGTCCTACTTCTTCTCCAAAGGTCAGTGACGTTTGTTTTTGATGGTTTTGTGTCATCAAGATGATTCAGACAAGAGATGGAAAACTACACCATACCGTTAAGAGAGCAGGTTGATATTTAGATATAAGATGGAAATATTTCCCGAATGTGGAAGTTGAATTTGTGTTTCTGTCTAACACAGTTTATTCAGTGTAGAAATACACAGAATTTAAATCTTTCATATCAGGTGCAGGGACATGTTTGTGTATATATGTATTTATTTATTTCCCTTTTCTTTCCCTTTCCTTTTATTTATTTATTTATTTTTTTTATTTTAATTTTTTTATTTTTTTATTTTTTTTATTTTTTATTATTATTATTATTTTTTTTACTGAGTTCTGCTTATTCATCTGTTTCCACTTGCTCAGACCTTACTGATGTATGCAATGCTGTATTGTTGTTATGTTCTAAAAATGGAATAAAATCTGATTATTAAAAAAAAAAGAAAGAAATACACAGAATTTTATTGTTTTCACAAAAAGCTTCAAAAATAAAGAGGATTCAGAAAATACTTGTTTTTCTCAACCCAAAATAAGGCGTAACATTAATGAATTATGCAGTTACATAATTATTTAGAAACATTTTAGATGTTTTAGACAAAAGTAGATGATTTGCGACGGCCTGAAGGATCTTCATGAGGAGGAATGTGCTGCAAATGCTCCAACGATGCAAATTCAGAAACACGCAAAAGTCAGAAACAAATGCAACAACAGAAATACTCTGTGAATGCAAAAGAAAGTGCAGCAAAAACCTAAAACAAATACACAACTGATGTAAAGGCAAAAACTCACTGAAGCAGGAAAAGTAAGAAAAAAGTTAAAGCTGCAGACGGCTGAGAAGAGGTCAGTGTCTGAGAGAAAGTTTAAAACATGAGGTCATCCGGTTGGAGGCCTGATCTGAAGTTTCTGCTCTTCCTCTCTGCTTTCAGAGCTGCTGGCCGAGCTCTTCCAGGATTCGGGTCTTCAGTGCGTCAGTAACGACTACGTCCTGAGAGAGACGGTGAATAAAAAAGAGGGGCTGTGTGTCCCCAGAGTCTTCCTGCAGAGCAAATTTACCAAAGCCAGCAGAGCTTCTGATGACTCTTTACACGAGGACACATGAGACTGAACTCTCACTGAGGGGGTTTGATAATATCCCCCCTTCCCTGGGACCTTCATCTGTCTCTGCTTCTTCAGACACAGATATGGACACGACTCTGAACTGAGGTAAAGGAGCGCATGTTCACGGTGAGCATAAAAACACAGACTGGAGCTTTTAAAGGAGTAAATCTGTCACTGATTTTAGTTCTTTTATATCCACATCAATAAACTCTGAGTTTATATTTCAACATTTTCAACCTGTCTCATCAATCAGTACTGTTCCTGGTCCTGCTGTGCTGACCACACCCTCTAACGAAAACTCAGTTTTATAATTGAAGTGTGAAATAAACATTGATGAAGTAAACTCTGCTCAGACTTCCTCTCAGGGAGTTTAAAGTCCCCTAACAGTGTCACACAGAAGCACAAAAACCTGTGGTTTTTCTCCTCACACCGAGCACGCCGCCTTAAACATGATTGTGAAACTTTGCGCTCGTCTTGTACCGTCGAAGTAGGCAGATGTAGTTTCCTGTGTTGTGGTTTAGCCCACCGCTGTAATGGTTCGAAACAAGATGATGTTAAATTAGAACAACTGAGACACAGGCATGTTCTTATGAGCACCGAGTTATGACCTCAGTTTAAAAATATGAATCATATTTTTAATGTCAGACTGTTCCCTGTTTCCTTTATTCCAAAAGTCTTAAAAAAGATGAAATTTTCCACATAAACACACATGCAAAGAAAACCTCTGAAGGAAGACGAAGTGATTCTCTTTCATAGTTTACGCCGACTCTCCTCGACCCTGAATCAGGCTTGGCTGAACGTTTGCATTCTAGTTTTTTAAACAAACACGAGCCAGGGGTCCAAGTTTGGTCCCATTAAATTTATTATTTATATCAGTAACTTTTGTGATAATGTCACAAATGCAGAGTTTTGCTTGTGTGCAGATGATTCAGTCATATATATATATATAACCTCGTCGTCTTCTGTTTTTACTGTTGTCCAGATGAAGCTTTGTAAATGACGGCTGGTTTTAAATGCCAGTAAGACTAAAATGATGTACTTCTCGTAGTCTAACCCCAAATTTCCATCGCATGCAGAACAGTGACGATTTGTGCTGTCCGCCAATTTTCTACAGGATGCGTTTGTGAGGCAAATTTCATACAGCAGGAATAGCGGCAACTCACAAGAACCCACGAATTCACATGCAATCTCGCGATAACGAGTTGTATCTATAAAGACAGCCACATAGACATATAAGAAGTAGATTGTGTCCTTCGGGAGGAGGAAATCTACTTTGTCCAGACCAGTAGACACTTGTGTGGAAATTGACCATGGGTAAGAGCAATATTTATCTTTATCTACGAAACAAACCACATTTGCATGGTGTGAAATACGATCCGCCTGAAACATATAGTCTTTTATTTTGGAAAGAAGCAGGATGTTTTATTTTGTGTCAGTGCCTGACTTCTCTTCCAGCACGGGTTAATCTGTGCTGAATTTATGCGCCATGCTGCAGCGTCCGGAAAAAATAAAACTCTGATGAGAAGGAAATTTGGGGTAAGATGAACGTCTTTCAGAACAGAAAACAGGAACATATTTTCCTCCTTCCAAACTTTTAATCTGCAGAGTAAATTCAACAGAGAAGTCAGAACACAAAGTTCAACATAGCAGAGAAGAGAAATGTTTGAAACTTGATTTAAACTTTAATATTTCATTTAAAAAAAGAGAGAAATTTGTGAACAGGTGCAGCTCAGCCTGACGATCAATCTGTGAAGAAGCAAACAGAAAAACAAACAGAGCATCAGGAAACAGTGAGTCTAAATCTGAAGTCTAAACCTTCATTTGGACCCGATCACAGCTCTCACCTTTCACGATGATCTCACTGAAACGACCCACGGCACTTTCTGCACCCCCACATCTCGCCACGCACTGATACCGTCCGCTGTCCTCTTCGGTCAGGTCGAGGATCTCCGTCTCCACCTGTCTGTGCCTCACATCGCCGTCAGAGAGCGTCTCGCTCACCGTGGTCAGGTACTTCTTGGGGTCGGTCAGCTCAACACCTGCTGCCGCGCCCACTTCAGCGCCCCCTTCGGCTCGCCAAGTGACGTGCAGCAGGCGGCAGAGTTGGTAGTTGTAAACGGCCAAACAGGAGAGACTGACGGAGGAGCCTCTGGCAGCAGCAATCGTCTGAGCTTTGGAGCGTAAGGTGACTGGAAGAAAGGAGGAAATGTAAAATCGAAAGAGTTCTGGTAAAGAAAAGGAGTAAAGAGCGCACGCACACACCAGTGTTTCAGGGATTAAAGAGTAAAAAACAACCTCCAACAGGAACAAATCCACCTTCTAGCTCCTCTTACAGTCACATATCTGTATGTGATATATCTCTCTTCTCTCTGATTCCTCTGGACTGTTGCTGTTACTGTTACTGCAGACATGAACATCAGCCTCACTGTCATTATTGACATACAAAATAGAACTGACTACGATTAAGCCTGCTAACTGTAATCACACTCAATTAATTCAACATTGTCCATTATCACTCATATCCTAAACCTGTAAACTGAACTTCTTTTTGTTTCACCATTACATGAGCTGTTGTTGTTGTTGCTGTTGTTCCTGCTGCCTCCTGTCTCTCTCTCACCCTCGTTCCCTACTCTCTCTCCCTCCCCCTCCCTCTCCATACTCATTCTCTCTCGCCTTTCCCCTATCTTGTTGTCTCTCTCCCTCCCCCTGTCCTCTCCCCCTCTCCCCTCTTCTCTCTACATTCCTCCCCAACCCAGCAGCGGCATGGTGGCTGTCTAGCATGAGTCTGGTCCTGCCCAAGGTTTCTGCCTGTTAAAAGGAAGTTTTTCCTCGCCACTGTAACTCATGTTAGTTGAGATGGGCCAAAACCATCTTAGGTTGGTTCTTGATCATCAAACAATGAGCGTGGTCCAGACCTGCTCTTGTTCCTTGAAAAGCGTCTTGAGATGACGACTGTTGTGAATTGGCGCTATATAAATAAAATTTGATTGATTGATTGATTGATATCTGGAGATTATTTCCTGTTTCATTCATGCATGTGAAGAAAACGAGCACAAACGCTAACCTGGTGTTTTTCCGGGGTGGACTTTTTTTTTCTTAAAAACTTTCCAAACACTTTCTAAAGTCTTGACAGAGCCGTCAGGTTCAACCAGACCCCAAACTAAAGCAGCGAAATGTGATTTTTATTCCCGTCTTTCTTATCTGTCTTCATACATGTGCAGCTGTCAGGCATGAAACAGGAAACAGGAAGAGGTCAAAGGACAAAATCCTCCTGTTTGTGTCAGGCTCCGGGGTAAACGCTGAGTCAGTTGCTGCGTCCGAACTGCCCGCTCGGATACTACATGCTACTGCTACGTGCTACTGCTAGATCCTACTCCTACATACTAAACACGTTGGCCCAATTCGGACACACTAGACGAGCGGTGGGGAAAGACGACCCCCGCAGGCAGAGAGTAGGTACTGCGCCCGTGCAGACAGTGGTAACTGAAGCCCCTCATCTGCTGGCCTGGCTGTAGTACTGCAGCTGTGCAGTTTAATGATGGAATAAGTGAGCTTTACCTCCATGATGTCGCCACATATTTGCTCATAAAATGATTACTTGGGCAAATATGACACCATGACACGACAAAGAGATACAACCGCACATTTTTTAGGACAGTGTGTGAAGTTACATGAAACTTACATCTGTACTGCTGCGGTCCCGCCTGCTGCTGCTGCTGCTCCGACATGGTGCGCGCTGCTGTGGCCAGCCGGCGTTCGCGACACTTTTAAATAGGCAGAGCAGCTGGTGGCGCTAGCATCACATGCGCTTCTACAACTTTTAAGAGGACGAAGAAGAAGCCCGCGGTGCATTTTGGGTCAGTAGCATGCCCGTAGGATGCACCGAGACCAACCTACAATGTGGGCGTGTCTAGCATCTGAAGTAGTATCTGAAGTAGCATGCTACTCGCTCCGGTGGCCAATTCGGACATGCTAGATACTACTTCGACTACTACTTGGCAATTCGGACGCAGCTAGTGAGTGTCCTTTAAACCTGTTTCACAACCCGATACCACTCCCCCTTGCCCAGTCACATTTTTACTTTCACATTGATTTTTCTGAGGGAAATGGCTCTGCGGCTGAACAAGCAGAAACTCTGCTGTCCCGTCTGTCTGGATCTCCTGAGGGATCCGGTGACGCTCCCCTGTGGACACAGCTTCTGCATGAGCTGTATTGAAAGCCGCTGGAAAGAGGAAGACTCCGAGGACGTCTGCAGCTGCCCTCTCTGCAGGCAGACGTTCACACCGAGGCCTGCTGTGGTGAGGAATGTCATGTTTGCTGATTTGGTGGAGGAGCTGAAGAAGACGAAACTCCTGGAAGCTCCGCTGGAATTTGCCACACCTGCAGACGTCGCCTGTGATGTCTGCGCAGACAGGAAGCTGAGAGCCGTGAAGTCCTGCCTGGTGTGTCGAGTTTCTTACTGTGAGCTTCACCTTCGACCTCATTATGAATCCTCCGCCTTTGGGAAACACAAGCTGGTGAAGCCCTCTGAAAACCTGCAGGAGAAATTCTGCTCTCGCCACGACGAGGAGATGAAGATTTACTGCCGAACCGATCAGGAAACGATCTGTTTTTTCTGCTCCTTGGATGAACACAAAGACCACGACACGGTCTCGGCTGCAGCTGAAAGGAGAGAGAAGATGAAGGAGGTGGAGACGAGGCGGCAGAAGGTCCAAGTTAGACTCCAGGCCAGAGAGAAAGACATGGAGGTGCTTCAGCTGGAAATGAAGGCCATAAACCGCTCTGCAGATAAAGCAGTGAGCGACAGTGAGGGGCTCCTCTCAGGGTTTGTAAACCTTGTTGAGGAGAGACTCTCTGAAGTGCAGGAGCAGATCAGATCCCAGCAGAAGACCGAGATCAGCCGTGTCAAAGAGCTCGAGGAGAGGCTGAAAGTGGAGATGGCTGAGCTGAAAACGATGGACACTCAGCTGGAGAAGCTGTTACACGGCGACGACCATGTCCACTTCTTACTGAGTTACTCTTTACTACCACCCGTCACAGAATCCACAGGCTTACCCGGCGTAAACAACGACAATCTGCAGTACTTCGAAGACGTGGCGGCAGCTGTGTCAAAGGTCAAAGACAAACTGGAGGACCTGCTCCGTAAAGAGTGGCCAAAAATCCTCCGAAAAGTCGTTGAAGTGGATGTTTTTCTACCACGACCGGAGCCAAAGACAAGGGCGGAGTTTCTGCAGCTCTGGATCCAAACACGGTGAACTCTTGGCTGATGTTATCTGACAGGAACCGAAAAGCAACAGTGATGAGAGAAAAGCAGACATATCCCGCTCATCCGGAGAGGTTCACGGACTGTCTTCAGGTCCTCAGCAGAGAGGGTTTCACTGGACGTTGTTACTGGGAGGTGGAGAGGAGCGGCGGAGCGGCAGTGGCCGTGGTGTACAAAGATATCAGCAGATCGAGGACTGAAAGTGGGTTTGGAAACAACGACAAGTCCTGGGCCCTGGGTTGTTTCGACTGCTCTTATTATTTCAGACACGACAACGTGAAAACTTTCCTCTCGGGCCCTCAGTCCTCAATAGGGTTGGGTATCGTTTGATTTTGAACGATTCCGATTCCAATTTCGATTCCTCATTTCGATTCCGATTCCTATCGATTCTCTAATTCGATTCTTTTAAAAGGCAGGATATCAAAAAGAAAAAAGAAAAAAAAAAAGCATGGTTTGAATGAGGGTGCTAACCGGGGCTCTTCTTTTTGGATGAAATTTCTGAACTCCTCCATGAATTTTTAAATCCTATTAACTTTTTAAGAACTTAACTATGGATTTCTCACAGAGCTATTTTCAACCAGTATATAAATATCATTTTTTGTTTTCAGGTCGTTTGTCTATGAAAAAGTACAAGGGCTAACGTTAGGTGGATATTTAAGTCTACTCACCGTACACAGTTCAATTTCTTTACCGTTTCAAAGTTAGCAGAGGACAGAAGTCATTTATTGTTCCACTTATCTGATCCTGACTGGTTAGCGGAAGACAGGTGTTGTGCTGTAGAATGCACCCCTGCCGTAGAATGCCTCCCCTCCACTGATTAGCTTCTTAGTGGAAGAAATATGATCTCATATTTAATAAAACACGGGTATTAGATCATGAAAACGTGTCAAATGGAGCAGTAAACTTTCGTTTTGTTTGTATGTGTCTCAAAAATGCACACATAAAGGTGTACTTGGGTATATAAACTGTAGAGTAAGCTGTTAATGTAGAGAACAAAATAATTTCAGGACAGTAAATATTCCGAATCAGAGGGCTATTGTTTTCGGCATATCTGAATAGCCTGAATGAAATCATTAAAGGCACACGCTTTAGATTCCGTCCAACGGTAAGAAAAACTTGGATTGTTTCGCCTTGTTGTGTACTTTCAACAGCGCTCCCGTCAGGGCTGCATTCAACAGCAGGGGTGCATTCTACGACACAACACCGGCGAAGCGCGTCAAAGACGAGCACTCGGGTATTTCTCCTCCATGAATCCTGAGGTGTTTAATCATGTTTGTCGTTTACCCTCCTTTGCATGATATAACTGTATTGTTAATGTTGCATTGAGATAAGAGTTCATTCTTCCTGCTAAAGTTAGCCAAACTTTTGACCAACGAAGAAGAAGCTGCCGAACACCAACGAGGACGGAGCGTCTGAGACGAAGTCACACAGAGAGAGGAGAGAGACAGAGAGAGATTACATTGTAACCCACAGCGGCTGCATTGCTGTGGGTTGCAATGTACTTTCTCTCTCTGTCTCTCTTCACTCTCTGTGTGGCTTCGTCTCATACGCTCCGTCCTCATTGGTGTTAAGCGGCTTCTTCTTCGTTGATTTTCGGCGGCTATTTCTTCCGGTCGGCGGACTCTGGCATCGAAACTTGGAATCGAAATTTTAATATTTGAACGATACCGGAAGAATCGAAGTTTTAGTCCCGATTCCCATCGATTCTCGATTCCCAACCCTAGTCCTCAAGGGTGGGAGTTTATCTGGACCACAGAGCAGGAACTTTGTCTTTCTACACCGTCTCTGAAACCATGACTCTGCTGCACCAAGTCCAGACCACCTTCACTCAGCCGCTCCATGTTGGACTCTGGATTTACTGGGCTGGAGACACGGCAGAGTTAGGCGAGCCGGAGTAGACAGAAGCTGCTCATTTTAGCGTTCACTTCGTTCCCTTCAATCTGGTGAGAAATCTAAATTTGTCACATTTTTTGCACATAAACGTCATTTCCTTGCAGTCACCACGCTGGTGAGCATGTAGAGGTTAATATTTTGCATTTAACAGACCGTAGAGCCACTTTGAGGTCAAGTTTTGTACATTTTCTGTACTAGAACAGAATCCAGAGGGAACTTTGATCAGTAAAATCCTTGGAAAGCATGTAGATAACAAACACTGCTGTTATTTTTAATTTGAAGGGCATCCGTCCGATAAAAACGAGGGTCTTTTTTTTAAACATTTTATTAAGACAAAGGAAAACCAGGAGACACTTTTTATCCACTACACACTTAAACAGTGGAGATACAGAAGGGATTTAATTTCATAAACTGAGAGGACATCTAGAGGGGACTTTTCTGCGCTTCTGTACGTCCTCATGTCCTGATGAGTTCAAATGAAGGTTCCTGGTTTCTGTTGTTGAAATCAGAGTGTCTTAATAGTTTCTTGGGGAAGTTCTAGATGTCTTTAAAAAGGACTAACAGGTGGAGTCTAATTTCATTTTCACTTTGAATCTTCCTCATTTTGTCCTAAAGATGTTTGTTTTGATAATCTTCTATGATACCGACCCGTTAGACGCTCTGGTCCTGGACTGTGTGAATTCATGCTGTCATGTAACCCCATGCAGGCCGAGTGTGTAAAATTTTAACTTATTTACAGGTTTACAAAGAGTTTCTCTGAGTCAACCTGGTGACCCAATTTTAAAAAGACAAAATATGTCAGGAAACCAAATCATCAAACACAAACTCGTCCACTAACCTTCGTCTTCTGCAGACGAGACGCTCAAAGTCACCAACAACAGCAGCAGCAGCAGCCCCACCGATCCAGTTAGCCGAGACATTTTCAGCACGAAGATTTCAGAGTGAACGTTAGAGACGAACACGAGGAGAAGATCACGAGGAGAGGAGCACGAGGAGAAGAACACGAGGAGAAGAACACGAGGAGAAGAACACGAGGAGAAGAACACGAGGAGAAGAACACGAGGACCACCTCAGAGAAATGAAAGCACAGACCCTCGGTGGCTGAGGTGGAGGTGATGCTCTACTAGCTTCTGGTGTGTGGGTGGAGGATGTGTGTGTGTGTGTGTGTGTGTGTGTGTGTGTGTGTGTGTGTGTGTGTGTGTGTGTGTGTGTGTGTGTGTGTGTCTTCAGCTGTGCTGCAGCATTTCCATTTCCTCTGACCACCAGCAGCTTTGCACCTTCATCTGTGAGAAACGTTTCCACTTTTGTTCTCTCATGACATCTTGAAGATCCTCTGACTGCTGTAACTTCTATCTGCTCTCGACTGTACGCTGTTTACAAAGATCCAGTCTAAAGATCGTCTAAGATCAGACTCATTCACATCCCCTAATCTTCAACCAACATGAGTGAGACTCTTTACAGGAAGAGGAAGAACTTCCTTTAACAGGCAGAAACCTCGAGCAGAACCAGACTGATGTTAGACAGTCATCTGAAGGGATGAATCGAGAACCAGTTCTTGTTGAGAACCGGTTCCAAATGGTTCAATCCATCGACATCATTTACATTTTGTCTTAATGATTCCCTTAACGATTTCTTTCTTCATGAAAAATGGTCTTGCAAGTGCCAGTCTAAGCGAATCAGAACAGAGACTTTGAGGATGGTGGACGGTATGAAACGTCGTCAGAAACGATCTGAAGTGTGGCGTCATTTTACTAAGAAGGGCGACAACAGCGCGACGTGCAAGGAAACACCAGCAACATGCTCAAACATTTGTCAACGGGGCATATATAAACATGAGTCACATGTATTTGCACGTATTCACTGTCTTCAGGAATTCAGAATATTTAACTGAGTTAGAAGTGCATAAAAAAACACTCGACCCCCAAAAAACTCAAAATTTTGTGCACAACTCTGCTTCACATAGTAGTGTCCTTTTTTGGGGGATTTAGAAAATGGTCACCCTAACACATATCCTGTGTTAACACAAGTACAATGCATGCCAGACTTAACAACGTATTATGTATTTGGCTTATGCAGCGTTACCTCGGAAGTTAGACGTCGGGGCTGGGAATGACGTCACACCCGAGTTACTAGAGTTTCAGTTACCAAGTCGGAAAAAAGCAAAATCGGAAGCGGAAACTAGATGTTGCAGAAGAACCAGAAGTTACTTAGATTCAGACGTGGAAAGCACTAAAATAACTTTTGTAGATGTAGCCGTCTTGTTTCTGCAGCTTCGATATCTGACCTCCTCGGTAACTCGAACGCAGCATCAGTACTGACCCAAGTGAAGGCTGCACAGATAGTTTACTGTTTGATTAGTTTTAGACTATCAGTGAAGGTGACATACACACATTAAATACATACTTTACATTTTAAGTTAACAGTGAAAATTTATTGTCAATTTTTTTAAATCAAAGAAAGGCATCGATAAGAAAATCGTTAAAGAATTGAATCAACAAACAGAATCGATAATGCATCGATATCGATAAAATCTTATCAACTCCCTTCCCTAGTCATCTGCTGAGACTGAGCTTAGGGTTTAGAGAAGAGAGAGAGAGCAGTCCAGAGGAGCCTACAGCATGATGGAGCTCAGAGACTCGCAGAAAAGACTGAATCAGGGACTCTAACGATGATTCAGAGTTAATGACACAGACGGGAAGAGGATGGAGAAGGAGGGACAGGAGCTCAGTGAGAGCAGCACAACTAAGAGCTGGTCCAGATCTGATCCAGCTCGTTTCAAGACGACTCTTGAAGGTAGAGAGGTCATCTAAGGTCATCTCATTCCAGCAATTAAAAAAAAAATCCAGTATTTCATTTAATAACAGCCAATGACATCTTGTTGCTTCATGGTCAGTGTCACAGGAGAAAAAAGGAAGTGAGACTTGATGTGTGAACACCAGAGGAGCAGTCGATGAAAACAGAACCAAGAGGATCTGCAGAAAACACCATCTTCTTCTTCTTGTTCTTTAACCTGCTGAAAGATAAAAACTGTCGCTCCGGGGAGAATGGAGATTGAAGAGGAATATGTCAACTCAGCTGCCCGGAGAAAACGGAGGGATACAGGGAGGCAAACAAAGAAATGTTGTCCAGGTGAGATCATTTCATCCAACTCTCCTCCACCTCTCTGTCGGTCTTTCTTCAACACTTTGTCTGCACCAACAAAGACACTCGTGACGATAATGATGCTAATATGAACAAACTCAGGCTCAGGAACGTTGAGTTAAATGTTGTTTAGGAACAGAATTTGATGGTTTGCCGATCAGTTATCATCAGACATTGGTTTTTGAAGTCATTTTGAGCAGATGCAGAGACTTACACTCCAGAGTCCTCTCTGTTCTTAATGCAGTTCTGCCTGAAGGTCTGGAGATCAGGACCATCCAGGACTAGTTTTGGTTCTTGTCTCCAGATTCCCTGAATTAATGATATTAAGCCCTTTTGGTGTCTAGGCTGAGAGTTTATTTGAGCAGGTGCAGCTCCCTCTGCTGAATCCTGAAGAGAATGCAGGTTAAACCCATTTTTCATGGCTCCCCCTGCTGGCCACTAGGAGGAATAAACTAAGATGTTCCTTTAATAGTACCACGAGGGGAAAGTCCAAATTTACAGCAGCAGAGTACAGATACAAAAAGAGAAACATTTTAAAAAATAAAGAAACTTTGAGTTAAAAAAAAGACATTTACATGCACCATATTTACCTCTTTACAGATTTACATGATAATAGGATAATAGAGTTTATTGCACATTGAGGTTCCTGTTGTGGAGTCTGACAGCTGCAGGAGGAACAACCTGTGATACGTCTCTGTCACACACTTCGGGTGGAGCTCCTCAGAGCAGTGAGTGTGTGTTGGAGAGTCACTGTCCAGCATGGAGAAGAATACTCCAGAATACTCCAGAATACTCCCTCCTCCTTGAAGCTCAAACTTACTTTCATCTCTTTTTTTTGAACAGTTTGAACTTTGTATGTTTTATTTAATATTTCTATTTTACATGTTTACTGCAGAGCGTGTTTTAGCTTCAGCACATTAAATTATATCAATGCTGTCAGTTAGTGAGGTATAAAGATTCTGGTGATGGTTCTGTGTTGGTTCCTCTTATCCTTAGTTCTGCTTTCAACACTGTAGACCACGGTGTCCTCATTAGCAGACTACAGGACCGGGTGGTAATATTAGGGAAAGGGTCCTTTAATGTCCTCCCTATCACTATAGATAGATACTTCAACTTCAACTTGACTGAATGAGACAAGAGAATGAAAAAAACAAGATCAACAATATATACACATGCCGTAAATAGAATACTTGAATACTCTGAATCTGTACATGTACTGCAGTATTTCTGTTTTGTTGTTTCCTCACCTGTAGGAGGGTCAGTGGTCCTCCGTCTGGTTGGAGTCAGCTTTGGTCTGCTGTGCATCGTACAAGCTACTCTCAATATCACACTTCGGCTTTACTCTGGTGAGTATCAGCCCCAGGCGACCATGAATCCAGTCAGAGAAAGCTCAACAACCAACAGTATTGTGTGAATAACGGGTTAAAATTAAAAACTACATGAGTGTCAAAGATCTCAGTCTGTGTCAATAATGTGGGAATATTCACAGCTGGGTTTACTTCAACACTGACGCCCATAAAACAAACTTTACTGACAGTTTGTGAATCAACAACAACAGACGAGCTTTCCATCAGAGCTCCCACTTCACTACATGAAGTTCTCCTGGAGCGCTCGCCATGGTTGGTGTTTTTCCACCTCTGCACGCAGCAGGATCAGGAGGTTTTCCACAGAGGCTGATCTGAGATATTTTTTAATTCAGAACATTGTTAAAAAGACGATTCGTGGTAGATCCACATTTTTTAACTCCTCTTCTGTTTCCGTCCCCTTTAGCCGAGTGTGACGACGACTACGTCAATAACACAACCACCAATTTAACCACGATGTCTGAAGACCAAATCAGAGAACTGATTTTAGAACGAGACGAACTGCTCCTGGAAAGAGTTTGGCTGTTTCAGGAAAAACGTGAAAAAGAGGCCGAAATCATAAACCTGCTTAGAGACTCGTTGTCTGACAGGAACAATGAACTCGAAAATACAATCGAGGAACTTCAGTCCAAAGTTTTTCCTAGTGAGTGAGTTTTCTTCTAAAATCTGTTTTCACTTTTAATCAAAATGACACTCGGAGGAAGTCGTAGTAAAATCATTTTCTCAGTTAGAAGTCTTAAAGTCGTTCTGTGATGACAGTTTTGGTCCAGACAGCTCCACACACTTTATTTTCATAATATTACCACTATTTTATATTTGTATATATAACATGATGCCTTTAATCTTGTGACATTACAACTTCATTTCCTTATGACTTTCTCCTCATAACATAACGAGTTTGATCTTATAATAAAATAACTTTACCACAACTTAGTCCTTATAATGGTCAGATTTTTACAAAAGAGGATTATGGCCAGAAAAACAGACAAAGATAATTACAGGAGGGAGATTTTTTTTAAATTTTCATTTCGAGATTTAAATCAAAATTTTTACTTTAATCTAGATTTTTTTTTTTTTAATCTCTAAATTTCAACTTTAATCTCAAAATTTTGACTGTAATCTCCTTCCTGTAATTATTCTCTAATCTCTTTTTGTGGCCCTAATCCTCTTCCGTAGATTTTGGTTTAACTTCAGTTTCATGGAAAAATCATTTTATTTCAACAATATTATCTTTATATTTTTAACTCCTTAAGTCCAGAGAAAATGATTAAAGTAAAACTTTATTTTTGTTTTCTACTACGACTTCTTCTCAAACAAATTGATCTTCATTTTTTTTCACTTGCAATATTGATTTTATTTTGACTTTATTGTTTTAATATATATTTGTTCTAGATTTTTCACACATAAGCAAAAACTTTAACCACTAATTCACTCCCTTTTAATCATGAAACTTTATTTTTATCTTTAGTCCTGAAGTAAACTTTGATTTTATTCTCTTCAGAAAGTGAATTTTTCATAAAAGCCTTTCAAACGTATTTAAAATGTATTTCTGTGAAACTGCCTTTATTTTGCGCTGACACATTGAGTGAAACTGCTCCCTCTTCATCTCGTCCTCTTTCTTTCCTCTTCAGCTGAACTCAGACCTTCATGCTGTCCCAGAGGATGGCAGCCCTACATGTCCAGCTGTTACAGGTCCTCCTCTGATAAAGGTACCTGGGATGACGCCCAACAGGACTGTGAGAAACTGAGAGCTCACCTGGTGGTTCTGGATGATGCCATGGAGGAGGTACGTGGAGTTTGTCTTTAAAAGCTAACCTACCTGGAATCCTTGACCTCCATGATCACCATGTTTGATTTTTTTCCATCAGAGAGTTGTTCACAAATTTTCAACTGGTATGGGAATGTGGATTGGATTGAGGAAACTAAAAGACCCAAAAACCTCCACTTGGGACTGGACCTGGGTGAACGGGAGCCCACTCGCTTACACGTAAGACTGACTAAAAATCTACAGATGAATAAACCGGTTTATAGTCTTGGAAGTCGAGTAGTGGGGTTTCGTTCCCCTTTATCTAATGTGATTGAATAATTCAACAGCAGTCCAGTTAAATCGCCTAATCGGACTATGAACATACATATAAACAGGTCTGCTCTGCATCATTCATCCACCCTCTATTAAAACATTATGGTGTGTTGTTTTCTAGAAACTGGAATCAAACATATGACGGTTTCTGGAGCTTCTTGTTTTTTAACCGAAATTGTGCAGCGAGTCCTGAATCCTCCCTGACTCCAGCCCCGTGGGACCGAGTCAACTGTGAGAATCAAAACTACTGGATGTGTGAGAAGGAGCTGAACTTCAGCTCCTTCTCACCTTAAAGAGACAAAAAAACCACAAACACCTTCTCCCTCGATCACAACTTTCCAGACTCTGATTATTGTGGCCAAAACCGCAATAAAGATATTTATTAAACTCCCATTATTACTGTCTGCATTATTTCCTCTTTTGTAGGCACTAATACTCGTATACTAGGATGTGTTTTCTGTTATCTACATTCTTTAATTTTGCATATTTGTCACTTATTTCTTATGAACTCTTATTAGCCTGTTTCTGTCTGATTATATTGAAGGAAACGGATCAATATCAGTTTGAACAGTATTTATTTACAATCAATTTGATGTGTTTGACTTTTTGGATTGTGAAATAATTTGATCATAATCTGTTTAAAATAAAGAAACGTTGGATTTAAGGGAAGAGGGTAAAGGCTGTCCGTTTATTTCCCCTTGTGGCCAGAAGGGGGCGACTCAAAAGAAGTTCGTTTTACCCTGAAGTCTCCTGTTTATGTTTTCTTAATTACAGCTTGTTGTTACGGTAAAATACGTGTTTAAATTTGACTAATTTACAGTGTAGCTGCTTGTTAATGACATAATGCAACAACCATAACCTGGAAAACCTGCTCTGTGTAAATAAATCTGTCTAAAGCCACTTTTAGTGACGGCTGTTAATTCTTTGTGATAATTTTACAGGTTTAAAAATCGTTTAACCCCTCTTTCTCTTTAGCTCCGCCCTGTTGACCAAATATGGACGATTCTGGTTCTTCCTGCCAAACTTTTCACTTGAAATCTGCAGTTTTAGAAAATCCCGTGTGTGAGAGCATGATGGTCATTAGGATATATTTATACTAGAGAGGGGCTTTCACACCTACATCGTTTGGTCTGGACTTTCAGACTTTTCTGTTTAGTCCGAACCAAAATGACAGGTGTGAAACCTCCCCAGGACCTTGGTCCGGACTCTCAGGTGTGAAAATACCTTAATTATCTTGGCATGCAGCGCTGACCCCAAAACTACCACCGACCACCTGTAATAAAGACAGTATTCATGATTCACGCAGTAAAGACTACAGCCGTGCAGTCCAGCCCCCAAAAACAAGACCGTCCTGTTCAGTACACAGGATGTTGGTGTTCTTTGGTCCTCCGTAGGCATGTCTAGAGTTTGGATCTTTATTAAAGTTATGCTGCTGTGTCTCGTACGTAAACAAACACATATTTCTGTTCATTTGTAAAGTAACTTTGATTATTAGAGTTGATTGTTTTGATGGATATATTATCAGTCAATCCCACACAACTCATTCAGAGTGTGTTTTCAGGGTCACAATGACAGAAAATAGCCTGAGTCTGCTCGATTTAAATATGAAGGCAGAGTAAATTAAAGCATGTCGGCCTTAAAGCAAATGCAACCAAACACTCTGAATTCATTCGTGATCCATGCAACAGTCCAACCTCAACGATTAAAACGCAGAACAACACGACAAACTTTCTTGTGCCACATGTTGGAGTGTGTGCTTTTAAGATCATTTAAATCGTAGCTTCTATATCTGTTTATGACGTTTCTATTGAGAGGAAACTCAGTATTTATCTTAAAACACAGCAACGTTTATCAACAGTGTACTTTTAGTCCTCAGGTTAATCTCAGCTACTCTCTAAAATGCCTGAAAAGTGAGTCTTTTCTGCACATGATGGCTGTACCATCTGCATGTGACCAGTAGAGAGCGATGTTTTGATATTTTCTGGCAGTTAAAGATGGCCTCTGAGTTTAAAATGACCCCTGATCTGTTTCTCTGAGAGGTTTTAAAGTTGTCCCTCTGTAAACTCTTTAAGTTTATCCAACACAACAAACTCCAGCTGAAGGTTTGGACTTCCAATCAGACAAACTCGCTGTTTTTTAAGTGTGAATGAATGACAGAGATGTGAACAGACTGATATTGTTGTTGGAGAGAACTTCACGTCCTGGTTCTGCATCCTGCTGTCAGGTCACAGACAGGAAGTCAAAGAGGTGGGCCTGTGAAGGTCAAGTGCATCAAGGTCTTTGGCGTTTATTCTGCGTCTGTGGTGTTATATAACATCCTGAACAGAACACGCCCCTCCAATAATCACAACTGAAATGTTCCTCCGTCTTCAACAATCTGTCTGCTGCTGATATTTTACAACCTCCTCCTCCTCCTTCTTATGACACACACCACCTTTCCTTTTCCTCCTCCGTCAGGTATTTCGCTGACTCTCACTCTTCCAAAGCGTGTCTGAGAGAGTAACTGGATTTAAAGGGACAATCCGCTATTCTTCTGCCGTCACTGCAGCCTCTGTCTGAGTGCTGCGTAAACACACGGCCCATTATGGTCAGTATTGAGTTATATTAGCAGTTACGCCGTTAAACTGACACTCTCATCCAGAGTCACTCACCAGACCAGGATTAAGTTGAACTTCTTAGATCAGGATGGATCCTCCGTGTCTGTCCAGAGAACTTTAGGAATCTGCTGACTGTGTCCTGTCCTCTCTTTTCCATACCGGGTCCTTTAGTCCAGTTCTTTGTCCTCCTAGTCCAGGTGGAGGTGACATGAGGTGTCTTAGAGAACTCAGTATGTTGGTCACTGTTCTCCTCCTGCAGCTTATTCTAGATATATTTTCAATAAATCAAAAACAGTTTTCCTCCAGGAGGACAAACTCTTCCTGTCGCAGTTTATCATGCTGACAGTGAAATGATAGACACACACACACACACACACACACACACAATCCGGTCAGCTGGTCAGGGTCTCTGGGTGGAGGTTTGGGAACATTTAGAGGACGCTGCGGTCCGTCTCTTCCTGTCCAAAACCTGATTGGACATTTCCTGTTATTTAGATAAATCACCTGCAGCCCAAAGAGACGTCCAACATGCTGACGTGACTCCGGGTGTCCTTCAGTTCTGCAGGGCGACAGAGGTCTTCGTCATATCTGCACCTCCTTGATGCTTCTCTACTATTTCATGCTACATTTGCAGAGGCTTGAACATTTCGTCCCTCTCTTCTTCGGCTCCATCTTGAATGTCTCTGTCTGAGGGTCCTTGAGGTAAACAGGCACTTTATGTTCGTTATGCAACCTGCACAGCATCACCTCAGGGCCCCGTCTTTTCACTTTTCCGTGGTTCGAGTACTTTCTTCTCCAGCGAGCATGAGGAATGAAAACAAAAGATATGGCGGCTGATGCAGAAACTCCTTGTCCCTCTTTCTATCTGGAGCACTTTAAGAGATATGAATGTTGTTTTTGTTCTTTTGTGTGATCGCAGATGAAAGACTTTCCTTTGGCCTCCAGATATTCAGCGAGGAGGTTCATTAAAACGTTGAATCAACAGAGGATGCAGAGTGTAAACTGGATGCCTGAGTGTAGCGTTCATGCAGACTCGTACGATTCTGTGTGCCAATATTTTAATGGCTGTTTGCTCTTCATATTATGAAAACACAGATAATTTTTTTAAAGCTGGAGCTGGAGAAATTTTTAAAAGGGGCATATTTTAGGATGTCAGTTAACCTAAAAACAAAATGGCAGCTTTCTTTGAAAATGAAAATACTACTTTGCCGTGTCTGAAGCATTTCTGAAAAATACTTGGCAATAAAAGCAGACATATTTATAATCAAAGGATCTTTATTTCTCGCATAACGACGGCTTTAATCAAACCCAATATTGTTCCCTCTGCTGATAGTGAGTTTAAATAGTGTTTTTTCAGACTACAGTAACTGAGAATCCATCCAACATTCATCCAACAACTAACCAACATTTATCCAACAACTAACCAACATTTATCCAACAGTCATTCAACATCTAACCAACATTCATCCAACACCTAACCAACATTCATCCAACAGTCATCCATCATCTAACCAAAATTAATCCAACATCTAACCAACATTCATCCAGCATCCATCCAACATTCATCCAACATTCATCCAGCATCTATCCAACATTCATCCAGCATCTATCCAACATTCATCCAGCATCTATCCAACATTCATCCAACATCTAACCAACAATCATCCAATATTCATCCAACATCTAACTCAACATTCATCCAACATTCATCCAACATCTAACCAACATTCATCCAGTATCTTACCAACATTCATCCAGTATCTTACCAACAGTCATCCAACATTGTGCTACAAGAAAACATGACGCTGCAAGCCTGAAATATTGTTGTGTCAGTGTCTCTTGTTGCTCATGCAGACTAGTGCGTTAGCTTTTATGTTGCCCTGTTTTTTACTCTTCCTAAAGGTCGTGGTGTCTGTTACTGTGTCGCTAAGATCTTACGTCTCTAACTCACTGGTTTTGATATATCAGTGGATTCCCATCAGAGTCAGTTCTGATGACAAAGTGGTCCAACAGGAGACTCCAGCTCCCCTACACACGGTGTGGAGGTGTCCTTTCAGAAGATGTCTCACTGTTGTTGTCTGTAGTGGACATGTTCAGATGGTAGCGTTGCTTTTCAAGAGTAAAACAACTCTTCTGTTTGTGTTTGTATCAGCTTTTCTCTGTTTTCTCGTCTTAAAGATCACGCTCATCATTTTTAAACATATGCAGTTTTACTAATCTCATGTAGCTAAATTCAGACCAAACAAATTCTGCTCTGTTAGTCTACATGGGTTACATGTCTTCACGCTATCATCTTTTCCCCGCTCTTATAAAAGTTGAGGCCTGGCAGTGCAGCAGCTTCGGCTTTAATAGATGTTGGGAAAAGGCAGATACATCACTCTATTGATTTGTTGATTTGTTGCAGAAAAATGGAAAATCCCTTCTTCTGGCTAGAGTGTTAAAAAATCGACATTTTCTGGCAAGTTTTATGGTTTTATTGTGGAAAAAACAGACTGTGTTTTCAGCCTGTCAGGAGGGAAAACAACAAGATTCAGTGGGTGCACTCGGTTCAAAGACTCAGAAAACTTTTAAGAATCGGAGAGCGACTGAAAAACTTTGGTTCATGAACACTTCATTAACCAAATTTACTCCACCCGAAAACAGCAACGTCAACAAAGAGCAGAGATCTCTAACTCTGCAGAGCCGTATTTATTCACACCCATCACTTTATGTAAGGAGTATTATGTCACATGTTTAATTTTGCGCTTTCTTACTTAATAAGTGTTTTTGCAACAGCTTTGTGGTCACTTCTTTGAACACTGAGGCTTTTCTTGTCACAGGAAAAAGTGTTATCTCATAGTCAGAGAGAAAAAAAACAGCTTTTCTAAGAGCTGCACAATCACAGCTGTTTGTTATAGATCATGTTGACATGCACAAACAAGATTACATGACCTGCACTCAACTGAAGGGCAGGACATTTCATAGAGGAGCAGATTGAGATGAACGCAGATTTCTGAGCGAGGATGAACAACGTGCACCTCGAGCATCATGGCAGGAGATACTAGTGAAAAAAAACATGCATGCGAACACATGAACCACTTTTTTAAAGCATCAAATATCAAATAGACTCCTATATGAAAAAACTAAAACTACAACTTTATCACCACTTTGTTCACACAACATGATAACTTTAATCTCATAATTCCAATCTCACAATGCACATTATAACCATAGACTGTATTTGCTCTGGACAACTTGGTTCCGCCTTCCACCAGTAAAGATTTGAAGCTGAAAGGCTCTCGGTTATTCTGCGTTTTCTCTCCATTTCCTGAAACCAACATTGCGCAGTAATGTTGTATGCATTCGGCCGGAGAGTCGCAGAGAGTCTCTATGATGACGCTCGGCTCAAACAGCGTACCCCCCGGGTGATCTACACAATCCCTGAACGCCCATAGGCTGTAACAGGTGTCAATCATAGAAAACATGAACCCCCTAATAACTTTTAAAAATGGAGCTGTACAGAAAAAAGAGGACTTGAGCACAAACCAGTCTGACAGTAACTACATGTCAGCATCACAACCAGGGGGGAGAAACATTTATATTCTGTGTCATTAATTTATAAAGTTTGTCCACAGCTCCATAAGGAGGCAGGGCTTATGACATATACTGCAGCCCATCACCAGAGGGCGCTGTTCTCGGAGCGAGGAGGCAGACGCGTCCATTCTATATTCAGTCTATTATTAAGACGCTGAAGTCTCATTCTTGTCATTTTCTGATACTCGGCAGCCTGTACTACCATCAAATTTTGTGACGTTTTTCTTAATTAACAATATGACTTTAATCTCGTAACAACATGATGATTTTTCTTGTTAATGACTTAAAAATCTTCTTTAAAAAAAATGATTAAATGTGGCTCTAATAACCCGTCATAAAACTTAGTAATCAAACACAGAAAGGCTGCCTGCCTGTATGCTAACGCCCCGCCGCTGTGTGGCACTGATCACCCCCCATACCGAGCGGGCAGCAGGAGGCGTTCCCGGAGCTCCGGTTATCTGAGCACCGGGCTGAGTGTTCAGTGTGGAGGGAGAGCTGAGCGGGGAGAGACGCTGCTGCTGCTGCCCGACCACGGAGGACACAACCAGGATGCTCCATCTTGAAAAAAGCTTCTTTTAAACCAGTTTAATCCGAGCTGTGGACCTGAATCATCTCCGTGAGTCCACCTGGTGTGAGGTTCGGATGAGTCTGCGGTCCCGGTGAGTCCCGGTGAGTCCCGGCGGTGAGCTCTGTCTTTGTTCGGCTCTGACATCTGTCCTTCACACCTTCAACATGGAGCATCCAGAGAAGGAGACCAGGTCAGACGATGAGACCGAGTTTGAGGACGAGGAGGTGGACCCCAGAATCCAGGTAACTCACCTTTACATCCACATTATTGATTATTGGTTTTTTATTGATCCGGGTTCAATAAGCCCCGGAGAACAAAGTCTCTCCATGATACTGGCTCAGCATGTCCTCAAATACACCTAAATCTGGACTCTACCTGCTCACTTTGTCTGGATGTATGTGGATTATAATCTGTTTGTGATAACTGACTGATTCAATGAGAATATAAAAACAACCTCAGAGTCCATCCTGATGGTTTATGAGCCCAGAGACCCGGATTGGGTTTAAACAAAGAGCTTCAAATTATCATAAAGAGGGTAAATCCTGATATTTACCTTCAATAATGGTGTTAAATCCATCTGCATGGTTTTTTTCTTCATAGTTTATTATTTTAAAAGATTCATGAGGAAAAATCTCAAACATGTGAAAGAAAATGAGCGGAAAGAAGAAAAATCTTCTAGAGTCTGAACCTCTTTATTAATATATTAATCAACCAAACACATAATAATAAAAATAAACTAGAGCTTCAGGCCAACATACCTTTGACAGTTTAATATTTCTTATTTTCAAAAACAGACAGAAAAGACCAGGTTAACCAACATTTGTCCACAGAACAAACAAACACAGACTTAGATGAAAATATTTCTCTGTATTTACTCGACAAACTGACTTTGACCCTAAAATGTGATTTAGTTTCTTTAGTTTCTTTATTCAGATTGTTCCACAAACGTCTTCCTCTCTCTGTAACACAGCGCTCCTACAGTTTACTTCTGAATCTTTTTAAATATTTCAAATCCTTTTAAATTATAATAAACTTTCTCTTTTTTCTGGATGTTAACTTGTAAAATCTTCCTTTGAGCTTTAAACATCATCTACAACAAACTGAAATCTATTAACTCACTGAATTTCAACAACTGCAGTTTAACAAATAACAGGTTTGAAGGATTTCTGTTTTGACTTCTTCTAATAATTCGTTTTGCTCTTTTTTGTAAAATGAAAACTGTCTGGATGGAAGTTTTACCTTCTCCACACTTGAACACAGTCGGTCAGATATGGAACAATAATCGAATCATACTAGAGGTACAAAGTTTTATTATTATCTAAGTCCTTTACTATGTTTAACATAACAATCGTTTTTGTTATTTTCACTTTTATTCCATTAATCTGTGATTTTAGCTTTTCAAAATAAAGTAAAGCAATAATGACATAAATTAAAATTAAAATAGGGGGAAAAATGAACAAATCTAATGTAAAGACATAAATCACCTGATGAAGCAGGAAGTAGAAACGACACTGAGTAAGAGTGAAACAGCACCTGGACTATTATTGATCAGTCAGCTCTTGATTTCTGAAAATGCTGAACAACCCTAAAAAAATCAGGAATTATTAATACGTGTAAGAGAAATTAGGCCAACTTTAACTTCTCTAAACTGTTTAAGAGCAGATCACGCTCAGGTTCCCATCACCAAGAACAAGAACAAGCAGAAGCAGCAAAACAAGCCGTGAGAAGCAGGAACTGGTGAGAATTTGGTAATAAAACTCTGAAACGTGCGGTCAGTCATCATACACTCAACAATGTTCCCAACGACCTTTAAAAACTGTTTGAATTTAGAAATATAGAACTCAAAATACAGAAATCTTCATGAATTTGTCAGATTTGCTTCATACATCGTCAACAAACGGACCAATCTTCGTCTTTTATATCTGTGCGGCAGAATCCAGAATGTACCTGTCTGTTCAGGGCGGCTTTGACTGCTGCAATCATCCTCCATATTTGTAGAAAACCATCTGTAAGGTCAAGAGTGTTGGGCAACGATCAGGTAACGACGAGAGCTCCCTCTGCTGGATTGTATCGTGAGCCACTTCATGCGCCGATAAACAATTCATTTTGGGTTTGAAAAGTTGATTTAAGTTTAGATTCGGACTTCCCCCCCAAGATTGATAGAAAGTGAAAAGCCCCGACACTCTGACCGCAGAGCCGCCATGTTAAAGCTCGTTGCTGAATCTCAGCTGTAGGGATGGAAACTGAAAATCGTTCCTGAGTAGTTTGAGCGATCATCATCACTTGTCTTCAGGCGTAACGGTCCAGTGTTGTCCACTTAGTTCCACGTGCCTGTGCAGAAGCAGAAACGTACCAATAACAGTCTGATATATGATATTATGCAGGTAAATATCACGTGTCTTTGGTCCAAACTTGCTTTGCGTTTCAGTGTATTGGGTGTGGAGATTCTGGAAGAAGGATCGAGTTGGCAGATGATAAATCAGTGGTCACGGATCTTCTTATTTAAAGGTTTAAAGTGCAAATCAGCAGAAGAAATGAAGGTCATGTGCATTTAGTTTTCTTTTCTTCTGGTCGACTGACCCACTCAGGCTGCAACAATAAACCCATAAATCCTTTAACTGCTATAGAAATAGTTACAGAATCTGGAGAAGCAATAAATAGTGTGGGGATTTTCCAAAATATCAAGCCTGATCCACTTCTGTAGATTTGTGGATTTTCTGCTTTTTTATGATTTTCCAGTGGAAAAAAAACTGATGGTGTAAACAAAAAGACAAAGAAAGGCACATGTCGGCCTTGGGAGACAGCGAGGAGCTTTATCCACGGCCTTCGACTGTGCTCAGAGATGTTGAAAAGCCCATTGTTGATGGAGGGTTCCTGATAAAAGCAATCATTTCTGGCAGCACTTGGACTATTTAAGCAGCAGCTGAGGTGCTTCTGTGGTTTTTCAAGGCCAGATTTTCAACACTGCATGTGACACGTTAGACAGCCGCCTCAGTTCAGCAGAGATGTTCAGATTTCTGCATGTTTCCAGATGTTTCTGCCTCTGTCTCCTACACTTGTAGAGATTATCTGACATTCCTATCGTCTGCTTATCTCTCCTCCTCCAGGGTGAGCTGGAGAAACTCAACCAGTCCACCGACGACATCAACAGATGTGAGACGGAGCTGGAGGTCAGTGTCTCAGACCTGTGTGTGTGTGTGTGTGTGTGATAAGGCTTCACCTCTCCTTTCCCCTCGGTGTGGACTGACAGGCTGTAAAATCAACCTGACATCTCAAAGTCTTGTTTGGAGGGCAGAAGCAGCAGGTTTTTCTCTGGAGTTACAGCTGGACCTTTGCTCTGTCTGCAGGCTGTTTGTAGTTTTCACATTTCACTCGGTGTCAGCAGGTGAAATCGTTCAAGGATCGCCTGTAAATACTTCTGGGAAGGACACTGACAGATTGTGCGTCAATAAACTTATTTGGTTGTTTTAAACTGTTGCACTTAGATCAGCCGAAGGTCAAGAGGTGGGAGAAACTCACAGTCCTGTTAGATAATTCACATGAAAACACGGGGTCCTCATGGAGCCCTGAAAAGTCTCAAATTAGATTAATGAAGTTTAAGGCTTTAAAATATCTTAAAAAAATGAATATTTCATGAATCTAAAGTCTTACATTTTAGATGGTTTTCTGACATGTCTGAATACTCGCCCTCGTCAGAATTCAGTGATTTTTTTATTCTCTTATTTTGAGGGTTTTATCGTTTAAGTGGAAGGGTTACCTTTTTTCAGAATTCTGACTTTAATTTCTAAATTCGAACTTTGATCTTGGAATGTCGAGATCACAGTCAGAATTCCAAGTTTCACGATGGAATTCTTTTGATTTTAATCTCAATTTTCTGAGATGAAAGTCAAAATCTGACATTAATTTTGGAATTCTGAGATCAAGTTTTAAATCCGAATTCTTTTGAATTTGTTTTTGAAATTCCGACTTTAAAATCAACCTTTGACTCTGAACTCTGACTGTGATATTAGAATTCTGAGTTAAAATTCTGAGTTTAAAGTCAGAACTGTAAATTAATTCTCAGTAAATGAGGATTATAAGAAAGTTAACTGACTTTTATTAGTAATTGAATGAGTTAATTTTCTCTTAAATGACCTGAATGATCTTCTGTGTCACTTCTTCCTGCAGTTATTCTAAATTTTCGGTTATGAAATTTCCCTCTTTGTGTAATTTGGGGATTTTCCTGCATCATGTCTGGACTTGTGGTTGTAGAAGACGTGAAACTTTCAGTTTGTCTCTGCAGTCTCTGCTTATCTTGCCCATCACATACTATTGAAATGACTTTTGGTGGTTAACCTTTAATGTATTGTGTTTTCGGTGGAGTTGGTTCAAACTGGGCTGTTTCTGAAGCTGCTTCGCTGACACAGCCGTTGAACTCTCGTTTAGAGCTGATGTAAGTCACTGCAGACTGGAGACACTTTTATTTGCCATAAATTCCTTTTCACTTGCATAACTGATCTTTGAATCCCATTAAAATCCAGTGGACTCTGGTGGCTTACTTTTATGTAGGTCGGCTGTAATGTGTGAGTTTTTATAGAGGCGAGAGTCCGGAGTCAAACAGCCAGCTGAGAGTGCTGCACAGAGCAGAGTTCAATCACATGGATTTACATTCACATGTAGTTTTGTTCTGAAGAACGGGTCTGTGTCTGACAGAGAAAATGACGGATTGAAAGAGGAAATCTTTCAGCAGCTCTCTGTGATCTTTTCATCGAGAAGAGGCTCAGAGCAGGTGACTGAGTCGAACATCTCGGCCAAAGACGGGAACATGACGAGGGTCTGGAAGCACGAACTCAAAGATTCATTAGATCTGTGATCACGTTGTGTAGAACATAGAGGAAGTGTTGAGTGGCAGTTTAATTACAGCTGACAACCTGAAGCTGAGAGGAGCATTCGGAGACGCATTAGAGAAATTAGTCACTTTTTTTATCTCGTCTAAAAATTGTCAGAGGAATCCAGTTTTATTTTCCATCAGACCGTCACAGAGAGAGAGAGAGAGAGAGAGAGAGCGTCTTATTCACACACAGATCTTTGTTTTCCCTGATATATAACTGAGGGGATCATACAGCAGGAGAACATGTAAATATTGGTTTTCCAATCCCATCTTTTCAAAGGGCTTTTATTTTGAAAGCAGGCCCTCGGTGTTTCCTGTTTCTGGATCATTGAGGTCATTAGAGCTCATTCTTTCTCGCCTCTGTGTCTAAAACCTCGACTGATCCTCGTCTCTGCTCTTTCTTTGTTGTCTCCATGGTCAACAAAATCGAGTCAAGTTGTTTTTATGTGGGACAAAGACGTCTTCTGTTGGGGACCGTCTCCTATCAGAGGCTAAAACAGGCACAGAAACTCTTAGACATGTGGCCTGTTTGAGGAGATAATCATCTCCTCAAAGAAAAGAGAAAGACAAACAGCTCTGAGTAACGTCCATGAACACTGTCTTTGTTTGGATGTTTTCAGAGTTGGTGGAAAGTCACTCTGAAAATGTCACAGAGAGGGATGATATCAGACTGAATAAAGATCTGGTTCAGCTCCAGAAAAAGTCTGTTCTGGTGAATTTCAGTCATCAGGATAATCTTGAATGTGATCACGAGAGTTTATATGTTTGTGGTTGAACTGATGTAGGTCAGACTGTGAACGTGTGGAGATCACATCCTGCAGGACACGTCCTTAAACCTGCAGATTTTCACCATCAGCTGGTGAAGCTCCTGGACTCTTACATCAGAAAACAGTGAGTCATCTGACGCTGTAAATTTAAATTAAATCTGAATTAAATTAGTCTTTAATAGTTTTGGGTAATCTCAGCTAAACCTTCTGCTGTTTTTTTGGTGCTTCTTCTGCTTCATATTTGGTCAAAGCGTCTTTGTTTCAGCTCTTCAGCTGACGTTAAAGATTTATGGTGTCGAAACTTCTTGGAAACTTTAGACTCATTTTTTATGAGTTACAGTTTTGTTATTTTCATCTCTTGACTTTCCGACACTCTGCTTCAGTCGGGGGAAGAAAAGCGTGTAGCTGTTGATAAACTGAAGCATCCTTACAGACCGAAGCGAGCTCGCTGATGCTGATGCTGTCGAACAAACGTCGAAGCTGTCGCAAACCGCGCGGAGCGAAGAACTGCTGAGCTGTCGCAAACATGGCTGGTAGAGGAAGTGACGTGCATTTCGCACATGTGTAGTACAAATCGGGTGTCTGGGACGGATCAGGTACAGTCAGGTTTAGTTAATGACTGTGTTCGACGATAAAGTGATTACTCATCGTTGCCACCTAGAGGGCTGGCATGGACTGGATTATTTTTGTGACAACAGAGAGAAAAATAGTCCGTTTTGAAAACATCTGAGTGAAAAGTCCGTCTGTCTGCTGAGACAATAACTGGAGCCTCTTCAACCTTTAAAACAAATTCAAAGGTTTGTGTGTGACGACCGCAGACGTTTGAAGGGACAGACAGTACTGACTTAAAGACCTTGAGATCGGACATCCCCGTCATCTCTCAGTATCTCTGTGTCCTTTTTATCAAACTCTTATTCTGTGGAAATCTGAACAGTTTGGACCCGACTGCAGCTTCTCTGCCAGAATCAGCCTCTCTGAGTTTTAAGGGAGTAAACTGTCATTTAGGGTTTGAATCGGAGCATTCGAGGTGCTGATTAGAGGACGATGGAGAGTGATCGCCATGGGAACCACAGTGATGTGAAGACGCTAATGCGCCCTCATGTCTGAGATGCAAATGATATTAAGTGGAGAACATAAACGCCAAACGTAACGCCTCAGGGCGCTAACGGGTTGACAAGGTGAAGTGCGTCAGAGGGTAGAGGGAGGACGGAGGCACCGCACTGCAGTCTGCATCACAGCAGAGGAGAGAGGGTGAGAGACGGAGGGGAGAGAGGGAGAGAGAGAGGGAGGGGGACACACGGATATAGACATGCCTCTGTTTTAATCTGGTTTTAGTGATGGATCAAAATAATAATAACTAAAGTGTAGATGTGAGACTTAGTGACATAATCCAGCAGTCAGAGAGGTCAGCTGAATCTGCTGATTCACGGCATCAAATCTGAACGTGTTCGAGATCAAATTTAACAACCGGGGGGGAAATGTTGACTCTTTTTTTAACGGTCTTTTTAAATCAGACTGTGAGAAATAAACGATGGACGACACATCTCTACCTCCTCTAAAACAAAAGTGAAGTCTTTAGATTCTCACTGATTCTCTGGATCAGGAAAACTGAGCAGAAGGTTTTTATTTGAGTTTATTATACGACTGTCTTTCTACCCCCAATCTACCCCTCCCAACCAGTTTTCCCCTCAGCCCCTCCCTCTCTTAAGCCCCGCCCACAAACAGACGCTCCTGCTCGCTCGTATCGTTCCAATTAACTTCAGATATAATGTAGATAAGTAATGCAGCTCCGTCTTTTTAGCTCTTGTCCGGTCTACCTCCGTTTTAAGCGCCCGTTATTCCTCCAGAGTCTCCGGTATTTACTTTGTTTTCTTGCTTGTGTCGGCAGTCGTGGCCAAAGGAGGATTCAGACAATTTTCCGAACTTTCTGGTTGGTTTCTACTGTCCGATATTGTAGCACGCTAACTTTGTTTGGGCTCCTGAACGACACGGGGGAGCAGCGTCTGCCTCACAACCAATCAGGTTAGAGGAGGTGGAGAACGGCTTTGTTTACATTCAGAAAGAGCGGACCGCTCAAAAATGTTCAAATGTTGACGACACAGACATAAGAGAACACAGAGATATCGATATATTACCAAATAATCAATAACTAATAACTATTGACTGATTATTAGAAGAGTTTCATAAATACACCACAAAATAAAAAGATGCTTCTTTAACGGTTTTCTGCTCCTCCTCCACCTTTAATCATCAAGTATCAGGAGTTTCCTCTTATTTTAGACTCTTAAAGCTTCACCATGACACACTTTTTATGAGCAGTAGAAATTAAATTCAGTGTTTTATCTAATCCACACCGCTAATGGATTACCAAATGTGTGACGGCGCCCGTCAGGCTCTTTATTCTCGTCTGAATCCGTGTTTTCTCTGCAGTATCAGCCGGACAACACGAGTAAACAACTTTCTGTTTTTCTGTGCTTATTCAGCAAAACTGTTATCTTGATCTCCACGTGGTGTGAATCTTGTTCCCAGATTAGATCGAGTTCTTTCTCCCTGTTTGGTTTTAATCTTTAATCTCTGAGTTTCCAAATTCAGTGTGACTCATTTCAGAGGCAGCAGCCGTGCAAGTTTCATTTCCCTGACTAGTTTGTGAGCAGCTGGGGAGCTACAGGTCAAGGGTCAAGAGCTTCAACACGCTGTCAGGAGATAAAACAGAGGAACTCAGCCGCACTAAGACTGAGAGAGATGTCAGATTTCTGGCTGCAAAGTCACAACTCCATAAAACCTGTTTATTGATTTCTTCAAATCACTTTTTTTTTTTTTTAGGATGCGAGGCAGAAGTTCCGCTCAGTCCTGGTTGAAGCCACGGTGAAGCTGGACGAACTGGTGAAGAAGATCGGAAAAGCCGTGGAGGAGTCCAAGCCTTACTGGGAGGCTCGCAGGCTGGCCAGACAGGTCAGTCGTCAGAGCAGACACCGTTCAGACTAACTGGGGCGATATAATAATAATAATAATAATAATAATTTTTATTTATATAGCACCTTTAAAAACAGAAGTTTACAAAGTGCTTAGACAACAGTTGTAAGCACAGAGCATCAGCACATTGAAAATAAAAACACATAAAAACAAAAGCTCAGTTAAAAACAGGCCTCTGAATTGTAGGCCTGTTTCACTTTTCGTAAGAAACCCAGGCAATACAAGAACCCTACAAAATAAATGGGACCATGAGGACCAAAATAAAAGCAAAAAAGAAATAGAAAAGGAGGGAAGAAAACAGGCTAGTAAGTATAAAAGAGGATATTAATAATAATAATAAAATCATAATAAAATAAAATGATGGTAATATAAATGATAAAGTGGAATTAAATATATATATATAAAATAAAGGAAAATGAAAACATTAAAATCAATAAAAAGATTATAAGTAAAACAAAGGCTAAAAAGGCAGTAAGTCTAAATAAGAAAGAGGTGAGGTTTGTTGTTGGGTTGGGTGGACACAAGACCTGTATGACACTCATGATCAGTTCTGATCAGCTGATTGGTCCAAATATTCTAGTTCTGTACCAGTTAGTCATGCAGAAATACTGATCAGTCCATAAAACAACATGTTCTAGTTTATCAGATTCAGCTTCTGTGGAGGATCTGCTGCCTCCTCATGGAGAAACGGGCAGAGATGTTAATGAGGCGCTGTGCTGATTGGCTGATTGAAGAGGGAGGGTGCAGACTGGTGCAGGTGGAGGTGAAAAAACAAAACAACAAACAGTCAGGCGAGCCTGCCAGAAGAGCAAGTGGAAGAACGTTTTAGATGTGACAGAACGGACGTTTGTGTTGGTTTTTTGGAAACCACAGAGCAGCTCGCTGGTCTGGCTCTACTCTGGGACATCTAGACTCTGCAGCATTGAAGCAAGACCAGAGTGACTCCTGTTGTGAGGTCACCAAAGGAGCCAGACCAGGCGAGCTAAAAAAAACAGGTTTCTTCTCCTCTACAAACTCAGAGTTGGTTAAAAAGTGCAGCACGTTTTGAGGATTTTCATGGTTATGGACTGTTGAAATGAAATCTGTCTGTTTACCTTCCTGGGCTGAATCTGTCACCAGTCTGGGAGATATAAATACTTAAAGGTGAAGTTGACCTTTGACCCTTTGCTCTGTTTTTAACATATCTCAGACCCTCACACACAGACCGCCGTATTACTTATTCAGCTTGTTAAACTCTGCGTGGCCTGATTCCTGTCTCATGTATTTTTAATTGTTTGGGGATTTTGACGGTTTCAGAAGCTGACTCAGAATTCAGAAGCAGTGTTGACTCAGGGTCAGGTGTGGAAACCTGGTGTTTGGGTTGAAGAGATAAAAAGTGGAGAGATGCATGAAAAAGAAACCAAAAGTGACTTTAATGACTGTGATGAAAATATGTCTGAAAATGTTTCTGCATCGTTTAGATAAAGACAGAAAACAGCTCTTCACTGGTGAGCAGTAGGAGCTGCACAGATCAGACCTCCATCTCAGTTCCCTTTTCACCCAGAGTGTGTGTGTGCGTGTGAGTGTGTGTGCTTGTGTTGTAAATAAAGGGGGAAGCAGCCACCTGCACCTCTCGATAAGAGCCCACACAGCTGTAAGAGCTCAGCCAGGAAGTGCAGGGATGGACTGAGACTCTGAAAGGCCTCATTGTGCCGTTTTTCTCCTCCTCTCCACCCTCTGATAACACTAATACAGAAGAGCGATCTGTGGTTTTCTGGCTTTCTGGAGGAGATAAGTGTGGCCTTGGATGTGAGGAGTGTTTTTTCTGCAGTGTGCTGAAACACACAGGCAGTGATGAAAGTGACGCTGCAAGTTGGACTTCCCTTTTCTGACACTCTGTCCTTTTTTAACCCGAGCTCTCCTCTCATCACCGTCACTTTTAATAAAGCCGAGCATCACGTGGAAATGTACAAGTGAAGCGTAAACACATTTGTGCGACAACACCCTGAAAATGGACGATTTTGGACAGCTAACCTTGACTTACTAATTTATTTTACCAACCATAACAGGCTGAGTCTGACAGTGTTCATCATTTATAAGGTTTCAGAGAGGTGGTCTTTTTAAATCAGATTATTTAAACCTGCAAAATCACAGAAAAGAGAAAATATAGGTGTTAAATGACTCTGAGGGGCTGTGAGCTGAGCTGCTACCTGAAATACACTGTTTTGGTTTGTTGTTTCACAGTTTTTGTGATTATTCAGCTTTTAATTAGCCAGATTAGTCCCATTATGATTTTTTTAAATAAAGGGAGACCCGGCTAAGAACGACAGCAACACAGTTTTAACACCAAAACGATCAGAGCTAAAACAGAGGTTTAAATAAATCCAGACAAATAATTCTCAGAACAGAAATTCTTTATCATTTCCTTGAAGTAATAATCATCATATTGATCATTTTACAGACGCGGTAGTTCTTCTGTCTTAGCGTCTCGGTCTGATTGTATTTCCATGAAGAAATGATCATAAATGTTCTTCCTTGAGCTGCGTCACCCCGCTGTAGTCCGTAATGGACTGGCCTGAGGTCTCCCTACAAACAAGCGTCTGCTGGAAGAGAGTAGGTGAGTTGTGTTTAGTCTCTTTGTTAAAGAAATGAGTCAAAGTTAAAAAGATGTTTGGTGTCTAGTACTATGTCTGTGACCCTATATGTCCTGTTGATGAAGTTAGGTGCTGTTCTGAGCATTATTTGTGGCTATAGAGTGGCGTTTTGGTTGGGGGCGTGTCTCTCTGTATTTCTGAGCTCAGTGGTTCTAACATACTGTGGTCTGCAGTTTCACTCTGGTTATATCCAGCCTGTTTTAATAAACCAAACCCTTTCTGTGTTAAACTTTAATCAGACGGTTTTGTGGTTTTTAAAAACAATGTGATGTTTGAGGAACTGAACTGTCCCAGTTCCTTTTTACACAGTTTCTCACCTGCCGTCCAGATTAACCTCTACATCCTCTCTTTGTTCACTTTCACTTCTTTTACGAGCACCTGGACCGTCATTTCATCTGGTGGTTTGGATACGTTAGGGTGTTAAAGCCAAAACCAAACGTTGAATACAGAGCGGTTTTACTGTAGTAATTCTGGGGCAGGAAGAAGAGGACAAACTTGAGAGGGAGGAGGATTAGAAACACACAAGATGAAGGCTGAGTCTGAGCTTTACTCCGGGGAATTAAAAAAACGTTTTAAAAGCCGCCCTCGCTCTCTCGCTCTCTCGCTCTCTCGCTCTGAAAGGAAAATCATGTGTCATTTTTTAAAAACTGTTTTTACCGTCACTGCGCTTCCCTTCTCTGCATGACCGGACAAACTCGATTAACGCGACATCAATCTGACTAAAATAATCAGGTGTACTCCAGGAGAAGGTTTTAGATAACCCACTTTTCATATCCTCACTAACTCTGAGCGACGGTGGAGGGAGATTAAGACCTGACACTGGAGACAAACGAGTTTTTAGAGCACTCTGTGAGAGACTGTGTGAGCAAAGGTTCCACAACGCCAAAGTAAATATCGGCGCTGAGGGTTGGATTATCTACTGAACAATAAAGACTCAGGCTGCTAAAACTGGTCCTGACTCCTGAGTGGAAATCTCCACATCACTCCCTGTGAACACGGTTTCCACACAGGTTCAAACTGATCGATAGAAAGACTGAAGCAGGTTCATTAGATCCCCTACATCAGTGAGTCTGGGCGATAAACCGAAAATTTACCGATACCGAAATTTACAACAATAACCGACGTCATTTTGCCGATATCTTCAGAGACGTGACTCCGCCCCAATTAGTCTGCAACGAAGAGGGAAGGACAGGTGAGGAGATGGAGGAGTAGTTATCGTTATCGAGGTGAACTGATCAATATATCGTGATGTTGATTTGAGGCCGTATCGCCCAGCCCTACTCTGGGGGATCTGACAGTCTTCTTGGGATCCATGGACACTGAGTTTCATGCTTTGAACAGGAAATTCACCATTTCTCAAATTAAAAATGCTTTTATTTAACTAAGATATTCTTACAGACACTCATCCATCCCTGTAATCTGGATTTACTCGACAGCTTTGACATTTCAATCCACTGACTCTGAAATCACATTCGGCTCCTCTGACCTGGTTATTGATGAATCCTGCAGCCGTTACAGAAACTTTCTGTCTGCACTCGCTGTCCGAACGTCTCCGAGAGCAGATTCAGCCTCTGTGGTGCTTTAGATGAAAACAGAAGAATAAATATCAAGGCTGTCCTGTTCTGCTCTCACATCCTTTCATTTCTCCCTCTCAGTCCCTCTCAGTCCCTCTCAGTCTCTCTCCCATTATCACTCCCTCTCTTTTCTTCTCTCTGATGGCTTCAGGTTTTTATCAGATCATTTCTGGTTATTTGTTATGATGTTATTGGCTTGTTGTGTAAAATCTGTTGCTCTTCTTCGTCTTATTTTTGCTCTGATGATGTTGATGAAGCTGTTTTCATCCTCCGACACACTTTGGCAGAACTCTCAAACTCCTGAAGTTAAAAATATCTCCTCTGAAGACACGCCGGCTCAGTCACAGGTCCTCTTGTTTGTCGACTTTAGCAGAAGTTTGATCCTATAATCCAGGTTTTATTTCGACTAATGCACTTCAGTTCAGTTTCATCCTTCAGTATCATGACTGTATGAACACAATATAGAGTTTTTGATTGCCTCTCCGTGTTCCTCACATCTCTCTCTCTCTCTCTCTCGGTTTGATAAGAAACACATTATTTGCAGTTGCAGATAAGCAGCAGGCGGCGCCCGGAGAGCAGAGACAAACGACTCGGTTTGACCCTGACTCCAGATAAAACCCAGACCTGCAGCCCTGAGAGTGTTAGATAATCTGTATTTGCATATCAGGCATCCAGGGCGGCAGTTTATGACTCATGATTCAGGCTTAATGCAGGACTACAATAAAGATTTCACACAGAGCAAAAGTCTTTCAAAGTTTGTGAATGTAAAAAGAAAATACTCCAGGGCTGAGTGGATAGAAAATCTTAGAAGTTATGAGGTGTGGAGTCTAAAATGAAGTACCAGAGAGAGAGAGAGAGAGAGAGAGAGAACGTCCTGTAACAGGCAGAAACCTCGAGCAGAACCAGACTGATGTTGGACAGACATCAGCTGAGACTGATCTGGGTTTAGAGAGGAGAGACTCGTGGATTTAGTTAAAGCAGTAAAACTTCTGCAGCAGAGATCCAGAAGAATCTACAGGATGATGGAGTTCAGAGACTCCCAGGAAAGACTGAATATCAAAAAGTACCGTTTACAGTCACCTGAAACGCCGATACGACAAAAAACTTTAGCGTTTCCTCCTGAATTAGTTTCTGTGGTGACGGGTTGATACCGCCTTCAGACAGACTTTGGGGAGTGGTTTACTCTTCATCTGAAACTGTGAAGTCGTACCAATTCAACACGACTGACTCGCTCTTGTCCAATTTAACCACGAAATTATCGCCTTCTTTAGCAAACGTTTGTTTACACTGGTGTGTGTGGGAACTGGGGAGGAAGGGGGAGGAGCCTATTTGATTATCGTCATAATCAAATAAACTGATCATGATTTAAATTGATTAATCGTGCAGCCCTAGATATCAGGTTGACTTGCATGCATGAGTGATAAGTCAACACATCTTTGCTGTTAACCCAACAAGAGTTAATGGGAAGTCTATAATAAGAAGTCTATAATAAGAAGTCTATAATAAGAAGTCTATAATAAGAAGTCTATAATAAGAAGTCTATAAAAAGAAGTCTATAATAAGAAGTCTATAATAAGAAGTCTATAATAAGAAGTCTATAATAAGAAGTCTATAAAAAGAAGTCTATAATAAGAAGTCTATAATAAGAAGTCTATAATAAGAAGTCTATCATAGATTTCCTGAAACATCTGTTGGGTTTGTTGTCGTTTATTTGACATGGTAACTCTTCGCTCTCGCTGACAGTCTTAGACTCACTTTTGGAAAATTTGCCTCTGATGAAAAACGTCGACACAGTTCCAGCTGCTTCATATTTCCTCACAGTCCAGGAGCTTTAATGAACATCTCAGAGTGTTTCTGACTTTGAATTGTGAAGGTTTCGCTCTTTTGGCAGGTGTTGACCTTTTATTTAAAATTTCCTCTTTATTTGTTTAAACTCTCATGATCAGCCGGCCAATAAAACTCACTCAAGGATTTATTGATGAAAGTTTTTTCGACCCTGACGTTAAAAGCCTGTCAGACTCTGTCGGGTAGAAAAAAGCTGCACTTCCAGGTGACCTGAACTCCGCCGGATGAAGTGGGTCAGGGTGACGGGGCGAAAAAGTTTCTCGGTGAGATGGTTTGAGTGCTCCTCGCTTCAGAGAGGCACGTTTTTAAGTGCTGAGGAGTTTAATCTCCTGCAGATGAATATAAAATATGCAGAAAGTCTCTTTTTATTCCACTTCACCGAACAAGACTGGAGGCTGGAGATGGAAGGAAGGAGGTCAGGATATGTGAGTTGGCGTTTTTGGGTTGTTACTGTTAATGTGTTTGAGGAGATGCTGCCTTTGGATGGGATCATGTTTTCTGTATCCTGGTGTTCATGCACGGTTTAAGGAGCCTGTATGTTTGGTTATCTGAGTGGGGCTGAACGGTTAACTGTCATCCTTCTCTGCTTTAATCAATTAACTGATCGATTAATCCTGCAGAAGACAACAAAACTTCACGAGCTCTAAAATCTGCAGCATTTGTAGATGATGGTTTTAAGAGAGTCCTCAGTGACCGTGACAGCGGCCTGAGTTTGAGCAGATGTCTGGGGATTAGCGAGAGAAAGATAGTTGAGCAAGTCCCAGCTGTTCAGACGATGATACGCTAGATTTGGAGAGGAAGATTTACTGCAGCTTAGAGAGGAGGAGGGAAAGACACGGGTTGATGGAGTCGGAGGGATCAACAAAGACATGCCTCACCCCGTGGAGGTGATTGTTTGAGTCGCCCCAAATCTCTTCCCCAAATCCTCTCAGAACAAAACTCCCACTGAGCTTGAAATAATCTGAGTTTAAACATCATCACAGCTCTTTCTTACCTTTTGTATGTCAGTCTGTAGAGACCGTTCTCGTCTAACAGGTTCATCAGGAACTGAAAGAGACGATTAAACACATCGAAGCTGCCTCTGTGACAGCTGAAGAGAAGCTCAGAAACCTCTTAGTTATCGAACCCTGGGTCTCCTCTGACATGAAGGTGGACACAGCTCTTGGGTTAGGGCTGGGCGATAAACCGAAAATTTACTGATACTGAAATTTACAACAAAAACCGACATCATTTTCACCTATATCGGTATATTCGATGTTAAAAAAATAAACAAGTAAAAGTAGGTTTTAACGTTGTAGGTAGGCTAAAGTCCCACTCCGATTGTTTTTTTTACTACTTAAAGTTGTTCTCATTGGTCTATAAATTGTGATTTTGAATTTTTAACCAAGAATCGCGTTACCTGCGTCATTTTCAAGGACTTTTAGATTAGTGGGCGGAGTCAGCGCTGCTCTGCACACTCCTCTTCATGCTAGCCTGTAGCCTAACATTACTGGTGTAGTAGAAATAGGTAACACAGGAGTTATTCAGCTCTCAGACCCTGATGTCTTTGAGGACACAATGAAAGTTAAGATCATAATTAGATTTCTAGCATTAAAACCCGCTAACGCAGACGCTTGTTCTGCGATCCTCCTCAGTAGCCACGTTTACATGCAGACTTTTTTCTCATTCGGATTATAATCATTCCGATTGAAGCTCCCAGGCGAACTGTTTACATGGAAGCGATCTATTCTGATCTGGTGTTTACATGTGCCACGGCATTCAATCGGAACAGCTATTTACAGACATGCGATACCTTCAAACATCACGTGATGTTGTCACATGATGTCCCACCATGTGAGTCATACGTCACTGCTTGTTTACATCAGGACAGAGCATGCGCAGACAGAACCCAGCCTGACAACTTTCCGATTCACCGTTTACATGACAGGATTTTGCTTTTAATCGGAATGGGAAAAGGAATATTCTACCCCTGAGAATCGGAATGAAATTCCATTCGGAATGGGCCTGTTTATTCCGAATGAGGTGTTTATATGGAGCATTTTCATTCCGATTGGGCTTCTATTCCGATTATATTCGGAATATTTGGCTCCATGTAAACGTTGCTAGTGTTTCTCCTCTGTATGCAGTCTGGTCTGCATAGCGTGCTCTGGGGGCGGAGCTTGGATTTGTGATGTATGAAATCTCACTGTGTCTGAGCCTGCAGTTTGGGTCTGTTAGAGATTCACAGAGATCTGAATGAAGAAATACTCAGAAATGCAGTTTTGCACTTATTTTTCTCTTGATTTGTCCTGAAGCGTCAGAAAAATGAACGTTTTTAAAGAGTAGATTCGGGTTGTCCTTCCTCCTGGTTATCAGGCGTCTCTTTCTGGATTTCTCCTTCCTCTCCGGCTCTTTTCTTCCTCTCTCTGTTTATCTCCCTCCTCCGTCCCGCTGAGGCTGAAGTGTTTTTGGCAGGCGGTGCACGTCACACAGACATTAACCACGGGTAATGTTGAGGATGGATGGAGTAGAGGATGGATTTGTGGGAGAGGCGGAGGAAGCTGCTGAAGGTCAAAGCCATCCTCTTTTGCTTTGACCACCGAGGACACTGTGTGTGTTTGTTGTTGTGTGTTTGTCTGGTGTGTGTTTGTTGTTGGAAGCTGTTGCATAACGTCGCCGGATGGTGCAGCAGCTCTGACAGAGTCCAGCGGCTGGGCGGAGGTTTCCTTTTGTGTTTTTGACAATGACTCAACACTCTGTGGTGAAATAATGTCTGTTCCTGTGTGTGCGCTGTTACACACTTACACAAAAAAGGAAAATTAAACAGTATCAACATGTTTTTTTTCCTTTTTGTGCTTCAGGTAATATCAACGTTTATGAGGCATGAATAAGCTTCATGTATTCATCTGTATTAGTCCATGAAATGAGTCTGAATGAGTGAAACACACTCAGTCCTGCTCCTCCTCTTTGACAAAGGCGTGCTGTGACGGTTTTAAAAATAACTCCTCGTCTCCTCGTTCTCCTCGTTCTCCTGACTCATCCTTGTTTGGATCTGTCTTCTGGTTTTCCTCTAAGTTCAGTTTTTGGCTCTTTTACTCCTTCATAGAGGAGACACCAGCGGACAGTGGAGTATGAAGCTGGAGGAGACGGTGATGTTTAAGACAAAAGGCCTCGGGTTAGAATGAAGGATGAGGATGAAGAACCGGTTTCTCCTAGTTTGAGTCATAACTTACCCGAGCCTCCCACACGGCTTCACGTGTCTTACTAAACAACAACATGATGAACACGAGCAGGAATAACAACCGAGGGGTGGAGGAAGGAATCACAGCCGTTAGAAGACGAGAGTGAGATTTACTGTAAAATCCACCCGCTCCGTGAGGACGGCGGCTTTTTCAGCAGTAAGAGTTTCTGTGACATCCGTGGACTTTCCTACCCCACAGAGAAGATCAGAGGACTCTCAGGGACTTTGATGATTTATGTTTAGATTTCAGTTAAACAGTGAAATAGTGTCTTTTTTTTCTGTTGTCAGCTGACCTGTAGAGGTCCAGACTAAAGCCAGGCGTCCCCGTCTCAGCAGAGTGAAGATAGAAAAAGTGACAGCATGATTGATCCTCCGTACTTTCTCAGGGACTTTTTCCACATCTGTCAAACTGGTCCTTCAAGTGATGCAAGAATGAACACGAACACTAAAACTAAAAACGAAACTGAAACTGAGAATTAACGTGTGTGAGCGCGCTCGTCAGCTGAAGAGAGAAGAAAATCGATTTGAGGATTTTAATTTTTTTAACATCGTCATAATCAAATAATCCGATTTCGATGTAAAATCAACTGATGGTGCAGCCCTAAAAGGTGGAAAATATTTGATTCCCACAGATTGAGAATCAAAGTTGTAGGATGTGGTTCATCAGCTCGCTCTAACTCGGAGGTTTTAATGAGACTCTGGCGGCGTTTGGTGAAATACACGGTGGAAATCTCAACCTTTTGAAGGCCTCGCTGGAAATTTCATGAACCTTTTTATGATTTTTGTGTGAATTCAGCTAAAGTTTCTGTAGTAACCGAGTCGTCCTGATAAACTCGAGTTATTAAACTCACAGAATCTCCGTCTGTAAAACCTGGAGATGTAAATTTGTGTCGTTTCATGTTGAAGGTTTGTCTTCATTAGAATCACTGCAGCTCTGTGACTAAAGCGGACTCTAAAGTGAGTCCTCGGTGCAGCTCCTCTTTGAACCTCAGCCTCCCAGCCTGCGTGGATCTGGGTTAATTTGCCTATTAAAGTCCGTGACGCCCACATCACAGGCGCAGGCTTCTCCCTGCTGCTACAGCCAACCCTGCAGCTCTCTTTCAACAGATCTAGGCCAGTCACAGCCGGCCCACCTCTCTCCTGGAGTAAACTTTCAATCAAGATTTCCTCGACATACATACAGGGACAGGAAGGACAACATGTTTACAGCATGTGGCCTCAAATTAAAGGTGACCGTGAGTCCCAGATTGTGCTGGGAGGAAATTATCGGGAAGCTCGATCAATCAAAGTTTCCTGGAAAATTAGCCGAATCAGGTCACTGAGGAAAACTGTCGCCTCAAATCCTGACGGAGTCGACCCTGGACTCAGTGAACACACGGTCTGTACTGTTCGGATAATAAAAAGAGAAACACGCCTTTTATTCGGTAGGAAAAAAAGGAGAGTGAGGCTGTTTTTGAGGGTCAGTAGAAAATCTCTGATCTGTTTCAGCATCTCACCGTCCGCCGATAAAGAGCAGAGACTGAAAATAGAATCAAAGATGATAATCGTGAGATTTTTCTGTCCTCAGAGGTTTTTATATCAGCGCTGAATCTTTCTGAATCAGTCCTGGCACACTGACCTGATTAAACACATTAAGCGTCACGTCTGATGCAATAATCCTCATTAAATAACGCCGTCTGTGCCAGCGGCGTTCGTTCTGATTATACAATCAGAGGAGACTTAATTAAAAGAGGAACAGGAACATCTCTATACCAGACAGGACTGAAAAAAACAGATTCGTCACTCTGTGAGAGACTGTGTGAGCAAAACTTCGACAGTTTCATCATGTCCCTCAGCGTGGAATTAATAAGAACATTATCGGCTTTACATAATATCGTTAAAAGAGTCAGATCTGCAGAAAGAAGAAGAAGAAAACCGCGATCATGAGTCTGTCAGACTGAGCTGCAGTAAAAACAGGAATGACTCTGTAGTGGAAGTCACCGCAGTGACTGGAAGTTGTTCCCAAAAGCTAATAATTTATACAGAATCTCATTTTTGACTTGACTTAGTGTTTACACTTTATGACTATAAAGAGGAATAACATGTAGGGCTGGGCGACAAACCGAAAATGTACTGATACCGGAATTTACTCTGCAGCGTCGAGCACCTCAACAAATACTGACATTTATAACCTTCATACTGAGTTACTTTTTATTTCCCTCCGATTAGAAAGTTGATTTAAAACCTTTAGGTACTTGTGGAGTAGGGCTGTGCGATAAACCCAAAATTTAACAATACAGACATTTACAAAAGTAACTAACGTCATTTTACCCGTATCGGCATATTCGATGTTAAATAAATAAAAGTTGTTTTAGGACAATAAAACATCTAACCTGCTTCTGTGACACCTGTGGAGAGACTCTGCGTGATTCATAACTAACTGATCGAACCCTGAATCTCCTCTGGTGTAGAGGTGGACACAGCTTTTAGGTGTTAGTTTTTACACAGCTTTGCCGTCACAAAAGACCTAAAAGTTCCTCATTTATGGAAAATTTCTGCGGCTGTCTGTTGGCGTTGTGATAACAGATATTGATGCTCATAAAACAAGTTTGATATTAGGGCTGGGCGATAAACCGATACCTAAATAAACCACAATAACCAACGTCATTTTGCCCATATAGGGATATTGATTTGAGGCCATATCACTCAGCCCTATGTGACACTGAGTAATTAGATTTGTGTGTGTCCTTCAATAATGATCTTTCAGGTTTTATTTCATGATACTAAACTCTGGTTTTGTTGAAGCTGAGGTAGTTTTATTTCTTCTCCGTCCTCTTCTTCTTATTTCACTTTAAAAAACATGTTTTTATGTTTTTATGTGTTTAAAGTTCTCCTGAATATTTGATGCTCCGTCTCCCACAAACAGACAGACAGACAGACAGAGGGACGCAGAGCGAAACAGCAGCTCGGTTTCTGAACTTCTGCATTACTTACACATCAGCGTCTCTCTGGAGGACGGCGCTCTGAAAATTTCATGGGCTTCAACGCGGTGTGATTAAAATATGAAGCAGCCGAGCGAACGCCGAGAACAGAGAGGGAGAGAGAGAGGTACGCGAGGACACGAAGGAGGGAGAGAGGCAGAGGTGTGTCAGCAAGAAAGATTAAGTCGGGTATAGAAAGTGACAGACATGGAGGAGAGGAAGGAACGAGGGAGATGGGAGTTTAAGACCAGAGGAGGGAGAGATCAGGGCGAGGTTTGGAGACGGATGGAAACAGACAGATGCATAAAGATAGAAACAAAAGGAGAGAGAGGCAAAACGGGGGAGACAAGGTGAGCGATGAGAGAGAAACCAAAGAAGGGAGAAAAACGGAGAGATGATTGGAAGAGAAGGAGGAAGGAATGAACGACGGCGTGATGAAATTAGGGAAATGAAGGGAGGGGATGTTTGCAGCTTTAACGGTCGACGTGCAGCTCTGAGATCTTTATGGAGTAAATGTGGATGAAGAGGAAGGCGAAGGGTTGAAGCTGTGAATGTAAAGTCCCACAGACGTCAATGAAACACACGCTGTCTTTAGATTTTTAGATTTTCCTTTATTCATCCCTCAGTGCAGTAATTAAACTGTTAACAGCAGCGGTACACACAACATACACACAACATACACACAACATACACACAACATACACACAACATACACACAACATACACACAAAATACACACTCATACACACAACATACACACAACATACACACAACATACACACAACATACACACAACATACACACTCATACACACAACATACACACAACATACACACTCATACACACAACATACACACAACATACACACTCATACACACAACATACACACAACATACACACTCAAACAGGGTACAAAAAACAAACAAGATAAAGAACTACGGTAAATAAAAGGAGGAGCAGAATTAAGACGAGTGTTAGAAAAATATAATAGAGAAAAAAGATCAACAACAAAAAAAACAGGTTTGTGATGATGATGATGATGATTCATCAATAATTAGGGGTGTAGTATTGCACTTTTATTGCTTTTATTGCACTCTTCTTCTTCTTCTTCCTCTTCTTCTTCTTCTTCCTCTTCTTTAAACTGATGAAATTTCCTCTTTCTGTGGATTTCCTCTCCGTCTTTGTTGTCAAACACTTTGACAAACGGTCTGAAACTGTCGACGACAAAAACAAGTTTTCCATCTGTGACTGCGCACAAATGAATTCTCAATCTGTTAAACACGCCGCCGTCGCCAACTCGCTAATTAGAAAGCTCATGAATAATTCCCTCGCACAGACTGTTTGCTCGGATAACTTTGCCAGCCCTCCTGGCTCCGCCCCTCTTGTCCAAATATGGTCGTTGATATGTTGAGCTGTGAGAGAGGCGGTGATCTCCATCATCAGAGGGTTTTTACAGCAGCAGAGTTAAACTCCAACAGAGCTGCTGGGATTAAACTCTAAATCTAAAATCTTTACAGACTTTTCAATATTTAATTCTTCCTCTTCTTTCCTCATCCCTCTCTCTCTCTCTCTCTCTCTCTCTCTCTCTCTCTCTCTCCTCATTCAAAGTGTTGTCTTCGATCGGCAGCTGAATGACGGCTTTACGGCCGTCTTTCTCGCCTGGAGCGACTCTGAAACAGAAAATTGGGCCAAAGCAGAGAGAAAAGTCAGATTTTCAGGCTGTTTTTGTTTCTTTATCTGTTGATGTGATTTTATTGGTGCTAAAGAGAGTCGGAGAGTCGGACCGACTTCACTTTCTACAGGCTTTAATGTTAATGTTTGTTTACTGTAAAAACACAACTCTGAACGACACGAACAATCCGAGAGAAAAAACACAGTAAACAAGAGGAAACAGGAAAAAGAAGGGATTATATGTGATGGAAAAAGTGAAAAACAAAAAACAAAAAGGAGGACAATAAAAGGAAGAAAAAGGAAAGGAAGAAAAGGAGGAAGAAGGAAGGAAGGAAGGAAAGGTGAAAAATGAGACGATTGAGGAGAGGAAGGAAAAAGGAAACAAAAAAGGAGAAGAGAGACTGAGAGAGAAATGAGAGGAAGAGTTAAAAAAGGGAAAAGAAGAGAAAGATTTCCATGAAGAGGAGGAGGAGGAGAGGACAGACGGCAAAATGGATGGAAGACAAAGAAACTGAAGACAAGGAAAAAAGGATGAAAGATGTTTACAGAAAAGAAAGGAGACGGAGGAGAAAGAAACGAAACAACAAAGAGGAGAATTTTAAGAAACGCTGACTGAAGATTTTTATTTCACATGGAAGGTCAACGACCTCTGAAAACAGCAGGTTAGATCTTCTTCACTCCTCTTTTAAACCTCCACCTTCAGTTTTCCTGATCAGACCAGGAGACGAGTGAGGAGGAGGAGGAGGAGGAGGAGGAGGAGGAAGAGCGAGCACGTGTGGGACGGGATACTCGTGTCAACGTGACGGAAGAAGGAGGAGGAGGAAGAAAGGGAAACTTGTGACACTGTGACATTATCAGGAGGAGAAAGTCGTCATGTTTTCTTTTTTTTACATCCGTATACAAGCGAGGAAAGTTTGTGAGGAGCGTCTTCGGCTCAGCAGACAAATGAAGGTCATTCAGACTTTAATAAGTCAGAGCTGCTTCAGTTTCCTCAGAGGATTCAACGTAAACATGATCGATGACCAGAAACCAGATATAACAGACCACACTCCTGAAAACTTCTCCTGCAGCTTCTCAGTCCCTCTGAACAGAGATGGATGCAACATCATCCCAGGGGTCGGAGGTTAAGGTCTTGCAGACAGAGACCTCCACCTGGTGACCCCGTATCGCCGCCGTCTTCGTTTAGTCCAACGTTTTTTTGCTTGTGGACGCTGTTCCAGATCTTTCTTACTGAAGGATTTTAAAGGATGAGGAGATGTTGGTCCACAGATGTCACCAGGACCTTCATGTTAAACTCTCCTGAAGTCTACACGGATCCCTGGTCAGCATGTGTCGTCAGCATGTGCATTCAGACAGCGTGAAATACCGAGGCGAACACATGACAACAACAAGGCCGAGGCTGTTCGCTCCGTGCTGCGCTGGCACCGTGATGGCCGCCGCTAATGAGATTACAGCCAGCATGTGGTGATGTCAGACTCTCTGCAGACCAGAGACCAGAATAAACACAGATATACTGGAGAGTGAGGGAGGGAGTGAGCGAGCGAGCGAGTGAGTGAGTGAGTGAGTGAGTGAGTGAGCGAGCGAGCTCCTCAAACTGATGATGATGAAGAGTTTATAAAAAGTGTCTTCCTGAAAGTTCGTTTGCAACGACGGCTTCAGATTTAAAGGAGTGATTAAAACATGAATGTTTACTAATCAGTGGAGATGGATCAGGCTGAGAGTTTATAGAGGACGAGTAAAGTAGAAGATCTGCTAATTAACAGATCTGCTTTTTTCATGATATATTAGGGCTGCAAGATAAACCCAAAATTTACAGATACTGGAATTTATGACTAACCACAAATTTCCACCACATCCGGAACGGCGACAATTTCTGCCGTGTGCCAATAGTAGATTGTGTCCTTCCAGAGGAGGAAATCTACTTCTAGACTTCTAGAATCAGCATCTCCTCATCCATGGTGTCATCGGGGTGAAATGACGTCTAAAAACCTTTCACTTGTTCGTCTCCGCCCGTTTGCATGGTGTGAAATACGATCCTCCTGAGAGTGTTTTATTTTGAAAAGAAGCCGGATGTTTTATTTTGTGTCTGTGCCCGACTTCCTTTCCAGCACGGGTTAACCTGTGCTGAATTTATCCGCCATGCTCCGGCGTCCAGAAAAAATAGAACTCTTGTGATCAGCTGAGGAGTCCGGCGATCCGCAGAGGAACGGAAAGAAGTCGGTGTAAATTGACACGTTAACTTGAATGGTTACGATCAGCTACGATCGGAGGATACGACCTTTTAGGAGACCATCAGGATGAAGGTGGAGATTTAGCTTCAACAGTCTTCCCAGTTTCTTACAAAACAGCGTTTACTATCATGAAATTAAACTTGAAAATCATAATCCGGGGGCGCCCACATTAGGGCTGAGCGATAAACTGAAAATTTACCGATACCAAAATTTAAGACAGTAACAGACGTCATTTTGCCCATATCATATCATATTCTGTGTCATGTGCTATGGTCTCATGTCCCTTTAAGACGCTGTCCTACATTAACAAACGTAGGGAAAGAGGTGAGGAGATGGAGGACGGGTCAAGAGCGGCGGCTGAAGTAGACGAAGTTAATGTGAGAGGGGGTGAGCAGCTTGTGGAGTAGTTATCATCTATTTAACGTTATCGAGGTGAACTGATCAATATATCGAGATATTGATTAGAGGCCATATCACTCAGCCCTATGATCTACTGTATTTTTCAGATATCTTTATGTAAACAGGATTGGTGGGTCCAGGTTTCTGCATCATGAGGATAATCACTTTAGAACTCAATCAATCAATCAATCAATCAATCAACTTTATTTCTATAGCACATTTTAAAATAACCACAAGGGTAGCCAAAGTGCTGTACAATGATACATAAAAACAAATAACACAAAGAGCAAGATAAAGTGAGCAGAAATACATTAATGCAAGGGGATAAATAAGTAAATAAATAAGCAGGCTCACGGCAGGTGCTAAAATGATAAAAAAACAAAGTAACACTAAAAAGTATCAAAAGCCAAGGAGTAAAAGTGTGTTTTTAAAAGGGATTTAAAAACAGGAAATGAGGAGGCCTGTCTGATATTCAAGGGCAACTCATTCCAGAGTTTCGGGGCAGCAGCAGCAAACGCTCTGTCCCCTCTGAGCTTCAGCCTAGTATATGGGACCGTCAGTAGCAGCTGATCGGCTGATCTTAAGGGTCGGGGTGGGCAGTAAGGCTAGAGCATTTCAGAAATGTAAGGTGGAGCAAGATTGTTCAGGCTTTTAAAAACAAATATTAAAAGCTTAAATTTATTCTGTACTGTACAGGGAGCCAGTGTAACTCCTGACACAACGGCTGAAAATCAACTTTTTAATCGCAGGGAGATAAAAAGTAACTCGGCATGAAGGTTATAAATGTAAGTATTTGTTGAATCAGATCGCTGTTGAGGTGCGTGCCGCTGCAGAGTGACCGCTGAATGGTATTTGATCATCTGAATGGTGAATGACTGACTCACATGAGGCTAATTTGAGCGTCATGTGTCATATCTGCAGAGCTGCTCATTCTTGGTCTAATTCGACGATCAGGATGTGGTTCGGAGGATATCGGTCAAAAATGATGCTGCTCTCCATCTGAAGTGTATTTTTAGTATATTTATCACTTTTAACGGTCTCACTCTGGGCCTGAGAGAAAACCTGTCCTTTCTGGTGCAGAGACACTCGGTGGAGTTAGCTCAGGAGTTTGGTCGGCTTGAAGTGGGTCAGGAGCATCATGTGGTGATTTAATATTCAGTGGGCTGTCTCTCTCTCTCTCTCTCTCTCTGAGTTCTGACTGCGTCTGCCTCGCTCTCTTTCCTCCCTCTCTCTCTCTTTTTTGTTGAGTCGATATGTTCGCTCAGAAACTTCACACAGCTTCAGAAATCCGTCTCGGTCTCTCGGCGTGTGTGAGATGAAAGGTGGGAGCTGTGATTTACTGCATCACTTCAGGGCTGATTCATCACATCCTACTGTAGGTAGTATTTTCACACACAGACTTACACATTATTTTTGGACACAGTCAGAGGATGATCTGACTGCTGCTGACACACACACACACACACACACACACACACACACACACACACAGAGTGGATTCTAAAGTACAAACTCAGCATCTATATACTGGTATACTTGAGTCACTCCGTCCATAATAAAGCTGAGGTTCTCCTGGTGCACTCGCCATATTCCTGTTGGTGTTTTTCCACCTCTGCATTTTCTGCACCCCTCCTCTTTAAGATGACATGCTGTCAGCCAATCAGAACAGAGCCTCGTTAGTGTAGCGTCACGTAGGGCTGCACAATTAATCGATTTTAAATCATAATCGGATTATTTGATTATGAAGATGTTAAAAAAATTAAAATCATCAAATCCATTTTCCTCTCTGTCATGTCTCGCTCCTCCAGGCCACCGTAGGCTCTGCAGTTCCCACACACACCAGTGTAAACAAACATGGCGTTTGCAAAAGAAGGCGATAATTTCGTGGTTAAATAGGACAAGAGCGAGTCAGTCGTGTTGAATTGGTACGACTTCACAGTTTCAGATGAAGAGTAAACCACTCCCCGCTGTGACGTCTGTCTGAAGGCGGGATCAACCCGTCACCACGGAAACCAATTCAGGAGGAAACGCTGAAGGTTTTTGTTGTATCAGAAACTTTTGAAAACGGGTCAGAGAGTCTTCGCCCCGGCGGGTCTCTGCAGGTCGTCCAAAGTCAAACCCGAGTCTAATAAGTTTGAGTGACAGACCTGTTTTTTCCACATGAGCATTTCTCTGGACTTTGACTCGACAGCATGCTGAAGATGACTCGACGTGGTTTCTGATCATTGATTTACAGTCGTCAATACTCCGTCCTGACTAACACTGACTCCCTTTGTTTGATGGTAGGAGCTGAATTTCTGTGTCTGACAAAGAGAGACGTTCAGACAGGAATTAATGACAGTTTCTCAACAGTTTATTATCATCATATCTCCAAATAGATGATTACAGTCAGCAGTTATGGATTCATTATGAAATTAGAGAGAAGTTAATCACAGCTCTGACATACTTGAGGGGAAATAAAGCAAAACGAAAACAGAGAGATTTCTTATTTCACAGTCTGATAGTCGATGTTCCTCCGAGCTTTCACTGAACTGAGAGTCTGAGACTTAATGAAAAAGTGAGTTTTAGTCTCTGTGAGGTGAAGGTCGGAGTTTTTGAGAAGAAGAAAAAAAGAAAAACATGTTATTTTCTCCTAAAACCCTGAGATGGATGATAGAAGCTGAGTGATTGAATTTAGTGTCGTTGTTTTGAGAGGGTCTGTCTGTTTTTTCACTTCTTCTTCTTCTTCTTCTTCTTCTTCTTCTTCTTCTCCTCCGTTTCTTCAGGCCCAGCTGGAGGCCCAGAGAGCCACTCAGGACTTCCAGAGAGCCACGGAGGTCCTGCGGGCGGCCAAGGAGACCATCTCTCTGGCCGAGCAGAGGCTGCTGGAGGAGGACAACCGGCAGTTTGACTCGGCCTGGCAGGAGATGCTGAACCACGCCACGCAGCGGGTGAGGAGGGGCGATCGAATAAAAGAACACATGCTTCTTTTACTCTTCTTCTTTGTTTTTCTTCTTTCTTTTCCTGAATTCCTTCCTGTTTTACCTTTTCAACCTTCTTCTTCTTCTTTATTCTGTTTATCTCTTCTCTCTTTTTCTCTCAAGTCCTTCATCAACCTTCATCATCTACCAACCATCCTTTTATTCCTCCTTCTCCTCTCTCCTTTTCTTTTTTCTCCATCACCTCCATCTCTGTATCCTCAACCTCTTTTTCTACTTTTTCACCCTCCTTTTCTTATCGCTCCTCCTCTTCTTTATCTCCAGTTTCTCCTCCATGACTCATCTCCTTCTTCTTCCCCCTCCTCTTCTTGTCCTTTAGTTCTTCTCCTCCTTCCTCCCTTCCTCCTCTTCCCTTCCTCCTCTTCCCTTTCCTTCCTTCCTTCCTCTTCTTCTCCATCTTCTCCCCCTCCTCTTCTTTAACCTTTTCATCCTTCCTTCTCTACCTCTCCTCTTTTTCTTGTCTTCTCTTTTTCCTTCCTCTCCTCCATCTCTCCCCATTTTCTCCTCTTTTTCCTCTCCTCTTTCCCCTCTTTTCCTCTTTCCTCCCCTCTTTTTTCTGTCTTTTTTTTTCTCATCCTCCTCCCTCTTCTTCTCCTTCTTCTCCTCCTTTTTTGTTAACCTTATTTTCATTTTTTTCATTTGTCCTCATTTTTTGCCCTCTCTCTCTCTCTTCTCTTCTCCTCTTCTCACCTTTTCTCCTCCTCCTCCCTCCCTTTTTCCTTCCTTTTGTCCTCTTCACCTCCTTCTTCTCCTCTTTCTTTCCATCTTTCTCCTCCTCCGTCCTCGTTGAAATGAACACATGAACCTTTTATTCGTTCCTCTTTTTTATGAGCCGATTTAAAACACTTGATGCTTTGACGGTTCGGCTGACTCTGTGCTCTGATTGGCTGTTGCAGGTGATGGAGGCGGAGCACACTAAGACGAGGAGCGAGCTCGTGCACAAAGAGACCGCGGCCAAATACACGGCGGCGATCGGCCGCATGAAGCAGCTGGAGAAGAAACTCAAACGCACCATCAACAAGTCCAAGTAAGAGTCAGCTGATCATGTGTTCATCCTCACTCTCTCCGAGTTTAGAGACTCTTCTTCACCCTCTCACAGCCGCGTCTCGGCTCGCTCTAGTTTCCAGCCCGCTTCTATATTTGGTCTTTAATTGTGATCCCTGCTGGACCGTCACAGCGAGAAGTGGATCTGCAGAGACTGGAGCGGACTCTCCGAGCACGACTCCAGGCTGGTGGGCGGTCTGAGTCAAAGACGACAAAGACAGAAAGTCTCCGCCTACACAGCGCTCTTAATTATCTCACGTTCGCACGCTTGAGGACTGACTGAGAGACCCTGAAGACCTGAGAGCTGCTGCTGCAGCTGCTTCTCTCACCAACAATAATCTCGCTCTGATTTTACCGGAGCAGATCTGAGGAAGTGAAAGAGTCTGATGACGTCTTTTCTGGTTTGACCAGCATGTTAAAAAAACAACCACCTGTTTCTCACCTCACACACACGTTTATTTAATAAAAGCAGGTCACACTTCTCCTTCTGTCAGTCAGCTGTTCAAGAGGAAGTCTAGATTTAGGTTTATATGATCACAAGGTGAATTCTCCTGCAGCACAAGTTCACTGAAGCTGCAGAATGAGTCAGAGTTCAGGTGACTTCTTTACACAGTTTTCTGCACACCTCACCAAGTTATTCAGACGTCTGACAGTCTGGATTTTTTGGTGATGCATCGTTTGCATATTTGCTGTTAATGCAGTTTTTTTGGGTGTTTTTGCAGAAAGTTTTTTCATCTGCAGAGAATTTTCACTGTTTTTTCAGTTTCACACCAAACCCTAACTTATCATGCATGTAGGCCTGTCACGATAACAAATTTTGCTGGACGATAATTGTGCTACAAATTATTGCCGATAAACGATATTATTGACACCGTTTTTTAAATTATAGAAAATGATAATATATGGCATAATAATGCGAGTACACCGTGTCAAAAGTGATAAACTTTAATTTCCGCTGTCTGTCACCATTTTGCACTGTTTTGTTTATATTTGCTTTGCTTACCAAACGGTACCTGTCGGGACGATGGCTCCGCAGCACCTCCGGCGGAACTTTTTTTGCTCAGTTGGGAAAAATGGAGGGGATGATTGTGCCTGAGGTGCGCATGCATGTTCGTCGTATTCCCCTTCTTTGTCACCACAACTTTGGAACAAATACGACATATCGGCTCGTCTGTATTTGTGGGCTCACCTCTTTCATTTGGTTTAAAGCCGAAATATTCCCACACTTGGGCTGTTGCGTTCGGTTTAGACACCAAAGCTGTCGTGTTCATTCTGTTTGCTTGCTTTTCACTCACTTGCAGCACTGTATCCAAAAGTCTGTGTCTGTGTGCCTGTGCGCGCCCCCCGTGACAAAGATACTGAATGACTGACAGGAGGGTTCACTAACTCCGTTCATTCCGCTATAGAGCCAACGCCCCCAGGTGCCGAGAACAATGCGCAGAGTGAGACCTCTTCTCTCATCCAGCGTGTTTGGTAGCGAGAGAGGAGGAAAACAAACGCATGTTAATTATCGAGGCTGGCAAAGTTATCGACCTCGTTTTTATTTACCGAGCGATAAGGCGATTTATTGATTATCGCGACAGGCCTACATGCATGTTTGATTTTGCATCATTTCTCCAAATGATGCAAAACTGAATCAGAGCTGCACAAACAGGAGTAAAATATTCATAACTAAATGTAATTATAGATAATTAAGTATAATTAATAACAGTGTTGAAAATAGGTCAAGCTCACAGAATAGATTTTTAAGTTAGTAGAAGTTAGTCAGTGAGGATTCAGAGAGCTGAATAAAAACTTAATATTTGACTGTTTTCACAGTTTCATCTCAAAGAAAAACTTTCATTTCTAATCAGAGCTGCAGTGAAGTAAAAGGATTCAGATTTACTTCGTACCCCCGTCCTCTCTGCCTGTTTTCTGCTCCATCCACAGACCCTTCCTCTCCAAATAAAACCATCAGACCTGAAATTCAACCTTAAAAGAAAGAAAACAAGAATTTATTTCCATGCAGATGTAATCTCACTGAGGTTTCCAGCTGTAGTTTGTGTCTGCATGTCTCCTAAAGTTGCTCCTGCAGCAGAAGTGATAAACTCTGATAAATTACAGAACCTCAGTAAAAACCTCCGATTCAGGAAAGTGAAACTTGGGAGGGGAACATCTGCGGTCCTCGGGGGGAAACTGCTCAGAGTTAATGAAAGTACAGAGCTGCTCTGCAGACGCCTGTCAGGACCTTCAAAGCTCGTTCCTCTGCTGCTGAGTGGGAGTTTGTTTGGAGCTCTGGGGTTCATTCCTCAAACTCTAGAACTCAAATTTAAGTTCAGAGAAGTTATATAAGACCCTCCCTCAGTCCCCGTGTCTGTAGTTCATCACTAACTTCTACACGGCGGCATCAGCTCCTCAAGGTCCTCATGATCTTCAGATACAGAAACAAACTTTAACTGAAGGGAAAAAAGTCATAAAATAAACTTTTTTTATCAACACTGTTAACCCAGCTTTTTAACACAGGAGCCTGACGTCTTCATTCATGATCAACCTTCACCTGCTGCGTCTCCGTCATCCGTCATTAATCTGAGCTCTTTCTGAAGACTCTCCCGTGACCGTCATGATGTCAGGTTTTTCTCTGTGAATATTGGGATCCCGGCGTTTTAACAGTATGTATGTATACTGTAAATATTTCTATATTTATATACGTTATAAAGTGGATTTCAGGAGCGATCTCTCGACTGAACGAGCTGCGCTTATTTCAGCGTCTTTATTTTTCTTACTGTATCATCATCAGCTGACGCCTCGCTGTGTGTCTCCTCAGCGGGGTGTTAATCCGTTTTGCATCATTTACCCATCCAACATCAGAACCTCTCCTCCTCCTCCTCCTCCAGGTTGCCATGGTGATGATGATGTGGGTTCTGCTCTTTTTCTGGGTTACTCTGCATTTCCCCCTCTGATCTAATCGTCTCTCTCTCTCCCTCTCTCTCTCTCTCTCTCCCTCTATCTCTCTCTCTCTCTCTCTCTCTCTCTCTCTCTCCCTCTCTCTCTCTCTCTCTCTCTCTTTCTCTCTATCTCTCTCTCTCTCTCTCTCTCTCTCTCTCTCTCTCTCTCTCTCTCTCTCTCTCTCTTCTCTCCCTCTCTCTCTCTCTCTCTCTCTCTCTCTCTCTCTCTCTCTCTCTCTCTCTCTCTCTCTCTCTCTCTCTCTCTCTCTCTCTCTCTTCTCTCTCTCTCTCTCTCTCTCTCTCTCTCTCTCTCTCTCTCTCTCTCTCTCTCCCTCTCTCTCTCTCTCTCTCCCTCTCTCTCTCTCTCTCTCTCTCCCTCTCTCTCTCTCTCTCTCTCTTCTGCAGGCCCTACTTTGAGATGAAGGCGAAGTATTATCTGCAGCTGGAGGTGAGTGAAGTCCGCTCTGCTCTCCTTTATTTGTGAAGGTTATGAGAACGTCCTGCAGCTCCATCATCAGGGTCATTTTCTTGGCCTGGAGAAATGTCAGCCGTGTTGGCGCCATCATTTGAATATTACCCAGGGTGCAAATTTTGAACTAAACCCCCCGACCTCGTTCATCGTCTCCCCCAGAACCTGAAGAAGAACGTGGACGAGCGGCAGGCCAAGCTGACCCAGGCCAAAGGAGAGTACAAGGCGGCGCTCAGGAACCTGGAGATGATCTCGGACGAGATCCACGAGCGAAGGAGGAGCTCTGCGATGGGCCCCCGGGAGCGCGGCGTGGGAGCCGAGGGCGACAGCGTGTCCGGGGACGACGTCTCCAGCTTTAAGATGGAGTCAGACGGGATATCCAGTGAGTTTCCTCCCTGATACTGACCTGGATCAGAGTTTGTTAAAGGAACATTACACTGAAAAATCGTGTTCCTGGTTTGATTTCATCGCCGGTCGTCTGCCGATGGAGTTAAAGTCTAAATGAGAGAAATCAGAGGAACAGGAAGTCAGATTGGATGATTTTCTTTGTGTTCTTGTTGCCTTTCTAAACCTCAGCATGACTCAGTCTATTGTTCTGGAATAAAAGGTCAGTCTTTAAATGTTAAACCTCCCGTCTCGCCGCTCTGCTGCTGTCAGTGACGCCCCGCCCCCCCGCTGACTCTCTAAATGTCAGATTTCCTTCAGTTTAGATTTATTCCTCCTGTGAGTTCAGAGGTAATTATGGTGTTGAAACCTGCTCCACATACTTAGATCTGAATCTGCTCCTGTAGACTCGCTCATGGTGTCATGGCGGAGGACTCTGAGAGCGTCAGTAACTTTACTCTTTGTCTCCTCCCGCAGTGGCGTCGGTGTGTTTCGATGACGAGGCGTGCGGCGGCAGCAGCATCATGTCTGAAGAGGACTCGGAGACTCGCTCCACCTGCAGCCTGGGTTCTTCTCCCAGCAGCCCTCAGGAGCTCCTGTCGCCCTGCCCCTTCACCACCTGCTCCTCTGACTCCTCCTCCTCTTGCACGTCCTCCTCTGCCTCTCCCTCACCCACTCCTTCGTCCTCCTCCTCCTCCCCAGCTCCCCCCTCCCGTCCCTGCAGCCTCGACCTCCCCAGCACCGTGTCCCTGTCGGACTTCGGCCTCATCTCTCCGGTGCTCGGGCCTCGCAGCGAGTGCAGCGGAGCGTCGTCGCCTGAGTGTGACCTGGAGAGAGGTGAGTGTGTGCGCCCGGTCCTAAAGGTGTTAAAATGATGAAGATGAACTCAGAGGAGTGAAGGAGAGTTTTAGAGAAGGAAAGGAAGCAGGAAACAGGGAGATAGATGATGTCGGAGAATCTATTCTGGGCTAAGACGTACGGTCTCCTGGTATCTGCCCGACTCACACCTGCTCCTCCTGATGAGACGATTACTCAAAGAGACAGGAGGACAGAGTTCACCTCAGCTGGGAGCGTGTTTCAGCCTGAGTGTGGGTCCGTGTTACTGAAGCGGGTCGTTTGTGGGTCACTGGGATGATGATGTTGTTCTAAAGATGCAGCAGATCCAGATCCAAAGAGGGACGAGCTCACAGTTAAAGTCCCGGCTGACAATCTGAGAAACACACAAACCCCTCCCCTCTGTGCTCCATGATAACTCCGCCCCCTGAACCCGTATCGCCCTCCCCACGACACGCCCCCTCTGACAGAAGATCCTACGCTAGCTCCAAACAGGATCCACCATGTCGGATTGTTAGTGACTAGTGTCAGTAAACGCCAGCTCTGTGAGTGAGCGCCGTCTGCAGCTGCCTGGACAGCTACCATGTTGACATGTCAGAGACTAATCAGAGTTATTTATGTAACATGAGCCACGATAAAAGGAGATAAAAATGACCTGTTCAACTAAAACAAGGAGATTGACCAATAGGAGCTGTCCGGGACGGATGGCTCCCATTGGTCAATGTTTTTGCAGCCCTGCTCCTGATAGGCTGAACGGATTTTTTCAGTTCTTTTTTTCTCTTCACTTTGTGGAGATCGAACTATAGGACCATGATCGCCATAGAAACAAGGTTCATAATAATTACCAACCTCCCCAATCGTCAACCATGACTTTAAATGTTATTTAACCACCATCAGATGAGCAGACGTGGTGATGAAGCGAAGTTCAGGAGAGTTCAGGAGAACAGCTGAAGCAGAGACAGCAGAAGCTCTAAAACATCGTCTGAAAAATCTCAGAGCTGCTCTTTTATCTAACCCCAGAAAAGCTCCTCTTAAATAATTGAAGCTCGCCGTCCTCGCGCCTCAGCGCATCATTAAAACATCTCTGACCTGGTTTCTCCTGCAGGTGACCGGGCCGAGGGAGCAGAGGGAGACCTGGACAACGCTCCGCCTGTCAACACCACAAACAACAACATGAACAGCAGCTCCGCCCAGAGCACCAAGAAAAGCTTCAGCCTGGAGTCGCGCTTCAGCTTCCTGAACCTGCGCCGCCAACGCAACGATAACGCCAAAAGCACAGAGAAGGCGGAGGCGGAGCACACTGTGGTGTTAGTCAAAGGGGTCTGAGGACAGGAGGAGAGAAACTGATGAGAGCTGTTTATAAGCTACAACCGCACTTCATCTCCAAACTCCACGCTCACACGGAGACGCTGAATGTTGTTGTCTTTGTAAATAAAGTGTTCATACATCTCAGCAGTGAGGATTCTCCCGTTCTCCTTCTCAAGGACACGACACCCGAGGACTCGTGCCTGAGAGAGAAAGAGCACAGGAGGGAGACGAAGGTTGGACGATTGTTTTAGTCACTAAAGGACACATGCAGCCTGTGAACGACGACACTTTGAGAACTAAAAAAGACATAAATGCTCATCAAAGTTGATTGTTAATTGGCGATGTTCTGCTTCTGAAGAATTAAAAACACACATGGAGATAAATAAATAAGTACTAAATAAAATGGTCGGTGTCTTAACCTTCTGCTGCCTGTCCTGTTTTTGATATTTGACCTGCATATTAATGTTCTTTATGTTTTAGGATGTTTGTTCGCTGCCTGCAAAAGGACGAGTATATTTTCACACTTTACAGATCTACATTTGTCTTCTGCTGTTTTCCTGAAGTGCCTGATAACAGCCAACATCTCAAGGCTGTTATCAGAGCAAAGTGGTGACGTTTTGATGAATGTTAAGCTGTCACACACGCTCTCAGATTAGCTCTAACTTCACAGAGGTGAGTCCAAATGTCCGGTGTGACACAAAGTGGCAGCACGCTCCTGAAACACTCTTCTCAATGTCAACCCTGATAATCTGGTTTTCTTCAAAAACAAGTTTTGCATCAACTTGTACCTGACACATCTTCAGACATCTGTAATTGACTGAAATGGTTGTCACATTTTGCCAATAAAGAAGAAAGAGATGACACAAACAGACCTGAGAACGTTTATATTACTGCTCCATAAATACAGCTGCTTTCTGTCCGCTTCTTTATTGGAGTCAGTCTTTTTCAGGTTACATTCACAGTCCTACAACTCAAGTTTAACCAACCTTATTAAAGTGTTCGTGAAGCCCACTATATATGTGGAAATTTCACTTTTTTCATTAGATTATCGGGGGAAAAATGAACTTTTTGGGACATTATAATTTTTAAATCTGCAACTGTATTATTTCTTTTTAAGGTTATTCTATGTGCTCAGCTAGTCTATCGTTTTAATGTCAGAAACTTGTATTTTTGTCGTTAATGACGCCACAGTCACAGGTGCTTTTATTTTGAAAGGTAAATGAGATGTACAGTAAAAAAGAGGACCATGCAGAGATGTAAAGGTGCTCTTTAACCCCCATACCTGGACTTCTTAGTGTTCAGCAAAAGTTTATGCAGAGCCATTTTCACTGTCATAGAGGCTGAGGATTGACTTATTTATAACCCTTTATAAAATAGCATGTTAAAAAGTCTTGACAAAGTGTATTATGATAAAAAATGTCAGAGTACAGTTTGATAAAAAGTAAAAATAATGGTATGACAAAAAAGTCATATTATAGTATAGTATAATAAAATCATCATTGTATAGTATGATGAAAAAATGTCATAGTATAGTATGATAAAAACATCATAGTATAGTATGATGAAAATTTCATATTAAAGTATGAAGAAAAATTGATATTTTAGTATGAAAAAAGTGTTAAAGTATAGTATGATTATGTCAAATTTTAGTGTAAGAACACATTTCAAATATAAGTATGATAAAAATGTCATAGTATAGTATGATGAATCTGCCGTAGTATAGTAATAAAAAATGTCATATATTTGTGTGATGAATATAGCATTTTTGAGTGTGAAAAAATTATCATAGTATAGTTTGACAAAACTGTCATGGTAAAGGATGATAAAACTTTCCAATTTAATTATGAATAAAATGTCATAGTATAGTATGATAAAAATTTCAACTTTTGTGTGAGAAAAATTGCATATGTGGGTATGAAAAAAAATGTAATAGTATAGTATGACAGAAAATATAAAAATTTTGTATGATAAAAATGTCAAGGTATATGATGTTAAAAATGTCATTTTTAGTATAGTATGAAAAAAATGTCATAGTATAGTATGATAAAATTTTATGTGAAAAATTTCATATTTTAATATGAAAAAAAAATGTCATAGTATAGTATGATAAAAATGTCATATTTTTGCGTGAAAAAAAATCATATTTGAGATGAAAAAACCAACATAGTATAGTATAATAAAAAAGTCAGTATAGTATGATAAAGTAACATTTCATATTTTAGTATGTAAAAAATGTCATAGTATAGTATGATAATAAATTCATATTCAGGATGTTAAGAAATTTCATATTTAAGTATGAATAAAATGTCATAGTATAGTATGATAAAAATGTCATAGTATAGTATGATAAAATTTTCAAATTTTATGTGAAAAATTTCATATTTTAGTATGATAAAAATGTCATAGTATAGTATGATAAAAATGTCATAGAAGGGTATGTTAAAAATGTCATTTTTTGTGTAAAAAAAATAATATTTTACTATGAAAAAATGTCATAGTATAGTATGATAATAATGTCATAGTATAGTATGATAAAAATGTCATAGTAGAGTATTTTAAGAATTTCATTTTTTTGTGTTAAAAAAATATATATATTTTACTATGAAAAAAATTTCATAGTATAGTATGATAATAAATTCATATTCAGGATGTTAAGAAATTTCATATTTAAGTATGAATAAAATGTCATAGTATAGTATGATAAAAATGTCATAGTATAGTATGATAAAATTTTCAAATTTTATGTGAAAAATTTCATATTTTAGTATGATAAAAATGTCATAGTATAGTATGATAAAAATGTCATAGAAGGGTATGTTAAAAATGTCATTTTTTGTGTAAAAAAAATAATTTTTTACTATGAAAAAATGTCATAGTATAGTATGATAATAATGTCATAGTATAGTGTGATAGAAATGTCATAGTAGAGTATTTTAAGAATTTCATTTTTTTGTGTTAAAAAAATATATATATTTTACTATGAAAAAAATTTCATAGTATAGTATGATAAAGATTTCATATTTAGGATGTTAAGACATTTTATATTTCAGTATGATAAAAATGTCATTGTATAGTATGATAAAATCGTCAAGGTATATGATGTTAAAAAAGTCTTCAAAAAAATCCTATTTCAGTATTAAAACAAAATGCCACAGTTAGAATGATAAAATCGTCATTGTAAAGTATGTTTATAATTTCATATTTTAGTCTGAAAAAAATTAAATTTAAAGATGATAATGCAATAGAATAGAATAAAAAAATGTCATAGTATAGTATGATAAAAAAATGTCATGGTATAGTATGATAAACATATCATAGTATAGTATGTTATAAATGTCATATTTTTGCATGGAAAAAAAATCATATTTGAGATGAAAAAATGTCATAGTATAGTATGATGAAAATGTCATAGTATAGAATGATAGAAAAATGTCATAGTATAGTATGATAAAAAGGTCATAGTAGAGTATGTGAAAAATGTCATATTTTTGTGTGAAAAAAATTTCATATTTTAGTAAGTGAAAAATGTCATAGTATAGTATGATAAAAAAATCATATTTAGGATGTTAAGAAGTTTCATATTTAAGAATGAATAAAATGTCATAGTATAGTATGATAAAAATGTCATAGTATAGTATGATAAAATTTTCAAATTTTATGTGAAAAATTTCATATTTTAGTATGAAAAAAAATGTCATAGTATAGTATGATGAAAATGTCATAGAAGGGTATGTTAAAAATATCATTTTTTGTGTAAAAAAATATTTTACTATGAAAAAAAATGTCATAGTATAGTATGTTAAAAATGTCATATTTTTGTGTGAAAAAATTTCATATTTTACTATGAAAAAAAATGTCATGGTATAGTATGATAAAGATTTCATATAAAGGGTGTTAAGAAATTTTATATTTCAGTATTTAAACAAAATGCCACAGTATAGTATAATTAAATCGTCATTGTAAAGTATGTTTATAATTTCATATTTTAGTCTGAAAAAAATTTAATTTAAAGATGATAAACAATGTAATAGAATAGAATAAAAAATTTCATAGTATAGTATGATAAAAATGTCAAATTTTTGTGTGAGAAAAATTGCATATGTGGGTATGACAAAAATGTCATAGTATAGTATGACAAAAAATGTAATAGTATAGTATGATAAAAAAAAATGTCATAGTATAGTATGATAAACAATTCATATTTAGGATGTTGAGAAATTTCATATTTTAATATGATAAAAGATGTCATAGTATAGTATGAAAGAAATGTCATAGTATAGTATGATAAAAATGTCATCATGTCATTTCATATTTAAGTATGAAGAAAAATTGAAATTTTAGTATGAAAAAAGTGTCATAGTATAGTATGATGAGGATTTCCAATTTTAATGTAAGAACAAATTTCATATATAAGTATGGAAAACTGTCATAGTATAGTATGATGAATCAGTCATAGTACAGGATAAAAAATGTCATGTTTTTGTGTGATAAAAATAGCATTTTTGAGTATGAAAAAATATCATAGTATAGTATGAAAAAAATGTCATAGTATAGTATGATAAACATATAGTATAGTATAATATGTTATAAATGTCATATTTTTGCATGGAAAAAAAACATATTTGAGATGAAAAAATGTCATAGTATAGTAGTATAAAAAAGTCATAGTATAGTATGATAAACATTTCATATTTAGGATGTTGAGAAATTTCATATTTTAATATGATAAAAAATGTCATAGTATAGTATGACAAAAATGTCATCGTATAGTACGATAAAAAGGTCATATTAGAGTATGTTAAAAATGTCATATTTTTGTGTGAAAAAAATTCATATTTTAGTATGAAAGAAATGTCATAGTATAGTATGATAAAAAATTCATATTTAGGACGTTAAGAAATTTCATATTTAAGTATGAATAAAATGTCATAGTATAGTATGATAAAAATGTCATAGTATAGAATGATAAAAATGTCATAGTATAGTATGATAAAATTTTCTGAACTTCCTTGTTGGTTTCTAATCTGATCTGTATTTCTGCTCCATGTGGATTAAACTTCATGTGTTTTATTTCCAGGTTGTACACGTTTCTACCTGTGCTGTGAAACCTCATTGGTAACAGCTGTTTGTTGTTTCCCTGGCACATGCTCCTCTTGTCCACTTCAACAACCTTTCCTTTCACAGATTTTCCCATGACTGTCTTCTTTTCACTCTCTCTCTCTCTCTGTCTCTCTCTCTGACCTTTCAGCCTCTTTTCTCGCCCGTGTTGTTGACATCGAGGGATTCTGACACCAGGTTAACCCTCAGTCACGCAGATAAATGCTCAGTCTGCCAGAAAGATTGAGATATTCATATCTGGACCTTAAAGGAGAGATGAGGGGAGCAGGTTTTCTGATCAGACATCAATCCTGTTAAGATGAAATCACACTCACACACAGATTCAGATATGTTTTTCTGTATTCAAAGTCTGAACACGTCAGTCTTCCCAACATTTAGTGCAAGTGCTGCAAACGTTACATCATTCGTACAACAGGCTCCTGCAAGATTGTCCTGCTGCGTTTCATCAGCTCGATGCGCATTAAAATAAACATGACTGAAAATAATAAAACAGAAATAACATTCATTTTATCATGAAATGTAATAATAATAATAATGAAGATTCTTCTGACATAATAACTTGGCAATGAATACTTAAAGCTTTTTTCAACAACAGCATTATGGCTTAAAGCTCCTGTGAGAAGTTTTTGGACATCTGTGAAACGGACCGAAAATTCATACCGAGGCTTTTTTTCATGAAATTTAAAAGCAAAGTGACAAGATTGAGGATTTTATTTTGTAGTTTTCAAAGCCTGAAATCACTGTGAGGGGGTAGGTGTCAACTGACTGCAGGACTGATTTGGCCACAGGGGGGCGCCAAAAGTTCCTCACAGGAGCTTTAAATACGAGTTAAGGTGGGAGGATATTGTCTAAGAGTGTTACAGTGCTGTTTACCAGGTCAAATGTGTGTTTCAGGTGAATTATATCGTTCGCACGTTAAATCATGAAGTCTGGAAAAGTCCTCATACCAACTCGACCCTGTGAGTTTACGACACTTCAGTTCAGTTTGTTTAGTTGTACTTGTTTAATTGTTGATCCAATCAGATGAAGAATGATCGATGAGCAGAACTGATCATTCAAATCTCAAAGTTATATATATATATAAAAACACATATATATATATATATATATATATGTTTTTATGTTTAATGTGTTTGACACTGAACACAAAGAGAAATGGCGAAGAACAAGTGCAACATCTAAACTAAAGAGTAAACCCAGGAGGTGAATTTGGCAATGATAGTTTTTTACCTGCTGAAGGTGGAGTGACACACACACACTCACACACACTCACACACACTCACACTAACACACACTCACACACACTCACACACACACACACACTCACTGTGTGATGTTGTGGGTCTCAGGCTGAGCTGTTTCTGACCCGAGGTCTCTGAATGAAATCAGGCTGAAGTTTCTGCTCTCACATCCAAACACAACATGAAGAGACATCATTCAACTGCTGCCGTACAGGATCCCTGTGAGTCTGCTCTGCTCCTGAGAATAAAAACCTTCAGAGTCGCTAAAAGTTAAAGAAACTAACTTTCTCTTCAACCTGACGGACTGTGGAGGAACTTTTTATTGTTTCGGCTCCCTACTGACAAAGAGAAGCAAACGGTACGTCTGTATCTCGGCTAAATGACGTTTTCCCTTGTTCAGATTGTTTTGTACCAGCAAGCATCAAATAAATACGATTTCTGAGTATTTTTCCGCTTGTTTTTCACTTTTCTGTTGTCCTGATTTCAGACTGATTTGACTCTGATATCCGTGAGTAAAGATGGACGTTAACTTGCTTTGTTTGACGCTCTCAGGCAGCCTCGTTGTCGGGTTTTTCACGTCTTTACATCCTGTTCGGTTCAGGATCATCGTCACGTCATGAGATCGATCAGATTAAATCCTCAGATCAGATATTTGTATCTATTAATGGCAAAAGGAGGAACAGAGGGAGCTGCTGTCGTCATGGTGACGGTGTTGAAGTATATTTGACTCTGTCCCGTAAAGACTTTGTCCGTTCACCTCCAGAGAGAAAAACTGGGAAACAGAGTCACATTCACGGCTGTTGGAGTTTTTCTGACGAGTCGCTCCGTTCAAAGTCCGGTTTCAGAGACTTCCCATGATGCCTCTCTCCGCCTGTTTTGTCCCAGCTCTCTTCATTGAAGCTGGGAGACCTTCAGGGCTGTGGTGCTAGCAAAGTCCAAGAAGAAGGGTCCCTCCTGTTTGGGTAAAAAGGTGGTGGGGATGACGTTGTAGATTCCCGCTGGGACGTGCTCGGCCTCCATGAAGCAGAAACCACATCTGGAATAAAAAAAAGAGACACTTTCAGGCAGTAAAACAGAAAAACTACAGTTCAGGTGTTTTCACAGACTTCCTTTGTTGGAGTCACACCTGTAATCTCCACTGCTCTTCTTCTGGAAAGCAGCTGGACCTGGATCTCCAACCTGCGAGACCGTGACCATCTCAAAACCGACGCTGTACTGCCTGCAGACACACGACCACAAAAACAGGCACTTCAGAACCACATCACACAGTTTCTGTTGCTCTTCTGACATATTTTTATACTTTAGATCAGGTCTCTGGGTGTTTTTTTAACCTATTTTGCATTTCCAGCATTTTTGTCCAGAATTTAATCAGAAACATTAATTCAGGTTTTGGTAGTTTGTCTGTTCTGCACATTCATATTCAGCATGTTTGACCCTTTCTATGCCCCTACATGTTATTTATTATCTATACCATCAGTTACATCCAGTTTGTTGCTTTAAAAAATATGAATTAGTGAAAATGTGAATTAGTGAAGATAGTTAAAAGCTGCGTCCTTCGTAACCATGTGAAGATGATGGTAGAAGAACCTGTGAGGTGTTCTCTGCAGCAGAATAACCATCATGTCTGAGGTCTGAGTCATCCTCTGAGTGTGTCTGAGAGGGAAATAGAGAGAGAGAGGGTAATAAAACCTCATGACCTCCTGGATCTCTCTCTCTCTCTGTCCTCCTTCTCGTTTCTTATCTCCGTGACTCTCTGTGTCTCTCTAAACGTCCCCAGAACTTCTCAAATCCTGACCTGGATCCTCGGAGCTCGACGAGCAGCGGTCCGGACCGCTCCAGGTTGATCTGGTAGATGGGATTGTGTTTGTAGGAGTCCTTGTAGTTCCCACAGCCTCCGGCGCTGATCCCTTTCCACTGACCGTTGATCTGCAGACATCAAACATCATGAGCAAAGGTTGGAGGAGAACAAAGATTTAAGGTTATTATCAGAGTGAGCAGAGAAACTGACCCTTTTGATTTGAGTGAAGGGGTTCGGGATCTTGGAGAAGGTGAACTTACATCCAGAGTAGACCTATCAGAGACACAGAAGGGTTCGTTTCTCAGCCGGAGCGTCGGTTTGTTTTTTTAAACTGAGAGGAGGAATCAGAAGAAAGACTGGAGGCCAGAAAACATCAAGTTTACCAGATAAAGAACAAAATACCAGAGGTTTCCAGACGTTCTCCAGGAGAACCAAAGCTCTTCATTTATTCACAACCATCTAAACGCAGCTTTCATAGCAGCTTTCATAGCAGCTCCGCCGCGGTTAATAAAAACAGAACGGATCAGAAACGAAATCACGTTTTCTGCTTTTGACTTTGATCTCGGGTGGAAACTGAGAGAACGAGAAACAGAGAGAGAGAGAGAGAGAGAGAGAGAGAGAGCGAGAGTGGAGTCAGTTATTCTCAAGACGAGCTTCAAAGTGACGCAGATCTGAGCTGAAAGGAGGAGAGAGAGAGAGAGAGAGAAATGAGCTGATACTGCGCGACACCGCCGCACATACGAACACACAGCAGACACGTGAGCGGGGAGCATGTTCCTTTTTAATGAGCGGCTTCAGAAGATCTCCACAGACCTCAGTACAGTCAGAGAGAGGAGGACATGAATTATAAATTATAAATTTATATTTGGGTCGCATGTGCAAACAGAAGAGAAAAGTAAAGAGGGATTAAAAGAAGAGGAAGAAACAAACTGTGTGTAGAGGAGTGAGAGCTGCAGAGGGAAGGATGGAGGTCAGACTGAGTTTGTTCAGAGATGATTGATTTCAGATCTAATCTTAAAAATCAATAATTTAAATAAAAAGACAAAAGATGAAACGACGGGAGGATTAGATCGAAGAAATCGGCTTTGGTTCGATTTACACCGACGTGAGAATCCAGAAACTCTCCTGCCAGTCTGAGTGAATCTGTCAATTCTGCAAAAACACTTTTAGTAAAGATGATGAAAAAGAAGAAAACAAACATTTATCATGAATAAGAACGAAGATGTTTGACGATGACTCCATGAGAGTCCTCCTCACCCTCAGAGTGTAGTTGATGGTGTTCTGCTTCTCGTACTGGGACACCACCAGAGTGAAGGTGTGGGTCCCCGCGCCGGTCAGCTTCATCTTGGTCAGGTAGTGCGGGCTGTTGATGCGGATGCCGTCGATGTAAGGAGGGGGGTCGGCTGTGGAGGGGGGGGCGGAGTTTAGGTTTGAGGGTCAGAGTTCACGTTAACGTTTCTCAGATTTCATCATGTGACTGTTTCAGACGTCTGTCAGAGCTCACCTGGGTAATAAACCTTCTTCCCGTCAGTCTTGTAAACAACAAGAGTGATGAACTCTCTGTTCTGTGCAAAATCATCCTGAACACACACACACACACACACACACACACACACACACACACACACACACACACACACACACACACACACACACACACACACACAGATAACCAGGGTTAGAAGAAAACGAAGATCTGCTGAATCGTGGTCGAAGCTCGTGTGTTTTCTTACTTATCAGTGATGTGTCTGGTGAGCAGCACCCACACTGCAGCGCCCCCTGCTGGACACTGGACCTCCAGCTTGTACTGGGGGTTGTTGGCCAGGCTGTAGACGTCCTTCACTGGACCCTGTTTCCCATCCCAGCTGCTGCAGAGCGCCAACACACCACAGCACAAACACATGAGAAGAAATCCTGACACTGCTCCTATCCTGCATCTTCACTTTCCCTAAAACTTCAGCTCGTTTCTGGACTTCTGTTGTTTTTATTCATTTAGTTTTATAGATTTTTTGTCTTAAAAATGTTGATTTTTTTTTAAATTTTCACCTTCAGTTCAGGTAAAACTCACCTCCTGTTCCTCTGGATCTAAAGCTGTCAGTAAACTCACACTCACCTGTGGATGCAGGAGGAGTCCTTAAAGAGGGCGGGGTTCCAGCTCAGGTAGATGACATCATAGTACTGACAAAGGTCCTCCCATGCGATCCAGAACACACCTGAAGACAAACACACACACTAGGATGAGATTCTGACGTGTGTATCGAGTGGAAAATGTTTTATTCTAAGATACGAAACACCAAAAATGAGACCTGGTGTTCTGGGAAAGACTAACAAGACTCTGTGTGACTTAATCTCCGTCCCGCCGCCTCAGTAAAACAGATTCTGAGGTGAGTCTGAGGAGGTCGTTACCGTTATCAAACTTCTGCGCTGTCTTTGGATCAAAGTTGAGGTATTTGAGGAGTTCAGGAGTCCAGTTCTTCTCGTCTCGCTCGCTGTATCGGCCTTTCCAGCGCAGGTGACTCCACGGGTTCTTCAGCTGCAGGAAACGCATCCCCTACCACAACAAAACACACACACAATAACAGTCACAATACAGCAGCAGCTTTTATTTTGAAGGGTCGGAGCTTTAAGAGCTGAGTGAAAACCCTCTGATAGATGTGAGTGAGTGTTGGAGCCTCTGAAGATCGAAGGACTGTCAGACAGTCAGTTCTTTTATTTCTATAAAATAATAATTTCACTTCTCCAGAGTTTGAACTAAATAATCGACTCTGTGAAAAATCTCTACGGCTCATCCAGCAGGAAGAATTTCTAAGACTTTTTAGGATATTAATGAAAATCAGACTCTGAGATATTTGAAGAGAAAATAAAACTAAATGAGATAATAAATGAAAAAAACTTTGACTTCTAAAGACTTTTTAAGTAAAATAAATAAGGCTTTTAAGAGAAATATAAGTGAAAATATGAATTTTAAAGACATTTTAAGTGAAAATAAGATTTTCTTAGTTATTTTTTTGCCTTTAATTAATCAGACAGGGTGGAAGTATGGGAAGATAGAGTGGGGGGGGACGACATCCAGCACATGGTCGGACCCGGACTTGAACCCACTACTGCTGCAGGGACTGTTGTCCCCTAGGTGGGACACACTAAACCAACCCAAGTTATTTTACGTAAAATTAAAACGGTTTTATGAGAAATTCTAACAAAAAACTCAAAATTTTGGGAAAATGTTTCAGTGAAATTCAGAGTGAGATTTTTGAAGAGACAATAAAATTAAATGAGACAATAAATTTAAAAAATTGACGTCTAAAAAAACATTTTAAGTAAACATCAGACTTTTTGAGGCATTTTAAGTAACAATAAGACTTTTAAAGATAAAAATAAAATATTGTTATAATGAAGTTTTAAGACCTTAAATCCAATAGATCTAATAAAAGAATTTTACAGGCTTTAAAGCAGCAGCGTTTCAAATGAACAACACACTAACAAATGGACTTAAGTTACATTTTAAAAGAGCTCATCCTCCTTTTTACTTTCTTACTATCAAACAAACATCATCATCATCATCATCATCATCATCTTCATCTTCTTCATCCTCCTCTATAGAGTCCTCGTAACCACATGAACGTCCTCACACTCTCAGGCTAAGGCGTGCCGAGGTCACTGTTTACATTTCAACTCAAACTGCGTATAATTAAACTAATGAGGAAGCTGAGTTCTCCACCATCAGGCTCACTCTCTGACCCGTACGAACATTCGCACCATAAAAGTTCTGTAAAATCTGTAAAAGTCAGATTCTGACGAAACGCTCCTGCCAACCTTGTATTCCCTGATGTCAAGAACAGCGTAGGCGTGTGTTGGCACTAGACCCCATCTCTCCCCTTCTTCCTCTGTCATTACGCCTGTTGCCGTGGTGATGAGGACATCTCCCCTGTGAAACCTGGCAACAGAGAGAGAGAGAGGGATGGATGGATGAAGAAGAAGGTAATAGAAAGAGTAGGATTGACAAAGAGAGGAGGTGGCAGGAAGTATAAAAGAGCGAGAGAGCGTCTCTCACCTCTGGAAGAGCATACGGAAAGTGTCGTCTTTGCTGAACGACTGATTGTCTGAGTGCATGGCGATGCGTTCAGGGATCCAGCCGGTGAGGGCGTGCAGATCAATATTCTGGAGCAGCAACAAAAACCAAAAATTATTATTTCTCTTCCTCAGATTTAAACAAACTCTGAACTTTTACTCTCAGTGTGAGTCGATATTTTCACTTTGCAGGTTCTGAACAATTTCCAAAATATTCGAGGCCTGAAAGTTCAAAAGTTGGTTTAGATTAAAAAACTTCAACAGGAAAAGACACTTAACTGACTGACTAAATAAAAAGAGCTTAAAATGAACTTTTTCAATTTTAAATGACAAAGATTTTCATGTCTGTGTTCACACTGGCTTCAAACTTTAATCACATCCAAACAAGAGTGAGGAGGTCCTCGAGTCTTTACTCACCGAGTTCGATCCAGGGAAGTCGTATCCCCCCATCACCTTCATGTAGGCCTTCTCGATCAGGGAGACCCAGAGCTCGTTCCTGTTGCTGGAGTACGAACACAGCAGCTCTCCGTTATGATCCACCGGCAGGTAGTCGTCTATGATCACCTGAAGGGACGGACAGAAGCAGATGGAGGATCAATATCAGAGATCAATTCTCATATTCAAGGATTTCAGGTCACATTAAGGTTGGTCCAATCTCCTCAAGTGAAAACAGACCGCTTCCTCTCTCTTGTGAGTTCATCAGAGCCTCCTCTAATATCTGACTCACCTTCCTGGGAACTCCGTTAATATGAAGTTTGACCATGTACTTCCCACAGGGGTTGTACTCGGGTTCACCTCGTCTGTTCTGAGGAAAGATGACGCTGAAACAGAGAAGGACACAGAGGTGGACTTCATTAGAGTCTCCAGGTTTCATTTGACAGGTCTGGATCAAACATCTGCATATAAAGCAGATGTTCGACAGAGGTTTTCATGTTTCCTGTAGTTGATCTGAACTCGTGTTGATAATCACATTTGAAATATAAACAGCAGAGAGTACCTGGTGATGAGTTTCTTGTTGTAGCGCCTCTCGTAGGCTGCACTGATGGCGAGTGACGCCACAAACGAACAGTCGGACACCACAGTCTGGATAAAGAAAGAGAGAAATCTTCACGTTAAAGATGCAAATCAAAGTAAACACAAACAAAAACTCCACAGAAATAAATGAAGTTTAGAGTTAAATCTGGAAACTTCTGTGGTGGTGCTGCGCCCTCTACTGGCTCACTCTGACACTGATTTATGCTCTGTTTGAAGGAGAGTCCCCGGTGAACTCGGACCTGTTTGATGCTGAAGCTGGACACAGACATGATCATGGTGGGGTTATTGCAGATGTCGTCTGGTCGGACCCAGCGGGAGAAGATGGCTTTCTGTTTTGGTGACAGAGCAAGTTTCCCTGTTTTGTCCCTGAGAGCAGAAAAAAAAAAAAGAGTTTAATCCTCTGAAAGTTTCAGATCGACTGACGAATATTCTGTTTGTCTGTCGCTCCAGTCTGCTGCTTTAAAGATGGATGCTCTATAAACACAAAAACAAGGTTTTTACTGATTTAGACCATTAATCTCCACATCTACTGTATGTCTTTGAGGTCAGTTTTCATCAGCATACTTCCTCTGAAACATCCGGATATCCTTGAAAATAAAAAGACAACATATAAGGTTTTATAAAAACCTTTGACCTGAAATAAGCTGATGCAGCGTTTACCAAATAAGAAGAACCAAAGTATCACAGGTCAAAGTTCAGACAGACGGTAATGAACATAATCTGAACTGGACAAAATGAAGTTCTGGGTTGGAGTTATTTGGTTGCAGACAGGTAGGAATAATTTCACTTTTATTTTCTGGTTCCTGTTTTTATTTTTTGCTGAGTCATCTCGCAGCTTTTCTTTGTCATCGACCTTTGAGATTAAATTCCTCTCTAAGATGTGAGCTGACGGCCACGCCCTGAGTAAAAATGTCCTCAAGTATTCATTGTTCATGCGCTCACCAAACCAACATTAAACCCAGAGTGAACAAAGACTTCGTCCTTCAACAGGAACTGTGATTGTTTTTTTTTATATCAACAGTTTCTGACGTTTATAAACTTTTATATTTTCATCGACTTTTACAGACATGAGAGCAGATCTACTGTGAATGTAGGAATATAAATCAGATCTTTGACTCAGTTTTTGTATTATTGTAGTTAGCAGTGAAAACCTTATATATTTAAAAACTTGTTAAAGTCTGATATAAACTCACGAGAAAGGGACAGGAAAGGCGAAGCGCTCCCTCAGGTCCACACTCATGAAGGGCACGTAGGCGATGCTGTTGATTGTAGATGTACTCCTAACAATGAGGAAAAACAGGATTAGACAGTCAGAACATTTGATTTCTGATTTTTAAATCAGATTTATCTCTTTTATTATGAACACAGAAACTATTCTAGAGTTTTCTTTTAAATGAGGAACTCTTTTATTCATGTGGAACTGACTAAAATAATCTTTTTAAGAGATTGAGATTTTTTTAATGTAAATTTGAAGTTTTATTGTTTTAAATTGTGACTTAAATTCTGATCGATTTAGTCCGGAAGTTTCTCACCTGAGCACCTCGATCTCTTCAGACGTGTAGCGCTGACCGTGGGGTTCGCTGGACTGGACGGCTCGGACCGGCTGAGGCTGCGGTCGGTCGTTGAGGCTGAAGTCGGGCCCGAGGGGGAAAAACTGCCGGACCGGCGCTCCAGAACTGGCACTGCTGCTGGGCTTAGTCCTGTCCTGAGACTGAGCCGGTTTGGACTGAGATTCTTTAAGACCCTCCGCTCTGATGGGGTCAAATACAAGAAATGATTAAAGAACAGAAACGAACTTCAACAAAAACCTCAGATCCATTTTTAAACAGATGTAAACAGAGTGAATCAGTTCATGTCAGAGAGGAAACACTCGCCTGTCTAAGGCCTGACGTGCCAGCTGCTTCAGTTTGGTCTGCAGCGCCTGGTCTGAAGTGTCGTTGGACTGTCACAGACGAGAGGAAGAGAGAAGAGTCAGTGAAGGAGCGTTAGACCCGGTCAGGGTCTGAGAGGGTTTTTCTGAGAAGACTGAGACCTACCGTCTTGATGCACAGCTCCACCGCCTGTGTGTACAGTTCAACGGCTTCATCGTCATTTCCCTTCTCATCCTCCTCGAAGGCCTGAGTGACCAGGAAGTGGGCTCGCTCCAGGTCCACCTGCTGCCTGGACTTGAGCGGGTCGATCCTCTGACCCTGGACTGAAATGGTCCGAATACAAAACTCAGTTAGTTCGCAGAGAATCACAGAAAATGTTTTTATTTCCACAGAGGCAGTTTTATTAAAGCTCCTGTGGGGAGTTTTTGACCATCAGAGACATAAATGATGAGTTTTATATCATTATTTTTATGATCAGTGATTACAAACATGACCAAGAGGAAAAAGAAACCTTTAATCTGTACGATATTAAAACGTTTCTCACTGAACACACTTTTTTTTTGTTGCTTTGAGCTGTTTTTGTTTGGAGATCTACCGCAGCGTCATTTATCTGATGTCTGCTTGGATCCTAATTCTGGTTTCACTCTGCATCAAAATCTAAAATTAAACATTTACATTAAATTCATAGAAAGTATCAGGAAATAACTGCACAGAGTCCTAAATTTGTCCTCCACTGACACTCCCACAGCCTCTGTGGTCACACCCTGGTGTTCACACACACACACACACACACACACACACACACACACACACACACACACACACACACACACACAGTGAGCAGAGTCACGGAAAAAAGCCGTCAGACAGCAAACACAGAGAGTAAGAAAGTCTGTCCTCGGGGCTCTTTCACTTCCAGCCCTGAATCACTTCTGATTTATAACTTATTTAAAGTGTTTAACTTCAGTGAAACATGAGCTTACTTTAGGCAAAGAGCTGGGAGGGATGAGTAATAATAACACCAGACAGAGATTTATAAAGTTTATAATGACAAAAAAAACTCTGAGACCTTTTCAGGTTCAGACGCCTAAAAACACCGTTAACACGTCTGTGTTTACAGTGAATGTAAAGCTGTTTGTTTTTCAAGCATGCAAATCAACACACAATGTCAACATCTACGTCTGTGCAGTTTCAACACTTTAATAAAATGAGTTCATGTTATAGAAGATGAAGAGGACTGAACAGGATTAAACTAAATCAAACTGACTGAAACTGAAGTGAGACCCCGTTACAGGAGACAGACGCTCTTCTGTAAAAACTCGTTTGTTAAATATTTGTTTTTGAGGCTGTAAATATGTTTTCTGTCTCACCTGGAAAAACAAAGTGACCCTAAAGAAAGATTTCCTAAAACTTAAAGTGAAACTGAAAGAACGTCTCTGTCATAATGTCGTAAATGATGTGCTCAGTTTGATCTGTCAAACAGGAAAGTCTCAGTGTTTTTATTGATTGAATTCAACGATGTCCGAGTTCAATAAAAGTTGATGATTATCTATAAACATGTGATTATCATGTAACTAGTTCAGGCTTCAAACATGTAAGTGTGGCTTCAGCTCAAATGTGACAAATCTGTACCTAAGTTAAAAAAGCATCACCCATGGATGTTTAGTTTGACTGTAAAGTGAGAGCAGAAGAGTTTTAACTCTGTCGTTGATCTGTGGTGGGATGAATTTAAAGGGTTTCCAGACGTTTAACGTTCTTTTGTTTCAGATGTGGTGAAGCGAAGCAGAGGGAAGTGAGGAGAGACCATCTTCTCATCCGTACCCATCATCCTTTTGTGCTTCACTTTAATGATTTTTAAATGTTCGCTTTAATATGTTTGTCTGATCTCCGCATTGGTATTTCTCTCATGTTTGAATTGCCTACTGTGAGATTTTGATTTTATACCTTGTACTAAAGATAAAATAACATATAATTAAAGGGAGAGTTCACTCAAATCAGACTGAGCTGCTGGTTTCTGATCATTGATTCAAGATTCAGGATTTGTTTGTTTGTCATGTTCATGTTAAACAAGGTCAACAATGCGATGAAATATCCTGGATGAGAGGAGCGCTCGACTCAGAGGAGTACAGATAAATAAACACACAATAAGTACTGAGAGGAAAACAATAAAATAAGGATACAAAAAATATTAAAGACGAATAAAAGTATGAGAGAAATATTTACAAAGTGCACAAGCGGTGCTGTAGGTGCTGAGTGTGAATGTATGAAATGGAGGATAAGTCGGTGGGATAAATGAGGTATGAAGATTAACGGTCACAGATAATATTGCACAGTTAAGTGGGTTATTGTACAGAGTATTGTCCGGTGGTACTGTCAGGAGTATAGTGCATGTGGGCAGTAACTGTTCTTTAGTCTTTTAGTGTGTGCTGGCAGACTCCTGTACTTTCTACCAGACGGTAGTAGACAGATGTTAAAGTGATGAAAGTGTCAGTGAAAGTAAGAAAAGCAGAATAAACAGGGGATCCCCTGTGTCCCTGATCAGGGGGGCTCACCAGCGTTGTGTAGAGCTTGGACCCGATCCAGATACTCATTCACTTTGTCCTGGATCCCCTCCAGTTTGGACCCCGCCATGCCGGCATATATGAGAGCCTGGGCCGCCTCCTGTTGAGAATAATCCCATTAAAACACAGAGATTATAGACAGACTAAACTATATTTAACCCCATTTTAAAGACATTATACTGCTGTGATTTACCAAACAGTAAATAGTTCTCAGTCCACACTTTGATATAGGGGAGAGTGGGGTAAGATGAGCCAGTTTTTATATTTCAGATCAGTCCATCGAGTCAATCCTAGTTTAGTCTCTAACTCATGTATCTGCAGATATTTCAGGATGTTGTTCATCCCTGCAAACCATCTCCTAAATATTTGGTCACATGATCAATTTCTTTTAACATTTCTAAACAAAAGGGGGTGGCTCAACTTACCCCACTCTCCCCTATTCTTAGTTTCAGTCTGAGACAAACCTCCTGTTTATAAATGTTTGTTCACTTTCAGGTCAAATAAACAGAAGCAGTTTTTTAAAATAACTGTTAAGTTAGAATGTAAATAAATAAATCAAAGTACCTTATAATAGAAGACAGCCTCGTTGTATTTGCCACTCTGATCACAGGTGACAGCTGTCTTTGCAAACTTGACAGCATCGAGCTCCAGAGCCGAACAGTCCATCTGAGTTCGACTAACCGACTAACCACCAGCTATTTACTACTGTGAGTCACTAAAACAGTGAGATATCAGTCTGTCTCATTAAACACTGACCCTTTATTTAACTCAAATCATAGTCAAACCGACCCTGACAGCCGCTTTCGCTCTCTTTTACCTTTCCACAGAGGAGGACTACATTAGCAAACACCAAAACAGACATGTTGTTTCCGGGAGAGACGACTCGCGCAGGCGCAGTAGAGGACGGTGGCATATGTTGCATTTAATGATCATAGTAATCGATAGATATTCTCTAATAAATTCGGTTTTAGTTTTACAGAAGCGTGTCGCATTCACTTGAAGAAGGAGAGCATCGCTGTATAAAACATTCAACGATATAATTGTGTCAGAATTACGAAAAACCAGAGCCATTTTTTTCTCTGTAAAATTTTCTAATAATTCTAGAATAAAACAGCGGATTTTATTTTTCTCGCGTGAACGCAGTACTCTTCCGTGTTTAAGTTTACTATCGAATCAGTGCCTGATTTAGATAACTTATCATGTCATTTCCTCTTTCGTTAACCTAACGTCATCGGTACGAGTTCGTGGCTAAAAATAGTAACCCGCTAATCTGTTGTTTTTCTGACTGCTCCTGAACATCACACGAAAACCAACTGTCTTCATGTGCGCATGCGTAAATTTATCAAACCGCAAAAACTTATTTTAATCACCATTAAACAAAGATTTTAGCTTTAATTAATGTACTTCTCCAAACATAAGAGTGAAAGACCTTATCTAGTGATAACAGTGTCCTAATTAAATATTTAAATTTTACATTTATACATTGATTAAGAAAGTTAGTAGCCTTCTGCGTCTTCCTTGAATGAGAATAAACTGTTTGTCTTTAAAGTAAATACCAGTTGTACTGAGATATTTCTGATCCAAATCTTATTAAAGTATTTCCTCCACGACCTCCTCCCACTCTCTGATGTCATGCATGAAAAAAAAATCACTCTTCATTGAGAAATAATTGATATCTGTGTGACTTTTCCTCTCATTTATTCAGATCCATCATTAATTCAGGGTGAACAGCCCTGTTCAGCAGTGACAGGCAGGAAACTCCAGGGTTAAAAAAACTGCCACTAGATGGAGCTGGAGAGGTGAGAAAAGGACTTCCCTGTGGATCACTGGGCTCCCAAACATGAAGTTCATACAGTTTATAAAAAAAACTGTGAGACTTTAATCTGTAGCAGGTGAAACTGTATGATTATAATCTCCTTTGTGGATAATAAAAATACCCCTGAACATCTTTCAGTCAGTAATATGTAATATGTTATATGTTCACTCTTAGACAGCCGTACACTTCATAAAAGATCATTAAGAGCCCCAACTGGTTTCTGCATTATGTAAGTTTTCATGTAAGGTTTGTGAGTTGTTGAACATCCCATACAGTCATCTTTATTTGTGTTTAATCTGTTTTATCATCTCACCAAAACCCACACTCAGTTTAAAAATGACACCACTATGACACTTCTGTGTTTCTATGAGGTTAGGTCATTATTTTCATTTCCGTTTTTCTCAGTTAAAAAAAACACAAACACACATCTCTGCATCTTATGTATAGTTATGAATTTAGTGTTACTCTAAATACGTTAAACTGATGACAGAAATCTGAAACAACATTTTATTGTATCTGTCATATAATATTGCATCATATCATACATGATCTATATCAGTGGTTCTCAACTGGTGGGTCCTGAACCAAAAGTGGGTCGCGGACACGTTCTGGGTGAGTCACAAACAGCTGGTCAAAAAAGTAAATATTTAATATTTATTCGATATTTGATATTTTCTGTGTATGAAACTTCAGTAGTTGTCGTCCTCATGTTGACCCCTTTATGTGCTCTGAAATGCACTTTACTCAATAAAACAAGTGGATTTATGTTAAAGATTTGAGTCTTTAAAGGTTTTTTTAAATCAAAATAAATAAATTTGCTTAGTTTGAATTCTATAAAAGTGGGTCATGACTTAAGGATCACGGGGAAATGTGGGTCCCAGAGTGAGACCAGTTGAGAACCACTGATCTGTATCATACTGTATCTTAACTTCTCATATCACATTTTACAATATAATATCATAATGTATCATATCCTATTATATTATATTGTTATGTATCAAATAATAATATACTGTAAATTACTGGTCCTCTGTAGATAACACACACAGAAACAGTGTGATCTTCATTTACCCTGACTCTCTGTTTATGAGGTTTGTATCTCACATTTTAATTCTTCAGTCACTGCTTTTAAATCACGTCTTCAAACTCATTTTTATAGACTTACTTCTATGTGATTTTGTCTTCTCTTAAACCTTTTACTCTTCTTATTCATGTTTTATAATCCTCCCCTTGGTCTCAGGTTTCTGTGTTGACTTGGTATCATGAGCTCTTATAATGTCTTTGTTTTAATGCCTTAATTTTAACGGCGTCTCAGCTCATGTGATTTTCATCAAAGCTTTTATGTCTTCCACTAATTTTTATTTGATTTTATTTATTTCTTTATTGCCAGTAATGTGTCATTTCTTCTCTTGTTTTTATCTTCTTTGTTTTCCTGCATGTTAAAGCACTTTGTTGGCTCTTGTTTTTAAAAGTGTTATATGAATAAATTTATCATTATCATTATTATTTTTATTCCCCTCTGTCCAGCAGCAGAGAGTTGAAAAAGCCCCGGCAGTGAACGGGTTAACCTCAGGGATTACATCATCCCTCTCTCTGCCCTTTCCCATCTCTTTCACCCCTCCTGCCCCGCCGCTCCATCTCATCTCTCCTTCCCTCTCCATCCTCTCTCCTCTCCTCTCCCCTCCCTCCTCGGCTGGAAGTCTCCTCCCTCTCCATCCCCCCTCCCATCCTGTCCATGTGCCCGGCCCCTTCATTAACTCCAGTATGAAAGGGAAGCTTTTTGCTGGCAGCCACACTACCACAGCCTCTCAGGGAGCCTCACTCAACAAAAAAGTCTCCACAGACTCCGACCTGGACTCAGAGAGAGAGTCTGAATCCAGATCATAATTGGTGCACCTCTGAGTGAGGCCTCAGCCTGCCAAATCTCTCTGTTTTCCTTCACTGACATGGAGCTCTTCACTCTGCAGAAAACCCTCCAGCACAGTCACATGGGCGAGGAGAAGCACCAGATGCTGAACCTGAACCGACGCCTGGAGACCTACCTGAACCGGGTCAAACACCTGGAGGAGGAAAATGCGCTGCTCGCCAAAGAAGTCCAAGCTCTGCGGCGCAGCAATCATGGAGCTCTGAGCAGAAGGAAGGGCCTGGAGGAAGAGCTGCACCGTGGGAGACTAGAGGTGGAAGCAGCCTGGAGGGACCGGGTCTACACGGAGATGGAGGTGGGCCGGATGATCGAGGAACTCCATGAGCTGGACGTGCAGAGGCAGAGGGAAGCTCAGGTCAAGGTGGAGGCCAAGAAAAGGCTGGAGAACAGCAGGAAGGAGCTTGAGGAGGAGCAGAGGGCACAGATCTGGCTGAGAGATAAGGTGGGTCAGCTGGAGAACGAGCTGAGGCACCTGGTCCAAACCCATGAGGAGGAGGTGGTCCATTTAGAAGCCAAACTGACCCTCTCCAGGTCCACAGTGCCTCCTGCTTTCACTCAAAGGAGAAACCCAAACCTCCTGGAGCTGGGGCAGGAGTTCTCCCAGAGGGCCACCAGGGCCTGGCAGGAGGCAGCAGAAGCCTACCAGGGCCAGCTGGCTCAGATGGAGGAGTCCCTGAACCAGACCAGGAGCCGTTTGATCGAAGTGAATCAGGAGAGGAGTGAGAGCCAGCTGAAGCTCCAAACGCTGGAGAAAGAGATCGTCTCAGCTCAGGACGTCAGGACGCATCTGGAGAGGACGGCAGACCAACAGGGACAAAGATACAGTCTGGAGATCCAGCAGCTCCAGGTGAGAGCAGATCAGATCTGGGTCTTTGTAGGCCTACCTGAACCACCATGTAGCTTTATCAGCATGAATCCTCATATTGATAATGGATATTATAGATAGAACACTATCAGTCAAATTCAGAATATAATACAATTATTTACATTTTCATAATTATGAGTAAAAATCCAAAAGTTGTTGCCTCATAAAACTATTGTTTGTCATGCTTTTATTTTGACATCTTTGTTCTAATTAAGGTTACTCAATTTCCTTCATGGGAAAACTTTTATTTTGAAGTGTGAGCAACTTCTGGTAGAATTTTAGATATAAGGTTCAATCATCTTTCAGAGGGGGCTAACGCTAACAAACTAACTCGCACTGAACTTTTATTCTAGAAATCTGTGGAAAAGTCAGGATTCTGGAATTAAAGTCAGAATTCAGAGTTTTGTTTTTTTATTAGCGCTCGCCTTGTCTGAATTTAAGGCAAGCGCTAAAATAACTTTCATAGATGTAGCCATCTTCTTTCAGGCCTTGGCTTTTTTCCGACTTGGTAACTGAAACGCAGGTAACTTGGCTGTGACGTCATTTTCAGCTCGGACTTCTGACTTCCGAGTTAACTCGAATGCAGCATTAGCATTCCGAGATATAAGACCAAATTCCAACTTCAGTCTCATAGATCTCAGAGAAAGTCAAAAATTCTGACTTTTATCCTTGAATTCTAGAATTCTGAGCAAAAAAAACTCAGAATTTAACAGGTTTCTTTAAATTCCGAGGAAAAAAGCCAGAATTCCGACTTCAATCTTAGAGATCCGAGCGAAAGTCAAAAACTTCTGACTTATATTATTGAATTCTGAGACAAATCAGAGTTAAAAATATCTGAGTTTTATATCATTTCTGTTGTTACTGTCCTTCATCTATCAGAGTAGGTCTTTGAATCGATCTTTTAACGTCCTGACGTTTTCTCCGTTGAACTCCCCGCCTCTGCTCTTAATGGAGAACTCATCCTGTCATTGAACAGTCCTCACGGGGTCATCTGTGTTGCTCACTAAACGTGCAATCTTCAACAGCTTCATGTGTCAAAAATAGACATGGTCTAATATAATAAAACAAATATTCAGGGGCGGAGTGTCAACAGATGACAGTTGGAACCTAAATGAGGAAGGCCAAACTGACACGATGGAGTTTACTGATGACTCATCGTTCACTAACTACAGGACAGGTCGGGTCACATGCAGATCAAACATAATTCACCTACTTTCTTAAATGACATTTCTAAGATTTCCAGCATCTGGTGAATCCTGATTATACCTCAGTGCAGACTTAGTTCCCCTCAGGACTTCTCTGATTCAGTAGGTGGGTCTGGAGAGCCTAAATATTCATAAACTGAGGCTGATGGGATTAGTTCCTGTCACTGTCAAGTCTGAGGGGTTAGGCATCTGATTTAGACTAAGCTCTGCTCTGTAAGTCTGGTCCTGGTTCAGATCATTTGGAGGACTTAAATAACTCTGTCATGTAACAGCATCAGTGTCAAAACTCAACATCAGGACTATTTACAGACATTTGACCCAAACACTGGAACATCTCTCAGCGTGGCGAACAGTAGCACAATGAGCGTCGACAGCGAGAATGCTTTCATGACTTATTTTAACCACTTCCTTTTCCGCCTCCTCTTCCTGTTTTGGCAGGAGCATTTGGAGGCCCTGGAGATGGAAAAAGGAGAGCTGGGCCAGAAGATTGAGAGCATCCTGCTGGAGAACCGAGGCCTGCTGCAGGCAAAGATGTCCCTGGGGCTGGAGGTAGCAACATACAGGTACGAGTCCCAGAGTGAATTCCCAGTAAGAATCTCATCACTGGTTCTCATTATGGACAGAGAAGTAAAGGAGGTCTAAAGTGGTCAAATAATTTGATATTTGCATCACATTTAATCTTGGATGTAATCTAAGTTTAGGGGAAGTAGCATGGACCAAAACCAACAAAACGACATAAACTTGAGGAGAAAGTCGCAGAAAACAGCAGCAGTAAAGTTAATCCTGCACACACTTCCTGGAGTAGTTAGAAGAAGTGACATGTTTTACTATCACTCCTGATGTTCGGTGTCTGTTGTCGTCAAAAATCACAGATCCCTCAGGTCTTTGCACTGAGAGTCAGAAGGTTTTTGATTGTTTACAGTGTTTTCATGCCAGAGTAAAGGTTGGAGCAGCGTTTGTTGTTTCTAACTGCTTTCTTACATGTCAGCTTTGAGTCCTCTTCTCCCAATCGTATCAAAGGTGTCGGGATGAAGGGATGAAAAGCAGCCGTTTATTTCGCGCCTTTTATTCTCGAGCGTTGTCGTTTGAAAGACGCGCTGATAGAGATACGTTTTGTCCTTCAGAACTCGTCTCTTTGACTTTTCATAATAGAGCGCTTTTAATGAAGTGTCAGTCACATCATGATGAAGAGGAGACACCTTTACCTCACACTGTGATGAAGCATTAAAACTTCACGGCGGCGGCGGAGGATCTGAGCCGCTGAGCCGTTTGATGTCAGTCAGGCGTGGGTTCAATGTTGCATGTAATGAAACACGGGTTTGATGTTTGTTAAAGCCGCCTCTCCTCCCGACTCAATCACGAGTTTTCCAAAAGTCAATCTGCAAAACTTTCTTTGTCTGTAAAACAGTTGAAGAAAATCTTCAACTTGGCAGAAGATCTCACACGACAAACATTAGTATTAAACCGACACTGTTATTTTAAAGTGATTTGTACAGACGCGTACTGCATTCACAAAAAAAAAAGAAAAAGTAATTTTTTTTCTGTTCTGTTTTTTTCGACTAATTTTTCTCTGTTTTTTTGACTAATTTTTTTGCTGTTTGTTTTTCAGACTGATTGTTTTTCCTTTTCTCTGGGATCATGATCATATAGATGATTTCACCCCCCTCTGCTCCATTTATTGGAAGCAAACATGGCCCACTTGTTTAGTTTAATCAAGTTTGTATTCCTTTTGGGTTTGAGACTCTGGGAGATCCTCATTTCTTTGAGTAAGATAGATGAATCGTCATAAGTTTGTCTACTTTGCGCAGACACCTCAGGATTTGCATACCTGAAGAACACAAAGACGAACAATATGAGCCCAAAAAACAGTAAAAAAAAAAAAAGTCAGAAAAACAGAAAGAGGGGAAAAAAATATTCGTACAATAAACAGAAGAAAAAAATAGTCAGAAAAACAGCAAGAAGAAAAAAATTATTCTGGAAAGCAGCAAAGAAAAAAAATACTCAAAAAAATAGTTTCCTTTTTTTTTTTAAGTAAATTTAATACGCTTCCGTAGATTTGAACCAACTTTGAAATATTAGCAGCACTTTTACTTCAACATCACAGACTCAGGTCGGTGTTCAGCGAAGTTTGCAGATTTAGAGAGGAGAGCAGGGAGAGGAGCAGGAGGACCAGTCCAGTCAGGATTCACTGAAGAAGTCGACTTTCTAACTGGACAGAAAAGTTACCAACCAAACAGCACGGTCATTAAATAATTCAATTATGAATTTACTTTAAACCAGATTAAATTAACTTATGTTGTGCTGAATAAAGTCAAACTGAGTGATGTCTTATTTGAGTCGATCACTCTCTAATAGCCTCAGCTCTGCTCTCAGCACAGGTTGTATAATCATATCAGATATAATGTTGGATTTTTAAAAGCTGAAGAGCTCCCATGATGATCCCGCTGAAGTGCCTCTCAACACGTATTTAGATGATTGGTTCAGACCCGAAGATCGCTGCTCAGACAAACACACCTCCATTAGCAGAGCAGACACACTAACGGGTTCGTCCACAGCCGTCTGGACTATTGGAAGAGCAGCCTCTGTCATCTTCCACAGAGGAACTTATCCATTATGCATTTCTGCAGCGGTGTCTCCTTTCTCCTCCTTTCTCCCTCGTCTTCCAAATATTGACCCTCCCCTTCAGTCTGAAGATACCGATTTATGAGCGTTGGGACTCTAGGAGAGCAGCAGAGGGGGAGGAAACTAAAGGACAGGTTTCAATGTCAGCGACTGCTGCACATGAAATGATGTTTCTGTATCTCATCTGTGATATTTGAACAAAAACCAGGACTGTGAAAGGACCCCTGCAGACACAAAGCTCAGCTCATTTGAGGAGCATGTGTTGGAATGGAGGCTGATGTGCTCAACATGTGTGAACGCAGACAGAGGTGTTAGTGCTGCATGAGCTGCTCAGAATATATGTGTGTCACCGCCGTGCACAAGTGTCCCCTCAGGCTGTCTGTGTGTGTGTGTGTGTGTGTGTCAGATGGCTCCTCAATGGTGGGCCCTTTGCTTCATTACCATAACAACAGACCTCAGTCTGTCCCCGCTGATCAAGAGCAACAAAAGTCGTCCTTCACTCCTCTTCACGTCTGCCTCTCTGCGTGCAGCATCCTGACTCTGTTTCCTGTTTTTACTGCTCAGTTTTTTCATAAATTCAGGTTTTTAATGTCTCCAGAGTTAAACGTGATTTTTCTCTTCTGTGTGTCTGCAGAGCTTTGCTGGATGGTGAGAGTTTCAGAGGAAACACCTTTCAGAGAAACACAGGTAATTCAATAATACCAAAGAGGAGATCAGGGGCAGATGAAGTTTTTCATCACTCTGCATAAAGAAAAGGACATTTCAGGATTTCTTTGCAGCGACATGCATGTATGCACTTGCAATATGCACAGCAGCAGAGTCCTGCAGCGATCAGGGTAAAAGCAGCAGGTGAACAGAGCAAAACTCATCCTGCACCAGAGGGACAACTGTAGAGGGAAAAAATATAAAGTTAACACATTTTTCTAAATGTCTCAGATTTAACTTTTCCTGCTGTTTTTTTTACCTAAACTAAGATGCTCAATAACATCAGACAAAAAGGCTGCAAACTGAAGTTCATTAACATCTGAAATGTTAAATGTTGGTCAAATGTAACTGAATACAATAATAAATATACTCTCTTCATTCATAAAGCACCTTTAAAAACAAATGTTTTGAAAGTGTTTTGACTGTCAGAGTCGAGAAAAAGGAATTTAACAGCAGAGGTGAAATAAATCAAAATCTACAGCAAATAAAGAGGCAAGAAGTACAAGAATAAACAAATTAAAGGACAATTCCAAAAATCACAAGATAAGGAAACGCTGAAAAAGATGTGAGTCAGGGTGGTAAAGAGAAACCACTAAATGGATTAATTAGTAAATAAATAAAAGTTACAAGTGGCAACAGAGTATTTACATCCTCCTCTCCTCCTCCGCTCCCCTTTAACACCAACACTCCTCTCTTCTGGAGGAGCGCCTCCAACCTCAGGACGTTTCAAACGATTCATCATTCTCGGCTTACTGGTCTTACTGGGATTGGGGGTCTTAGCAAAAGGAGCTGAGGTCGGCACTCTGGCTCCTGTAATGTAAGCCACCTCTCGGGGAGTCCCCAAAGGTCATTGAGCCATCTGGTTTAGTTTCCAGTAACTTAGACGACGAGGAAAGGAGACGACGATCAATATCTCTCCATTAGAGTCCAACCTCTGTTTAGTACAGATGTTTTAATTGAAGGCAGGTTCTTCACAGTATCTTTATCACATTAAGATTACAAAGAGTGATTTAATATAAAAGACACGAGCGTGTGAAGGACAAAGAGAGCAGGATGGAGAAAGGCGTCAATGCGAAGCTTCGTTTTTACAGTAACTCATTGTGTATTCATGAGCTTCCTTTTGTCCTCCACAGATGCAGTTTTCAGTCCTCATGGGGTTAAAAAGAATTACCACACACAGCTGCCCGCCAGCCACAAAACCACTTCCCTCTCATCTGTCCGTGGCGTAACAGGAACAGGACTAACGGCGAGAGCTGCAGCTCCAGTCTGGAGTCAAAGACCCGTCACTGTCACTGAAACGCCGAAGGCTCCTACGAAATCCGCAAACAAGGACGAAATAAAACCAGCACCATCTGAGACCCCTTATCCAAGAATACTACAGGATGGAGCTGTTGAAAATTTCAGACCACAAGAAGTTGAGGAGAAAGTCACCTATGCTGAGCCTCTGTCGCCCCCTAATGAGCAGGAGGTTCCTGCAGAGGTCGGGGTAAACGAAGAGGGTCGCAACAATAACGGTGTCGAACACCCAGAGGAGAGTTTTGAGGCAGTGATCCAGCATCAGGTTCAGTCCATCCTCAGTAAAGCGCCTCCACCGATGGACGAAGCTGGTCTGCATCAGTTCGACACGCCAACCCTTACACCGTACCACGTCAGGATCAAAGAGGAGTCCTGTAGTTTCCCAGATGAACCTGATGAGAATGAGTCTGCTGAGAACCAGCATGTGGAAAAACCACGTTCCCCTGTTGCAGCATGGGAGGAGAAGAAGGATCTCGACAAAGAACTGGAGCATCTGCGTGAAGAAACTTCAGATTCTGAAACGGAGGCGATGCTCGAACCGACTTTTGAGTCCAGAACAAGCAGCCCAGTGTCTGAAGACGATGGAAATATCCTAAAAGAGGATGCAGCTGAGACGAGGCAAGAAATGAGCCGCTCTGCCGAAGTCAAAAATAAGACGAGTGAGGAGGATAAGTTGTACCCTGATGGAGAGGAGATGGATACCTGGGATAGTGTGATAGAAAGGAAAGTGGAACGGAAGGATGAAAACATAAAAGTAAGTGAGGAAAAGCTGCAGCGTGCTGAACCAGAGGAGGATATTTCTGCAAGAGAACAAAAACAGGGAAATGGGGAAGTTACAGCAAATGAGAATGTTGCCTCTTCGATTACGGACAAAGAAGCAGGTGGTGATGATGGACGGGACTTCAGTTTAGACCAAGAGCATGAAGCGATCTCTGACAAAGAAGAAGATGAGGACTCTCAAAATGTCTCTGTGTCGTGGAGGACTGAGCTGGAGAGCGACAGCTATGTGCAAGATAACACCCTCGCCGACACCCGTCCTCTGATTCGGTACAAGAGCGATGAGACTGACGCCAACACTCACGCATCGCACATGGATGAGAGCGAGTCCAGCGAAGGCGAGCAGGAGAAGAAGGCCGGAGAGGCAGGAAGTGGAACATGGGGGGAGAGCAAGTCAAAGAGATTCGGCACCATGGAAGATCTGTGCGAGGAAGTCGAAGGTGAGGCACTGGATGAGGACTATGACCTGGGGTATACCCACATCGAGGATCAAGTTGTCGTCCACGAGATTAATGAAGATGCAACAGAAAGTGCAGAAGAAATCTTCAGGAAAGTCAGTGAGGGATGTTGGGGTGTAGAAACAGAAGAAGACACCAAAGCCATGGCGTTTGAAAATGAGAGCTACGATGAGGAGTTAGAGACGGACAGACTCGTGGAACAGGAATTGGAAAACCTGGAAACAGACAGCTACAGCGCTCACTTTACAAAGCAGCAGATCAGCAGGTGCGAGGATGTCGTAGAGTTTGTCGAGGAAACTACGGGTCCGGAAAATGCTGAGGACATACCTTCTTTCACAAAACCTGAACTTGCATCTTTTGATTCAGGTGTAGCACAGCCTCCCGAGGAGCAAGATTTCAGTGAGGTGTCTTTGGAAAAGCCTCAGAGGGAAGCAGATGAGATGGATCATCTTAAAGATCAAGAAACTGCAGAGACAATAGAGGAAGAGCGTCATGTTTCCAAAGTGATTCCTGTTGGGGTTCAAAGTGGCTTCAGTGAACCCCTCAGTCTGCCTGATCTGGAGGAGAAGCTAAAACCAGCAGAACAAGAAAACCCGCAGGATAAAGCTGCTGAAGAGGCTGAACCTGTGGAGGAATCAACTGCATCCCAGGAGCATCTGGTCAAGGATGTTACAGTCCGTCAAGGATTCCCAGAGGTTCCTGAAACAACCGCATGGGATGTCCTGGATGATTCAGCTAAAATAGGTCCTCAAACTGAAGATCATGAAAAATGTGAGTCAGCTGAAGGTTCCCATCTCAGTGACAAAGACTCTGATCAGGGTGGTAGGGCGTTCAAGGCAGAGCCTGCTGCGTTGTCCCCTGAAAGTGTACCCTCTGAAGACAACATCTTCATGGTAAAGGACTCTGCCGAACTCTCAAACGGCAAAGACAAAGGCCGTCATGACTTCTTCAGCTCCGGGGTGCAGAGTGACCTCTGGATGTCCTCCTTGGAGACCGGCGCATCCTATCAACCAGATGATTCCTTTAATGAAGCAGCTGAGCAAACCAATAAGAATCAAGGATTCGCTGACGACTCGCTTTGGGGGGATTTGGAAGACCCGAATGTGGTCAACAAAAACTCAAAGGTGAACATTGATTCAGCTCAAGCCCTGGACACTACCACAGAGATGAAGAAGCAGACGTTTACGGAGGTGAAGAAGCAGATGTGTAGAAATGTTGTTGAGGGAGAGTTTGTCCACTCAGAGGAGTCTGATGTCGAGGGTGAATCCTGGTCATCAGAGGAGGAAACTGAATAAACGCAACACGACTTTTCTTTGTTAAATTACTTTTAATCTGATTAATGTTGGTCAGTGGTGGAAGAAGGGCACAACTTGAGTTTCCAGCTGCTCCTTTATAAGTAAATGTTGCTGCTCAGCTGAAATCGACACCGGACATTAAAACGTTAGGACATGTGAATCATCAGTCTCGTCACTGATGGTCTCATTTTCTTTACGATATTGATTTCGGTTGATTAAGTTCAGATATTAAAAAATGTACTCAAATATAGCTGCTGATTTTAGTTATAAATAAGTAAACATAGAGTTTATTCCACTTCCACTGAATACCAAAGTCGTGCCTTGGTGCACCTCTCCATGATGCTAACCACCAATGTGCCAAGTCCGTGTAGAAATCCTCAGAGCTTGACGTGATAGATTTGACTTTTAATTTCTCCTTTAGTTTGAAACTCTTCAGTCTTCCAGGATGCATGTTATAGATGAAGGTTTGGTGTGTTTGCATGAGGGAACATCATGAAGACAGAACAAAGGGTGTCATTTGAAAGTCAAAGGATTCATTGATTGCTGCCTAATCTGATTTCACCGACTGATGGAAATCAATGAGAGCAGGAGAGGAGGATTGTTGATCGAGCTGCAGTTTCACAGCGAATCAAACAGACAGACTGACAGAGTTTCTGTTGTGGAGTTATCTTATTTCATCAGACAGACTAACCTCTACCTGTTTTACACATGTGGAGAATAAAGTAAATGTTTTATCTGTATTTGGTTGATCTCATTAAACTGCTTTAGTTCCCGTTTATAAAGATTTCACTGCGGTACATTTTCATTCCAAAATAAAAAGTAGATTCATCATAAGGTCGAAGTCTCTTTGAGTTTTTTCTTAGTTAATTTGCACAGCAGCTTCACACACTGAGCTTTTTTAAAGTGGCTTTAAAGGTCCATGAGGAGTTTATTACTGTGCGGTGATTTTTGTTACCCTTGTGATTAAATCCTAAAATTTGAGTCAGTATTCCGTTTACAGTCCAGAATTCTGACTTTAATCTCAGATTTTTGACTTTTAGTTTCCATTTCTGTGAAATTTTGAGAATATAAAGATGAGACTTGGAAAAAAAAAACTTCAGCTAGTAACGAAAGATGACCAGACATACTGGTTTAATGTTACCTGTTGGGACATGTTAAGATATTAAAGTGTGTAATATTTATATTTATATTATATAATATTTCCTTCAAACATTATGCTTTCATAAAATAAAAGTACTACACCAGGAGGTGTTTTTTTCATTACTATGTTACTTTAAATATAATTTTTGTGATGATGGATGAGGCAGACCTCCGAACGTCACACTTTTTTCATAACTCAGACTTTCCTGAAGGCCGGGTCAAGAACTGCAGCTCTGCGCTCTCTAGAAACATCCATCTCTGTTTCCTTTGGGGTTTCACTGAGGAAAGGCTGTGTGTGTGTGTGTGTGTGTGTGTGTGTGTGTCTGAACTTGGCAACATTCGCTGACCTCAAATCAGTCCGGCTAACAAAGCAGCAGCAGAGCCGTCCACCCGCACACAGCAGCAGCCATCCCACGAGACGACCGAGGAAAAGACGGACTGAGGGAACAACAATGTGTGACCTCACCTCCTCTCCCTTCACCCCTCCACTCCCCCACCCCCCAGTCATTCATTCATTAGTCAGTTTACCAAACAATGCTGCTTTTTTTAAGTAGCTGCTCCCCTCGCCATTTCCTCCAATCTGCCCAATGAGAGCTGAAGAAGGAAACCACAGACGGTGAGAAAGCTGGAGAGAGCTGGAATGGTATTACTGCAGCCGTCTGGCATGTGGCTGTTATCTGCCTATCAATAGATCTGTCCACCGAAAAGACCAACTACAGAATGACTGGCTCCAACAAATAAGGTTAAAAAAAGGGCCCACATGTCTGAAAATACATGACTAAAGTGCCCTGTATGGCAAAAGTGGAAAAAAAAACAATCTGGGTACACTTCAAGTAAAAAAAAAACATAGTAAATGTGTGAATGAATACTCTTCTTTAGAAAATGTTGAAGAAGTGATGCCCTAGTTTATAAAAGTGGAAAAAGTCTCCTATGGATGCACTTCTAGTATATACAGTAACACGTAGAAAACTGCCATCTAGATGTCCTTTCAGCAAAAAATATTTAAAACATTTCTTTTGGATGCATTTCCAGAATGTAAAATTTGGATTAAGTTGTCTAAGTGTGCACTTCCAGTATAGAAAATGAGAAAAGGGTGCTCTCTGGATGCTCTTCCAGCATATTAATGTTTTAAAAAGTGCCAAATGAACATCCTTCCAGAAGCAAAACATGGAAAAGGTACCCTCTGGATGCTTTTCCTATATAAAAAATTTCCAAAAAGGGGCCTATGGACAAGTTCAATTACAAACTATGGATACCCTTTCATCATATAAAATGTGAAAAAAGTGCCGTATGATTTCACTTCCAGTTTATTAGATTAGAAAAAGGGTGATCTCTGGACACTCTTCCAGCATATAAATGTTTAAAAACGTGCTATATGAATGTCCTTCCAATACAAAACCATGGGAAAAGTGCTCTCTCTCTCTATACATAAAAACTCCAAAAAAGTTAAAGCACAAACTCTGGATGGACTTCCATGACATAAATGTGTAAAAAGTGCCCTATGGATGTACAGAAAAAATATGTAAAAAGACAAATAAAATATATGTTCCCTGGATGCTCTTCCAGTTTATGATTAAAGTGTCCTATAGAAGCAGTGCTCTCCAAAATGCCCTTCAAGTGCCTAAATATGCCTAATGGATGCCCCTCCTGCACATACAATGTGGGGAAAGATGCCCTCTGCATTCCTCTGGATCCACTTCCAGGACTTACAATGAGGAAAAAGTTCTCTATGCCAACCCTCCAGTAGATAAAATGTGGAAAAGGTGCCCACTGGATGCCCTTCCAGTATATAGCAGTTGGTGTGCTGAAAATAAACCTGGTAAAACCATGAGTCCTCACTAAAGTGATCTATTTTAATCCAAACAGAAAAGAATAAAAATAGTCGATTAAACAAGTTTGTTTTAATTAAGGAGGCTGAAAAAAAAACCTGTCCGTGAGCCTCAGAGACTCGTCCCTCCTCAGCAGACAAGAGCGTTTTTATATTTAAAGAATTTGGCTGAAATAATGAGTGACTGCTCAACTATCCCAGATATGGGCGGTAACTTTAACAGCAGCATGAATCACTTGATTCTCTGGCAGCTTAATGCGGTTAAACCCCTTTTACTGGGGGTCAAATCAGGCGCCAACAACACATGTTTACTGTGCGCCAAGTTTGCACTAACAAGCTCCCTGGTTACCTCTAAACTTGGCAGAGCGGCTCGATGGAGGATTGTTGTTTTTGAGGTGACTTCACTGTAGAGTCAGAACAGAGTTTAAAGCAGCTGATGAACACACGGAGAGGAAATACCTGGACATGAACGCCACACCACCTGTCTGGATTTTAAAAACAGACAGACACATCCTCAAGTCCTGCCACTAAAGAAATCCACTGAGCCAGTTTCTCAGCAGGACTCTTCTACTACAGAGCCATGCTGTTGTAATCCCTGCAGAATCTGGTCTGAATCGGGGGTACATGAATAAATACGGCATAAAAGATGCCACTAAAGTCAGTCCAGCCCTGACCAATGTCCACTGGATTAATAAGGGGGGAGGTGTGTTTCACAGAGTCTATAGCAGGGACGTAAAGCTCTTCAAGCTCTTTGTTGTAGTGTGTGCACATGTGTGCTCTGCCCTCCATCTGTCATCCGTCATCCCGTCCGTCCATTGATTTACTCCTCATGTCATTGGAGAGATTGATGGAGGAGCTGCAGAGCTGAGACTGAGGAGCAGGTGTCTCTGCAGGCTCCTCCCCCATTTCAGATCCAATTTGTATAAGAAAAGGCGTGAAGGGGTGAGTGTGACATGGGAGAGAAACGCACTGAGCAACAAGTCGTCAGCCTCCTGTTCAAGCAGGAAACAACATTTCTGATTTTCAGAGACTAAATTTGGATCAAACTTTATTTAACCAGAAAAAACCTCATTGAGATTAAAAATCTACAGACAGCAGGTTACAGACATAAACAATTACAGACACAAACATAACAACCGACAACGTCAAAGTGGCAGAGCAGAACATTTTGAGTCAAAGCATTTACAGCCCGCTTCATCCTCCTCTACGGACCTTTAATCTACATTTAAAACGATTTAAAGAGACCAGTTCTCAAAGACAGAAGTTTTCTTGTAGCAGATTCCAGTTTCTGCAGGAGCAGAAGATCTAAAACTTATTTTGCCGTTTCAAGATGAACTTTGGGGACAGATAGCAAAAGTAGATTTTGGGTCTGAGTCGCAGAACGAAGGCTGTAGCTTCCAGAACTTTTAACATGAATACAATTACACAGGTACGGTGGAAGCAGGCCGAGTATAACCGTGTGAATCAGGATGTACCAATGATTTAGTTAACGCATGAACAGAGAGGGAGACCCGACTTTTTCATACAGAGTACAACGATGAGTTAAAGGTGGGGTAGTCAGGAATCTGTTAAAGAAGCATCTTTTTATTTTGTGTTTTATAAAAAAAAAATCTTCTAATATCAGTCAATAGTTATTAGTTATTGATTATTTGGTAATATATAGATATCTCTGTGTTCTCTTCTGTCTGTGTCGTCAACATTTGAACATTTTTGAGCGGTCCTCTCTTTCTGACTGTAAACAAAGCCGTTCTCCACCTCCTCTAACCTGATTGGTTGTGAGGCAGACGCTGCTCCCCCGTGTCGTTCAGGAGCCCAAACAAAGTTAGCGTGCTACAATATCGGACAGTAGAAACCAACCAGAAAGTTCGGAAAATTGTCCGAATCCTCCTTTGGCCACGACTGCCTCTTGCAGCTAAAGAACAACAAGACTTATTTCTGAAGTAAAATTCCAGCTGCAACCTAAACGTCTGAACAAGCTGCTCAACATGAAGCTTAAAGGACAGAGAGTATTGATCACAAATCTAAGATATTTATAAGAAGGTACAGACTCGATCACATCACCCTGAGCTGGATCAATAATCACAGATCTGTGATCGCTGATCTGAATTCATGAACATCATCAGCTTCATAAAGAGACTTTGTTTATCTCCACATTAAGTTTCTGATCATCGTCTGAGCAGAGCTGAAAGCATCTGACATGAATACGACATGATCACATCCTGCCGGTCATCTCATCAGTCAGCTGTCTGTGTTAAAATAGAGCCGAGGTTTCACTGTGGAGTGTAATCTGCTAAAGACAGCTGCAGGTTTGGTGATCCAGGATAAATGTGACTGAATGAATGAATGAATGAATGAATGAATGAATGAATGAATCATGAGGTTAACAAAGGTGATGACCTGATGTTTGAACTGTTACTGATCCAAACTGGACTTCTGTGCAGATCTGAGAGGTTTTCAGCTCCTCTACCTCCGAGTGTCTCTGCAGCTCATCCAGCCTCCACATAATCCAATCAGAGTCTGGGAAATGAAGTTAGACGGCAGACAGACCACACCCATGATGACCACGCAGAGGAGGACGACAACGCTCTCACTCTTCTGTTTCCCAGCAACTACCGGCCCTCCTCTTCATCATCATCATCATCATTAATAAAAGATAAATGATGACTTCCTTTAGAGACTTATTCAAGTTGAGTTTCTCCTCATCTCTGTGAAGGAATCCTAAACCCTGAAAATACACTGAGATAAGGCCCACCCTTTGACCCCCTACTGCCAGGAAATAGACTGACTTCTGATCAGACAATGCCTGGCGGTCCAGTTGGTCCTCTGACTGATCCGTCTGATAGTGTGTGTGGTTATTATTAGAGGCCTGTTGAGCCAGGAGTGTGTGTGTCTGTGGCAGACATGAGCCCAAACCAGCTGACTGTGGCAGCTGATGACCGGCGGTCCGCTCGTTCAGTCCAGCTGGGCGCGGTGAACAGGTTTTAGATTAATACTGTCTGACGTTACAATCTAAGATTTAATCAAACAAACTTTCAAAAATGATCAGAAAAACTTATCAGGCTGCAAAACATGCTGCTTTAACCACCAGGGGGCAGTAAACAACCAACTTTACTCAGGGCTCATCAAACTCATGTTCACACTTGTTCCCTTTTGGGGGTTTTAGCCTCATTTCAAGTCTCCATTTTGTCAAATTGAGATACTTATAGAGAAGTTTTACATGATTTGCTGCTAAAAAATTTTTTTTTTATCTTTCACTGGCTTTCTTTAAAGGTGGAGGAGGCAGAAATCTGTTAAAGAAGCCTCTTATTTTGTGGTGTATTTATAATAATCTTTTAATATCAGTAAATAGTTATTAGTTATTGATGACATTTGCTAATATAACGATAATTCTGTGTTCTCTTATGTCTGTGTTGTCAACATTTGAACATTTTTGAGCGGTCCGCTCTTTCTGACTGTAAACAAAGCCGTTCTCCACCTCCTCTAACCTGATTGGTTGTGAGGCACACTCCACGTCCTCCACCTTGACTGGGCCCCATTTGTAATGATCTGAAGTATTCATCTGCATTATATCTGAATTTAATTGGAACGATACGAGCGAGCAGGAGCGTCTGTTTGTGGGCGGGGCTTAAGAGAGGGAGGGGAGAGGAGGAGCTGAGGGGAAAACTGGTTGAAAACTCGTCCTGAAGCGCTTCATTCT